GTTCGCGCCAGCTGGCCCGCGGAGCCTAACGACCTCGCCACACAAGTCGTCCCAAACTCTAATTGCCACCACCCCTTCTCTAACGACCCTTCCACGCGACAATTACTTTCCCGCGGGTCTTCCCCAGAGACCTGGCGAGGCTCTGACGTTTGTTCCCACCGTGAGTGTTGTTGTTCTTCAGGCCCCCGGTGGTCACTGTGCCCTGGTGGCTGGTCACTGGCTCCCTGGTGGTCACTGTGCCCTGGTGGCTGGTCACTGGCTCCCTGGTGGCTGGTCACTGGCTCCCTGGTGGTCACGGTGCCCTGGTGGCTGGTCACTGGCTCCCTGGTGGTCACTGTGCCCTGGTGGCTGGTCACTGGCTCCCTGGTGGTCACGGTGCCCTGGTGGCTGGTCACTGGCTCCCTGGTGGTCACTGTGCCCTGGTGGCTGGTCACTGGCTCCCTGGTGGTCACGGTGCCCTGGTGGCTGGTCACTGGCTCCCTGGTGGCTGGTCACTGGCTCCCTGGTGGTCACGGTGCCCTGGTGGCTGGTCACTGGCTCCCTGGTGGTCACGGTGCCCTGGTGGCTGGTCACTGGCTCCCTGGTGGCTGGTCACTGGCTCCCTGGTGGTCACGGTGCCCTGGTGGCTGGTCACTGGCTCCCTGGTGGTCACGGTGCCCTGGTGGCTGGTCACTGGCTCCCTGGTGGTCACGGTGCCCTGGTGGCTGGTCACTGGCTCCCTGGTGGTCACGGTGCCCTGGTGGCTGGTCACTGGCTCCCTGGTGGTCACGGTGCCCTGGTGGCTGGTCACTGGCTCCCTGGTGGTCACGGTGCCCTGGTGGCTGGTCACTGGCTCCCTGGTGGTCACGGTGCCCTGGTGGCTGGTCACTGCCTCCCTGGTGGTCACGGTGCCCTGGTGGCTGGTCACTGGCTCCCTGGTGGTCACGGTGCCCTGGTGGCTGGTCACTGGCTCCCTGGTGGTCACGGTGCCCTGGTGGCTGGTCACTGGCTCCCTGGTGGTCACGGTGCCCTGGTGGCTGGTCACTGCCTCCCTGGTGGTCACGGTGCCCTGGTGGCTGGTCACTGGCTCCCTGGTGGTCACGGTGCCCTGGTGGCTGGTCACTGGCTCCCTGGTGGTCACGGTGCCCTGGTGGCTGGTCACTGGCTCCCTGGTGGTCACGGTGCCCTGGTGGCTGGTCACTGGCTCCCTGGTGGTCACGGTGCCCTGGTGGCTGGTCACTGGCTCCCTGGTGGCTGGTTACTGCCTCCCTGGTGGTCACGGTGCCCTGGTGGCTGGTCACTGGCTCCCTGGTGGTCACGGTGCCCTGGTGGCTGGTCACTGGCTCCCTGGTGGCTGGTCACTGCCTCCCTGGTGGTTCAAGTTGGTTAGTGAACGCTCTCTACACGTCCAGGGTGGAAGTGAACGCTCTCAACACGCCCAGGGTGGAAGTGAACGCTCTCAACACGCCCAGGGTGGAAGTGAACGCTCTCAACACGCCCAGGGTGGAAGTGAACGCTCTCAACACGCCCAGGGTGGAAGTGAACGCTCTCAACACGTCCGGGGTGGAAGTGAACGCTCTCAACACGTCCGGGGTGGAAGTGAACGCTCTCTACACGTCCAGGGTGGAAGTGAACGCTCTCAACACGCCCAGGGTGGAAGTGAACGCTCTCAACACGTCCGGGGTGGAAGTGAACGCTCTCAACACGCCCAGGGTGGAAGTGAACGCTCTCAACACGTCCAGGGTGGAAGTGAACGCTCTCAACACGCCCAGGGTGGAAGTGAACGCTCTCAACACGCCCAGGGTGGAAGTGAACGCTCTCAACACGCCCAGGGTGGAAGTGAACGCTCCCAACACGCCCAGGGTGGAAGTGAACGCTCTCAACACGCCCAGGGTGGAAGTGAACGCTCTCAACACGTCCAGGGTGGAAGTGAACGTTCTCAACACGCCCAGGGTGGAAGTGAACGCTCTCAACACGTCCGCGGTGGATGTGAACGCTCTCAACACACCCAGGGTGGAAGTGAACGCTCTCAACACGTCCGGGGAGGAAGTGAACGCTCCCAACACGCCCAGGGTGGAAGTGAACGCTCTCAACACGACCAGGGTGGAAGTGAACGCTCTCAACACGTCCAGGGTGGAAGTGAACGCTCTCAACACGCCCAGGGTGGAAGTGAACGCTCTCAACACGTCCGCGGTAGAAGTGAACGCTCTCAACACGCCCGCGGTGGAAGTGAACGCTCCCAACACGCCCAGGGTGGAAGTGAACGCTCTCAACACGTCCGGGGTGGAAGTGAACGCTCTCAACACGTCCGGGTAGAAGTGAACGCTATCAACGCGCCCAGGATGAAAGTGAACGCTGTCAACACGTCCAGGATGAAAGTAAACGCTGTCAACACGTCCAGGATGAAAGTGAACGCTGTCAACACGTCCGGGGTGGAAGTGAACGCTGCCATCACGCCCAGCTTGCAAGTGAACGCTCCTAACACGCTCAGCTTAGAAGTGAACGCTCTCAACACGCCCAGGGTGGAAGTGAACGCTCCCAACACACCCAGGGTGGAAGTGAACGCTCACAACACACCCAGGGTGGAAGTGAACGTTCCCAACACGCCCAGGGTGGAAGTGAACGTTGTCAACACGCCCAGGGTGGAAGTGAACGCTCCCAACACGCCCAGGGTGGAAGTGAACGCTCTCAACACGCCTAGGGTGGAAGTGAACGCTCCCAACACACCCAGGGTGGAAGTGAACGCTCCCAACACGCCCAGGGTGGAAGTGAACGTCCCCAATACGCCCAACGCCCAAGGTGGAAGTGAACGCTCTCAACACGTCCAGGGTGGAAGTGAACGCTCTCAACACGCCCAGGGTGGAAGTGAACGCTCTCAACACGTCCGCGGTGGAAGTGAACGCTCTCAACACGCCCGCGGTGGAAGTGAACGCTCCCAACACGCCCAGGGTGGAAGTGAACGCTCTCAACACGTCCGGGGTGGAAGTGAACGCTCTCAACACGTCCGCGGTGGAAGTGAACGTTGTCAGCACGTACAGGGTGGAAGTGAACGCTCTCAACACGTCCGCGGTGGAAGTGAACGCTCTCAACACGCCCGCGGTGGAAGTGAACGCTCCCAACACGCCCAGGGTGGAAGTGAACGCTCTCAACACGTCCGGGGTGGAAGTGAACGCTCTCAACACGTCCGCGGTGGAAGTGAACGTTGCCAACACGTCCGGGGTGGAAGTGAACGCTTTCAACACGTCCGGGTAGAAGTGAACGCTATCAACGCGCCCAGGATGAAAGTGAACGCTGTCAACACGTCCAGGATGAAAGTGAACGTTGTCAACACGTCCGGGGTGGAAGTGAACGCTGCCATCACGCCCAGCTTGCAAGTGAACGCTCCTAACACGCGCAGCTTAGAAGTGAACGCTCTCAACACGCCCAGCTTGGAAGTGAACGCTCTCAACACGCCCAGCTTGGAAGTGAACGCCCTCAACACGCCCAGGGTGGAAGTGAACGCTCCCAACACGCCCAGGGTGGAAGTGAACGCTCCCAACACACCCAGGGTGGAAGTGAACGCTCCCAACACGCCCAGGGTGGAAGTGAACGTTGTCAACACGCCCAGGGTGGAAGTGAACGCTCCCAACACGCCCAGGGTGGAAGTGAACGCTCTCAACACGCCCAGGGTGGAAGTGAACGCTCCCAACACACCCAGGGTGGAAGTGAACGCTCCCAACACGCCCAGGGTGGAAGTGAACGCCCCCAATACGCCCAACGCCCAAGGTGGAAGTGAACGCTCTCAACACGCCCAGGGTGGAAGTGAACGCTCTCAACACGCCCAGGGTGGAAGTGAACGCTCTCAACACGCCCAGGGTGGAAGTGAACGCTCCAAGTATTATATTATCTGACTACAAATATATTATCCTAAATTACCTCAATGCCCGTCACATCTTATTGTTATTCCCCGTTATCCTGGCTCCCCTTTGTTGTCCTGGCTCCCCTCTGTTATCCTGGCTCCCCTCTGTTATCCTGGCTCCCCTTTGTTATCCTGGCTCCCCTTTGTTATCCTGGCTCCCCTTTGTTATCCTAACTCCCCTTTGTTATCCTGGCTCCCCTTTGTTATCCTGGCTCCCCTTTGTTATCCTGGCTCGCCTTTGTTATCCTGGCTCCCCTTTGTTATCCTGGCTCCCCTCTGTTATCCTGGCTCCCCTCTGTTATCCTGGCTCCCCTTTGTTATCCTGGCTCCCCTTTGTTATCCTGGTTCTCCTTTGTTATCCTGGCTCCCCTTTGTTATCCTGGCTCCCCTTTGTTATCCTGGTTCTCCTTTGTTATCCTGGCTCCCCTTTGTTATCCAAAACTAAGAACTGCAGAAGGAATATATTGACCCATGCGATATATATATATATATATATATATATATATATATATATATATATATATATATATATATATATATATATATATATATATATATATATATATATATATATATGCTTGAAACAATCCATTAATCCCATGTCTGTTACTTTATCATAGAGGAAAGGTTTCATTTTATAATATTGCCCTGAATTTTAGCATAGTTTTTCTAGTTCTCATGACTTGACCAGTTATCACCGTGGTGAGGGTGCCGTCTTGGCTGGTCCAAGCTACTGAACGTTCTCGTCATCGCTCGCGGCCTCCACCAGAGGGCATCGTCCCCGAACCGTCATTATTCTTTTTCCTGGTGTGATGCTTACTGACCCGAGTTCAAGATCCTGTTTGTTAAGCGAACTCTAGTGTCCATATGTTTGACCATCGTGGTAGTGTAGCCAAGGTCAGCAGGCTTGACCCCTGCTGCTGTTCTCAGCTCCATACCGCGCCTTCCGACGTCGTCCCGGACCACACACCGTAATGGATGATGCACCCGCGGTCAGTACTGCTGTTTACTCGAGTTACTTTCCCCTGCTGTGCTGTGTTAGTCAAAGGAAACTAAGCTTGGATAATCTGAAAATATCCCGTGGGCCCGCTACCATGATCCTCAGACCACATACTTCACTAACCTCAATGCTGTAAGACTTGTTGATGGCAAACCTCTCGCGGCTGGCTTCAGCGGCCTTCATGTCTTGCGATGTCGATGGGTGAAGACGTGAGACGAGGGGATGTTGTCCGGCTGGTGGCCCTGGCACTACTGCTCTCCGTTCCGTCACCTCAATGCCACAATGCCAGCAGAACTTGAATATACCGTAACGCGCGAACTCCAGGATGGTGGTTGTGGCGACGGAGGCAGCCAGGCTTGGACTGTTCCCGCGGGTGGTGTGGGTCGAGGTGTTAGTAGTGGTGGTGGTGGGGGTGGTAATGTGTGGGGAGTGGTGGTGGGGGTGGGCCCGCCTTCTCGTAGGTGGTGACGGAGAGATTATGGGTGGCGGGAAAGTGGCTTCCTGGCGACACTGGAAAGCACTTTAGGGTCGCTTGTCAAGTGCGTCTAATGGGCCTACCATCTTTTATTACATGCCAAGCTTGCGGAAGCCACCGTCGATGGTGCCAACGCTAAAACTTGTCCAAGACGCAGCTGCTCCGCCCACCTTCCTGAAGCCCTCCGCTGATTGGCCGCTGCCAAACGCTCCCGCCACTGCCACTGGCTAATTCGCTTGCGCCTGACCAATGCGGCGGAGTGCGATTACATGACATAGGTCACGTAAAAATGTTGAACTCGTATCATCGGGAAAGTGATTTACCGAATCTGAATTAGCTTTAAAAGCAACATTGGTATGCCGATGTCCCGGGAATGGAGTGTTCGACGTGGACAATCACTCTCGGGACGTTTTACTTCCCGTGTTTTGTGGACGAACAACATTTACCGGAGCGCGAGCACCTTATAAGTCTGTAAACTATGGTACAGTAATTGCTTGTGGGTTTTCAAAAGAAATCCATTCTTAGGTCCCTGGCCAGACGTGACAGGCAGCCGTGGGGGGGGGGGGGGGCGTGGATGACCAGTATTTGTGGCAACCTCGTCCGGGCAGAGGTAGTTGAGGCATCTCGTGACTATCTTTACGTCTGTCTGTAAGAGTTTAGATGTACATGGTCGCCATTACTGAGAGTTTGGTCAGTCTTGTTATGTTGCCTCTCGTCTGCCTGCTCAGAGATCATCACCACCTTTAAAAGGCCGTGTATTGCGTTAGAGGTCTTTAACAATAAAGAATCCATGCTTCATATAGACCCGCCAAACACACACCGAAACTACGACGTTGGTACAACGTTCGAACAAGTTTTAACACCTCCTAACCAGTTATAACAACTAATATAGCAAGTTGTAACAACGTTCTAATCCGTCATAAACACGTTAAGCCAAGATGTAACAACTTTATTACAAGTTGTAACAAGCGGAAAATAGAGACAGTTTCGGTTTGTGTTTCCAGGGGACAACCATGTGTACTGTGACAACCATGTGTACTGTGACAACCACGTATGTCTCGCCTGTACACCGTCTCATTCCTACAAGAAGAATCTATTTTTTTCGTAACCTTGTTTACTGGGAGCACGGTGTCGTTACTGTGTGCACGGTTACTGGGTGCCCAATCTATAGCACTGTATCATCCTTTGCAGATGACACTAGGATTTTCATGAGAGTAGATAACATAGAGGACACGGCAAACCTCCAATCAGATGTAAATCAATTATGTCTATGAGCTACAGAAAATAATATGGTGTTTAACGAAGATAAGTTCCAGCTCATCCGCTACGGAAAAATGAAAATATAAAAACGGAAACCACGTACAAAACTCAGTCAAATCATAACATAGAACGAATAGGCAATGTTAAGGATTTGGGTGTACTCATGTCGGAAGACCTTACATTTAAAGAACACAATAAAGTAGCCGTCACAACTGCAAGAAAAATGACAGGTTGGATAACGAAAACCTTTCAAAATAGAGATGCTATACCGATGATGATACTCTTCAAAACGCTTGTGCTCTCTAGAGTGGAGTACTGTTGCACAATGACAGCCCCTTTCAAAGCTGGAGAAATTGCTGACCTGGAGAGCGTGCAGAGAACCTTTACTGCCAGAATCCACTTAATAAAACATCTAAACTACTGGGACCGACTAAAGAGCCTAAATCTATATTCTTTTGAGCGCAGGCGGGAGAGATACATAATAATTTACACGTGGAAAATAGTAGAGGGGCTGGTCCCAAACCTGCACACAGAAATAACACCACATGAGACCAGAAGACATGGCAGGATGTGCAGAATACCCTCGTTGAAAAGCTGAGGTGCAACAGGTACTCTGAGAGAGAACTCTATCAACATCAGAGGCCCGAGACTGTTCAACACGCTTCCACTACACATAAGGGGCATAACTGGCCGACCTCTCAATGTCCAAGAGAGAGAGAACTGGATAAGCACCTCCAAAGGATACCTGATCAACCCGGCTGTGTTTCATACGTCAGGCTGCGAGCAGCCGCGTCCAACAGCCTGGTTGATCAGTCCAGCAACAAGAAGGCCTGTTTGATGACCGGGCCGCGGGGACGCTAAGCCCCGGAAACACCTCAAGGTAACGGTGTCGTTATTAGACGTCAGGTTTCTCTCCCAGTTAATAATACACAACACTCAGCACACAGACTTACCAGTCCTTGTTGTTAGTGAGGCATCACCTCCCACACGCACTCCAGTTGGTCGTCCGCGTACACACACTCAAGATGGGGTCGTGGACACCCCTGGGGGCGTGGACACCCCTGGGGACGTCCCTGAGTCTTACACGCCGAGAGGTTACTAGAATAGAATTATGAGGGGGAAAGCGCCAAGCCATTAATTACGACTATATAGCACTTGAAAGGGTCAGGATAAGGGTTTGGGATGGGACGGGGGGGAAGGGGGGGTGGGAAAGGAATGGTACCCAACCACTTGGACAGTCGAGGATTGAACGCCAACCTGCATGAAGCGAGACCGTCGCTCTACCGTCCAGCTCCAGCTTAGTCCATAACGCGTCCACATTTGTGACATCGGCAGTATTGAGAAGGTATTCCTGTAGACCCCGACAAAGACGCCCTTCTGTCCGTCATATCCCAAATCTTTGTCCATTGTGGACAAAAGAGTTGTTCAAAGGATTTTGAAGGATTTGTCCAAATCCTTGCAAGTGTCATGTGATCACACTAGCTTGGCAATTACTCCTGATAATTACTTACCTGGGGCCCTAAGGGCTTTGCTTTTACTCCAGCAGGAATAACTTTTAACCGAATTAGCTGACTTGATGGGCTAGGCTCCACCGCTGGAGATCCACAGCTTCACTGGCGTTTAAATCTCTAGCGGTGCGACTACATTATTCATTAAACTTTTTACATTACCATTATGTTGTGAAGATCCACCACCTGCAGCCCTGAGGAATATTATTAACACACAAACCTCTCACAACAGTACTGAGGGAGGTAACTGAGACAGGTTACATCTGTCGCTTTACATTCCGCCAGAGACGTGACGGGGCAGCGCCGCCACTCTGGTGTTGGGAGCACCACACTTCAGTCATCACTAACAAAGGAGTAAGTTAGTCGTGTTAGTCACATGACTAACAAAAGGGTAAGTTAGTCTTGTTAGTCACATCACTAACAAAGGGGTAAGTTAGTCTTGCTAGTCACATGACTAACAAAGGGGTAAGTTAGTCTTGTTAGTCACATGACCTACCTTGAGGTTACCTTGAGGTGCTTCCGGGGCTTAGTGTCCCCGCGGCCCGGTCGTCGACCAGGCCTCCTGGTTGCTGGACTGATCAACCACGCTGTTGGACGCGGCTGCTCGCAGCCTGACGTATGAGTCACAGCCTGGTTGATCAGGTATCGACTAACAAAGGGGTAAGTTAGTCTTGTTAGTCACATGACTAACAAAGGGGTAACTCTCTTAAATAACTCTAAATCTATCAACATAATAATAGCACAAGTCCAAAGCCCCCTAGGAACCTGTATGCAAATTAAAACAATAGAAGCTAAAGATTGCATTTAAGTTTCTATGCTACATAGTTCCCTCCCCCCCCCCCCAGGCTTGGCGCTTTCTTTTGATAATTATTTCTGTTTATCTGTTCCCTAAGAAAGGAAAAGATTGTAGCCAACCCAGGTTGTAATCACTTTGTAGTTTTTTGAAGGTGATATACCTCTTTGTTTTGAATTGACTTTTGTCAATTATGCAGTTGACATTCTTTATAAAAAAAACTCCACATTAATCACATGGCAAGTTTCACATCTAACACCATTAAAGTGGCCTTGGGGGGGGGGTCTTTATAATTGCTAACATTTCTTTAAACATTTAATTTAAGCCTACCCCGACTAGCATATGTCCGTCCTGTACCTCAGACCCTTCCCCCTGCAAACTTGGGTGAGACTATCCCGAAGGGTCTGGCTTCCAACTTTGGACGGACAAACATGCATTCTCTTTTACAGTATTGATATTTGTGTAATATATGTAAATAATAGTTATCATATTTCACCAGCAATAAATAACTGGTGAGTGAATACAATTAAGTGAATGTGACAGTCACCAATGTGGCCCCTGGAATGTAGAATTAAATCCCACGAACATATTTCCCTCGACACTCCAGATTTCCAGCTTAAAACTTCAGCTCTCTAAATTGCAATATTCCCTTGGGAAGCGCTTTATAATAAGCCACTTATAATGACTCCTACTTCTATACATCTTGTTTAACAAAAAGCGTTTAATGAAAAGTGTTCCTTATGGTCACTACAGAAATATGTCGAAGTATTGATTTCTATGAGGTTATCGATATGAAAGTTTCGGGTTCATTGAGCTTGTTCACCTACCGAGAGGTGAGTTACGGCTCTTGGGTCCCGCCTCTCGACTCTTAATGGACTGGTGTATAGATTCCAGAGCCACTTAGCTCTGACAAGTCTACATTCAAAGCTGTGTATGGAGTTTGTCTCCACATCATCACTTAATAACGCATCTCATTTGATCATTATTCTGTCTGTGAAAACACTATCTGATGAACAAATCTACAAGGGCCGTGATGAGGGTTCGAACCTATGCAGGGGATGTTCCCAGATGCGTTCTAGTCAACTGTACCACAACATGGTCAAAAAATTGCAACCTGGAGTCCTACTGCCCTCACGAGGATTCCGCAGCTTCTCCAAAGCACAACAGGGGCTTCACGCAATCCCCCCCCCATGCACCCGAGCTCTGTCAACCATATGTTCTACCTCTTCGCTCTTACTTCAATACACTTACAAATCACAATAGCGTGATATATCAAATGAACAAATTCATAAGGGATTTGTGGATTTGTGAACGACTCCCTTGTGGATTTGTTCATTTGATATATCACGCTATTGTGATTTCTGTGTGTACTCTTTCTGATATCAGAGGCTCATCTGGATACTTGGTTTCCATATGCAGGCGATGAGTCACAATAACGTGGCTGAAGTATGTTGACCAGACCACACACTAGAAGGTGAAGGGACGACGACGTTTCGGTCCGTCCTGGACCATTCTCAAGTCGATTGTGAATGGTCCAGGACGGACCGAAACGTCGTCGTCCCTTCACCTTCTAGTGTGTGGTCTGGTCAACATACTTGGTTTCCATTTGTCACATTGTTCTTCTATTACTCATACTAAATACTGTATTTTCTCCTTGCCCGCTCTGTCTATTGACACAGTATTTTGTATGCGGTGATTATGTCTTTCCTGTTTTTCTCTCTTTCGGTGACGCGAGGTTTAAACTCATTTAATCTTTGCATGTAGCTTATACCTCTCAGCCCCGGCACCAATCTGGTGGCATATCTCTGGAATTTCTCTAGAATAGTTTTGTGTTTAACGAATAAGGACTCCACGCTGGCGCTGCCTATTCCATAATTGGTCTGACATAGATGGTATGCAAGGTCCTGAACGACTCTTCAGATTCCTAAAGGCAATTGTTGTGTTCGACACCTTGTAAATACAACTGATAATATTAGTCTGATGTGGACTTTTAGAGTGATTCAGTGTAATATCAAACCCCCCCCCCCCAAGACTTTTTTCTGGTATATTCCAGAACTATAAAGATTAAGCCACCGAAGAGGTGGCACGGGCATGAATAGCCCGTAACTCCTCTCCTATGTGTTGCCTTGTGTTAGGCCTGTTCCCAGCACCGGGATTCACTTCTATACACTTGCGTTAAACTCTAACAGCCACTTTTTGGACAACCCTTTCATTTGTCCTGATCATCTTGAAGTTTTTTGTAGTCTTCAATTACATTTATCCTCTTCATTTTTGCACCATCAGCAAACATTGGAAGGATGGAATCTATCTCTTCCCCCCCTGGTTAATGTTCACATAGATTAGGAATAGGATCAGTGCCAGTATCGGCTCCAGCGGGACGCCACTGACAACATTCTGACACTCTGAGGTCTCTACTCTTACTGTGCCACACTGAGGTCTCTACTCTTACTGTGCCACACTGAGGTCTCTACTCTTACTGTGCCACACTGAGGTCTCTACTCTTACTGTGCCACACTGAGGTCTCTACTCTTACTGTGCCACACTGAGGTCTCTACTCTTACTGTGCCACACTGAGGTCTCTACTCTTACTGTGCCACACTGAGGTCTCTACTCTTACTGTGCCACACTGAGGTCTCTACTCTTACTGTGCCACACTGAGGTCTCTACTCTTACTGTGCCACACTGAGGTCTCTACTCTTACTGTGCCACACTGAGGTCTCTACTCTTACTGTGCCACTCTGTTCTGTGTTACAGAGATACTAATGTATTCACTAGAGACTCTTCCCTGCTACTCCTGCCGGTTTCTGTGTTCTGTGCACTAGTCTCAAGGTCCGGGTAGGACACTGTACCGAAGGATTTCTGATAGGTCAAAAATATTTAATTAGTGGATCCAATCTCGGTCGTCTGGTTATAGAATCAAGTTAGTGAGGCAGTTTCCTGTCACGTTATATATTATAGTAAGCGGCCAGCGAATGGCTTTTGCTTCATCTTAGTATCATGACGAAATGTTGTCTTGTCCCACAGCCTTAGTTGTGCCGGCTCCTGCAGGCGTCTGCTCCACTCCTGCTGGATTTCATTCTGTTCTCTGCTCAGAAAATTCTTGTTCTATTGTGAAGACCTGGAATCTAGTGTTGAGTTTTTGCACTTCTCTGTTGTTTTCAGTTAATAAGTCTTCCATTATCCTCAGTGAGTGAGGTGATGATATTGTGGGTGGTGATGGTGTGTGAGGGGAGGGTGAGTGAAGGGGGGGGGTACAGTGGGCGTGGGGGGATGATTGACTCATGGAGTGCAAGGACTCACTTGGCACTTGGCAGCCAGCGCCCTCCATTCCAGGCGCTCCAGCCTGCTAAGTCCTCCTCGTCCGCCCGGAACTCTTTGTCCCCCCCCCCCACCCCACACGACTCGCCCCTTCTCTCCCCCCCCCCACCCAACCCGACCAGGCCAACCCCACTTACCTCGCCCACACACTTTCATGCACACGTACCAGACAGACAGACAGGCAGACGGGTTCGGGTTGGCGGGCGGGTCGGGCAGACAGGCAGGCTGATTGACAGACCAGAGAGACATTATAATTCTGCCAACACTATATAATTCCAATATCACTTATAAGTATCTGTACGATGGTACAATATGGTTGCAGCTGGCAGTCCCAATCATTATGGACGAAGAGGAGGTGGACGAGAGAGAGAATCTGTATAGCAAGAACCCGTCTTGGATACAAATATCCATGGAAATACGGAATGGAAACATCAGTTGAGCAGCGGAGTTGCAGAATCTGTGGTGACCCACAAGTGGAATGCACTGAAAGAAGAAGCTGTACAAGCCACCTCCATTCACAACTTTAAAGCTGAATTCGACGAGGAGAATTCGAGCATTAGGATAGTTAGATTATATCTCAAGAGGCACACAGAGCTGGTAAACGGGGCATAGAGAGTTAGACCTCACTCCCCGGAGTCGCTGAGAGGTAAATACAGGCACAAGGAAAATATAAAGATCCATCACTTGGAGCAGAACAATCTAGAAATGGTTCAAAGATGTGCAACAATGTCGTTCCTTGACTGAGAGGCATGAGCTACGAGGAAACATTATGAAAACTGGCCCTCATTAGCGGAGAGCAAAAATAGTGATAACATGATAACGACATTAAAGATTTTACTGAGAATTGACTAAGTAGACAAAGAAACAGTGTTCAAATAAGCTACAGAACAAGGGGGGGGGGCATAGATGGAAACTAGAGGGAACTGAACTGAACGAGAAAACTGAATCATCACATTAAACTACAAAATGTTAAAACGGGTCTGAAGGATCTGAGCTACAGTGAATTAGAGGGTACACGAGAGAGATGTTTTGGCCAGAGGGTATACGACGTCTGTGTGTACCCCCCTCTCCCTACACCTCGTCTCTGGTGTACCACCGTGGTCTACACGTCGTCTCTGGTGTACCACCGTGGTCTACACGTCGTCTCTGGTGTACCACCGTGGTCTACACGACGTCTCTGGTGTACCACCGTGGTCTACACGACGTCTCTGGTGTACCCCCGTGGTCTACACGACGTCTCTGGTGTACCACCGTGGTCTACACGACGTCTCTGGTGTACCCCAGTGGTCTACACGACGTCTGTGGTATACCCCGGTTATATATATGTACTCACCTAATCGTGGTTGCGGGGGTTGAGCTTCGGCTCTTTGGTCCCGCCTCTTAACTGTCAATCAACTGGTGTACAGGTTCCTGAGCCTACTGGGCTCTATCATATCTACATTGTAAACTGTGTATGGAATCAGCCTCCACCACATCACTGCCTAATGCATTCCATCTGTCCATAATTTGTGTTTTGTTTTACATGTGTGATGATATCCATGCAAAGGAGATTCGAGACCCTTTACTCTGTGCAACAATTAGGTCATTTATAATTGGTAGTATGAAGTTCTTGATGTCGACCTTCCAGGAGAAGTTTTCAATTGCTTGAAGAGCAGACTTTGAATCACAAAGTATTATTCCTCCTCCAATGTTTTTTAATGTACTAGTTGTAGTGCCGCTAGTTCTGCTTGTGTGGAGGTCAGCCAGTTGTTTAACCTGACACTGACAGTCTGTGTGCAAATATTATTTCTATAAAACCTACATGCTGCTGCAGTCCGTCCAGTAGAAGATTGGACTGAGTCGTCGGTGTAGGCACAGTGCTCGTGAGATCTTAAATTCTCGATGGAGGAGGCAATTGTTTCGAGTGTGACAGCTTTGAGAAGAGCAAGATTCTCATTATCTGTCTTGGTGACAGGTGTGTATGATACTTGAATGGTGGGGTACAGATAAAGAGGAATATCAGACAGGTAGATTGCACTTGAAAGGAATGTTGAGTTTAATGAGATTGTAGGCATTTATACTCATTTATCATAGAAGGAGTGAGTCGGTATGTTGGCACCTTGAGGAGGGAGGGCCTCGATACAAGACTTTCCTTTTCACCTAATGCCACTGTTCACTTGGAAGTAAAGATCTTCCCGGGAGTTGGAATCCGAGACTCCCGATTATAAATCGAGAATGAACCCAACTCTACTACCGAGACCCTTCAACATTGTTCTTAATTACTGCAAGCTTAGCAATGACATCATCATTATGATGTTCTTGTAGCCAAATGTGAGATGCTGTCAAAAATAATCCGACTTTGACTCTCTTCTCGAATATGCACACATTTGTCTGGGTTAAAAGGCAAGTATAATATAATGTTATTGTAATTTGTGTTCTGCAGTCTTTTCAGTGATTTTGAGTGCTAGCAGACTAGCCAACAGTTTAACTTGTAAGATGGGTTTCCAATTACTGATGTATATTCCATTAAAATGTCTTCCTAACTGATGTGAGATACTCATTTTGAAGAAAAATCAGTATTATGAAAACACTTAAGTCTATCATTAAACCGTTTTCTTTTAATAGTCAGTTAAAGAAAATGTTTCTAGCGTTGTCAAATATAGCATAGACATTTCTAATAAGGCTTTAATTGGCAATTTTGTTTTCAAATATGGCATAGCAATCCCATGGACAGGAAGCCTGTTAGGCTTTACGAGATCCATGTAGCCAAGAGCGACGCTGTCGGCCGATCACCAACCCAGTTATATGTCTGATCTGACGTCAGACATATAACCTAACCGACTGACTGACCGCGCTACGCCTACGTCATCCTCTTCATCAAACCATTGGCTCTTCAATAGTTAGAAGTTTGTACATGGGTTACCTCATCAGTGTTCCTGGCCAAGGACGAGGATATATCAGTGTTGTAACCATCCTAGTTACTTGCTTGGCCTCGGATACTAATACAAAATATAAATGATAAAACAATTTAATTTGATTAATACAGATTTATATACAATTTTTGGGTAAATGACTTACTAAAAACGTTTTGTTTTCACAAATTTCCAGAGTAAAAATATGATTGGCCAGCTAACCTGTATCTGGGCTACATCAACCAATGAGAACGCTTCGCCAAACATACGGACAAGCAACACATGACAACTAAGAAGCCTATAAATGATATAAAACAAAAAGCCTGAGACTAAAGATAAAGTTCCAGCCTTTACCTGCGTTAACAAAAGAACGAAAACTTGTACTAAATTACCTGTGACCTATTTTCGGTAACATTTACAAGAAAAGTTTAATTTGGTTAAAGGAGCGATGAGTGTCGACCATATCATAAGAACATAAGAACAAAGGCAACTGCAGAAGGCCTATTGGCCCATACGAGGCAGCTCCTATTTATAACTGATCATATATATCAGAGTACATTACGGATATCTATTTTAATTTAAGTGATGCTAAAACCCTAGATAAAAGTTTCGTTCATTCGTAGATTTAAACAAAAAATATTTAAATAGTCTTATATATAAACAACTATATTTTTAGGTACAATATATGCAACAATATAATATTTCCGGGATAAAATAGTTGCTATTATAAACAAGTGATTCATAGAGGAACACGTATTTCTTGGTACGGAAACACGATGCCTCTGTAACATCGTCGTTGTTATTGTTGTTGTTTAAGATTCGCTACTTGGAACAAAATGTTCCAAGTAGCACGGGCTATGGTGAGCCCGTAGTGGACTTCATCCTGGCTAAGCATGAAGAAAACGGGTTCCAGCTAAACTCTTGGTTTACGCCTCTGTTGACCTGTTGGTAACCTCGTCAACGGCGGAGTCTTCGGTCATGGCCGCCGTCGAGGTCTCTCTTGGGGTGTTTTCCTCCGTCCCTTCTTTCTTCTTGCTATCCACTGTTTTTACTGTCTTGTCCTTCACTGCCACATTTTCTTCTGTCTTCTTGGACACTTCCCTGACAGGCTCAAACGGGGCCTCGCTGGTCACCGCCTTCGTATCAACGGCTTCGCGAGATTCACCATTTCCACCCTTTTCCGAGACCTTGTCTCCTCCTCCCTCATTTACTTCAACTTCCTTCTTCTCCTCCTCCTTGTTCTTCTTAGCGCCAGTCTTCTCACCATCTTTCGTCGGCTCCTTAGCTTCATCGGAAGTAGCTGACAGAAGTAAAAACAGCATTTTGTGATTGTGGATGTTGTGTGACGGGTCCATGTGTCCAGCAGCCACCACCAGGAGTATAGCGGAAGAGTATAAGGAAGAAGGGTCAACACGGCTTTTCCAAATCCGACATTCACTTATTGTTAAGAAAGTCGATACCCTCAGCCCGGCTGAGTCAGGGAAAAGTCAGCAAGGTCAGGAAACCAAAAGAAGGTCGTAAACCATCGACACGGTTATGTAGTATGAAGGTTGTACAGGTCAGGACATCCGCAAGCTAAGAAAATGTCGTCCATGTAAGGCAGGTTAAGAAGAATAACAAGATCCTGTAGCTCAGGCAGACCAGGGAGCATCACTAAAATCTCATCAAAGGTCAAGAAGCATAACAATAGTCAGGCAGATCAGGAAACGTGAAGGTTATAGTGCTTAGAGAAGCAGGAAATATCATGGAGTGTCTTTGCGGACAGTTGGGCAGACTAGGAAGAAATCCTTAATGTTAGGCGAGGAAGCATCAGCCATATAAGAGAAGAATGAAGCCTGGGTTAATTGGTATAAAGCCAGTTAGTCTGATAATGAAGCCACTCAGGGAAGGTAAAGCTGACAAAGACAACTATTCATGAGAATTATGCTGGGCAGTCAGGGAATGAAGCAGTTTAATAATAACATGTAGCTGGGAAGATGAAAAATGAAGCCATCTTGTGATCCAGTAGATGAAACCAGATAGCCAAAAAATGAAGCCATTAATATATACAGCTCCTCATATTGCCCGAAAATATTCTATGTTGCCGAGGCTCGAACCCAGGTCCCGAAGTAGGAAGAGCGAATCACCAGACTCTCATGCCAGCCACAGTTACTAGTAACCTTGGGAGAAAAGACCAAGAGTTAGTTCACGCCTCGGTAACAGAGCAAAGTTATCAGGACATTATATAAGGGATACCTTAATATTGACCATACTTATGTTTTTGTGCAGGATAATATTACTTAATTTAGCAAAATGTTCACTGATAATCTAAGATAAACAGGTAAGGGGAGGGGGGAAGGGAAATTAATTAGCTAAAAAAAATTATAATCCGAAATTGACATTTATACATTTCAATTGTTCTCTTGTCAGACGATATCTTGATAAGGTTGGAGGGAGTGTGGAGGTGGGGGAGGGAGTACCACAATGACCCATCTGGCTGTGATGTGTGGCTGATGAATTCCGTCTTCTGGCATCATGCCACTCTTGTGTTGGGCTTCCGTCGTCACGCAGACGATGCGTCACAATAACGTGGTGAAGATGTAATGACCAAACCACACACCAGGAGATGAAGATAAGATGACGTTCCGGTCCGTCCTGGACCATTATCAAGTTGATTGTCACAAAAACCTCGTCGCCTCTTCATCTTCTGGCGTGTGGTTTTGTCATCATAGCTTTCATCGTCACTTGTAAACGCCCTGTTTAGTCTTTCCAGGAGCTACGGTTCCTGAAGGGCAACAGGCTTCTTTGGCCGGGGGTATGAGTGAAGGAGACAGCTCAGCGACGCCCAGCTGAACGTCGAGCTGAACCTAGTCTTGCTGAGTCTGGCTCGGGTCATGGAGGGAGTGGTCAACACCGTAGCTGGGGTGCAAGCACCTCGCCTTGTTGACCTCTATGGTGAGTTGGGGCACCAGAAAGTAAAGATTAACACAAAACTGATACTTTCTTACTTTTTTTTTAGGTTATGGCCCTCCTGTTGGGGGAAGGGAGCCAAGATTGTGAGGCTTGTGTGCGTCAGCCAACACACCCTGACAGAGAGGTTAGGTTATCTTGAGATGATTTCGGGGCTTTAGTGTCCCCGCGGCCCGGTCCTCGACCAGGCCTCCACCTCCAGGAAGCAGCCCGTGACAGCTGACTAACACCCAGGTACCTATTTTACTGCTAGGTAACAGGGGCATTCAGGGTGAAAGAAACTTTAGCCCATTTGTTTCTGCCTCGTGCGGGAATCGAACCCGCGCCACAGAATTACGAGTCCTGCGCGCTATCCACCAGGCTACGAGGCCCCCAGAGAGGCAGGAAGTTACCAGCAAATATCATGACAAGTGATACTAGGGGCACATATACCCTAGCATATTAAAAACACCTAATAACATAGTCTCCGATTGGGAAAATAAATGATATAACTAGACATAGTTTCATGTGAGTGAGTGCATGATTGTGGGTTGTGGACAGAAGCCAAAAGTGACAGCGCCGGCTGATGGTGCTCTATTCTTGATCTCTTCTCTAGTACAAAATGCCAGAGTCCACAAAATAACCAGCAAATACCAGGCAAAATAACCTGTGTAGCTTGTGAGCACCTCTTCTCCAGTTGTAGTCTCTCATAACCCTCTCCTTCCCACTCAGTGGGAACAGCTGGTGCATTTACCACTTCCAGCACGATGGACACTGCAACTCTTACATGAGAATTAGTGAAGGTTTCTCAAATCCAACCCCAATCCATCTTTGGGGGTGGTGCGTCAACTCTTCGAGCTCATCACGGGCCAGAGGAAGGCTCCCAAGGTGCCGGCGTCGGCTGCCACTCCCGCCCTCTTGTGTGGGATCTCTGTTCTCTCCATCGCAGAAGACCGTTGCTTCTGGGACGGAGAGCCGACCTTCTGACCAGCTCTCAAGTGAGTATTTTTCTAGAGTCATTGTATGTTGGTGCATCCAAGAGGGGTTGACCAGTCATACACAAACTGCCACTGGAGCCACTGCCACTGTTGATTCGTTTCGCTTAACAGGAACATCTTTATACAGGACTCGGATACAGGGTCTTGGAGGAATGCATCAAATGTATGTAAGTCATACCCAAGCAAGCCTCCAAAGCTTGGGACTGTTATAGTTGTGAAGCTTAATCAGACCTTCAGACCTACGATGGTCTCAACGTCTTATCACAACTTGTCTCCTCTTCCCTTCACGTCACACGAGGTAACCATGACGGCTGGAACTATGTCATCCTCTGGAACAATTGTTAACACCCGTACTAAACTATTTTTAACACTTTAGCTAACATTCCTGCAAGCCCTCATGAGGATGGAAGTATTTATGTAACCTTGGGTGTGGCCCCCCCCCCTAGGGGTGGCCCTGGAGGTGACTAGTGGTGACCCTAGTGATGGCCCTGGAAGTGACTAGAGGTGGCCCTAGGAGACGGCTCTAGGTATGAGCCTGAAGGAGAGACTTACGTTTGGGCGTGACGCAGAGTCGGCCGCACTGGTCTACCATGCAGCACTTGGTGGAGTTGGGGCACTGGTCGTCGTACTTACACTGGTCCGTCCCGCTCTTGCACTTGATCCCGAACCCCTTGGGCGTCTCGCAGTGCCCCGGCCTGTCTGTGGGGGCACGACGACGGTAAGGAAAGTAGGTAATAGGACGATGAGGATGGTTAGGTGGGAGGGATAGATTTGTGGGAAATAACCATGGGAAGGGAGGATTGGTAAATGGTTTGGAGGAATAGGTAGAGGGGAAGGGATAGTTGAGGTAAGAAGGGGTAGGGAGGTGTGGGAAAAAGGTGGATGAGAGTGGGGGGGAGAAAGAAAAGGCAGGAGAAAATTAAATGGGAGGTGTGAAGGGTGAAATATGAGACGGGGGAGAGGATGGGGAAGGGTAGGTGGAGGCAAGGAGGAGGGTGAGGAGAGGGAAGGTGACCGTCAAATGAGAGGTACGGCTAAATATTGCAATACATACAACATACAAGACACCTTACGCAATCGAGGATAATAATCTCCCAAAGCTGCACAAATACAACAGCGGTGGTGACTATATCAACACTTACGTCGCCACTACTATAGTACTCCACTACACCATCACTCGTAATGTTTACTATTTAAACCTTCATGGCTTCATGAGCCACTTCTCCCTGATGATATAGCCATGACACCACTGCCAGCCATGAGCCAGCCACCACGCTACCTCTGATATGTCTGCCACTTAAGTACTTGCTCAAGACTTGCTTAGCTAAATGAACTATGGGGTTCAGTTCCTGAACCCATTATGTGCCCCTGTAACCCTGTCCACCACCCCCCACGGGATGGGTATGGGGCGCATAATAAAGAAAAGACTCAACACTGGGGGGGTAGAGGGGAGCAAGTGTACCCTGGGGGCAAGTGTACCCTGGGGTGTACAAGTGTACCGTGAATACGTACCAGCCTTTCTGGGTGGTGATGTCCGGCTCTTGAGCGGTGCGGCCGTCGGCGCCGCCAGCCACCCATTGACACCGACACGTCGGATCTCCTCCGTCACGTCCTTCGTCGCCTCCTCCGTCACCCCGTCTGTCACCTCTTTGGCGGCAGCAGCCTCGGCAACGGCCTCTTGGCCCTTCACAGGACGCCTCAGGGAGGGTTTCTTGAGGGGTCTGGTGGTGGAGGAGAGGCTGGCGCTGGTGGTAGTGGTGTCAGTGGTGGTGGTGTCAGTGGAAGTGGTGGTGGGAATGGTGGTGGTGTCAGTGGTGGTGCCTCCACGGGTTCTACACTTCCTCCCACGACGACAGGTGTTGGGAGCAGCAGCCACCGTCGCCACCTGTTAGACACGTCAACAATTGTAGTCAACATAGACATAAACGCTGGACCCCTGACCCCCCTGGACCTCTGGACCCCTGACTCCCCTGGACCTCTGGACCCCTGACTCCCCCTGGACCTCTGGACCCCTGACCCCCTGGACCTCTGGACCCCTGACTCCCTGGGCACTTGTGATACACATGCAAAATTTCCCTTGAAAGAGGGAGGAGGCGGAGAGGTAGAGAATGAGGGGGAGGGAGGGGGGAAGAAATAAAAACGGATATAGAATAAATGTTGAAAATTCTAATCATATGAGCGATAATGGTACAACAGGAGATGCTGCTAGCAGAGCGTCTTGTGTTGTAGTTGCTGACTTCTGATTCCCCACGGGCAAGAATATTGGCCTTATACATAGTAAAACTGCCACTCTCTCTCTCCGGTTTGAAGGCTCTGATGGCCTGATCTGTCCAACCAGGGAGGGTACAGACTTGAGATAGGTCGTCCTCTGAGTTTCTCTTCTTTGTCCAGAAGTCGCAGTGAAAGATGGTTAGCGGATGACATCCAGGAGAGTGGAGGCATAAGGACGCTACAAGCAAGCTCGTGTTTTATATGAAGTTATGGAGCAGGCATGAAAATTGAGTCAGGTATGTGATGTATAATGCAGTGCAACTCAATGCCTGCAGGACAAGTAGCATTTTATTTGACTAATTGTATAATGTGCATGCTGTGCATGCAATATTTAAACTCAAAATACACACGAAACAATGTTTACAAATGGGATAATATTTTTACTCGGAAACTACCAGGCTAAATACTAATTTAAAAATAGCATTGTTGATTTACGGAACAAATTACCGGTAACACATTATATGTGGTATTGTTAGATTTTAAGTGAAGGTTAGGCATATATTAATTTGATTGGGTATAAATAGGACCGTCTATAACTACACTACACAGATTTTCGCCAGATTTGCATACGTTGCTGATGACATCCTGTTACTGTGTGACTCCGGCGATAAGCTTCAAGGTGTATCTTCTCCCAGATCTTTTAAGTTTTCTGACTCATGTGTTTATATTGCTATAATATTGTCATGTTGCTGTAGCCTCTTCTACAGAGGCTACAGCAGAGGATTAAGCTCATTGAACAGTAAGAAAGAATTTTAGATACGAACTATGGAAATGTTACTTTAAAATTCAACTCCTATGGGGTCATAGGAGGTATAGGTATTAAGTGAAAGATTATATCACATATATTAACTCTTGTGGCGCCATGTGAAAGTTACGATGGAGGTGAGGCACAGACAACATTCTTGTCCCGAGTGTCGGCAGTGAAAGTCACTCTCCGGAAGGTCCAGGACGCTCATGCAAGTTCTCTCTCCTCGCGATAAGCATTACCACATTCACATGTAATCACACATCTTTCCATCCCAATTCTTCCTGGGAGGTAGACTATAATGGAGACCTGTGGTTGAGGGGAAGCGTCAGTTACCCGGGAGGACAGAGGCGTGCCGCCACGTGCTGCCCTCTGTAGGTCAGCGGCGGCCACGGGAAACTTCCGCAGCTTTCACTGGTCCGGGTTAAGGCCAGCGGAGCAGCGTCCCTTGTTCTCTCCTGTGTCTGGTCAGCTATACGAGGTACAAGGGTCGAGCTTCACCTCTTGGGTCCCGCCTCTCAAATGTTGAAAACCCCTAAGCCTCTCAATTCCTATCACATCTAGTGAGTATACACACATATTCCTATAACATTGTCATGTTGCTGTAGCCTCTTCTACAGAGGCTACAGCAGAGGATTAAGCTCATAGGCCAGTAAGAAAGAATTTTAGATACGAACTATGGAAATGTATTCCATAGAGGAATTATTAAATTAGAGGAAAGTTTATTCCTTTCACTTGTACACAGAAGAACAATTTCTTGCATCTCTATGGCTTATTCTCCAGCTTCCACACACGCCCCCTTCGTTCTTATTATTATAATTCTTAAAGTTTTATAGTTCAGCCAACCCTCACATGAGGACCTTGCATGTCTCAATCATGTCACCTCTCTCAATTCTTTATTTGAGAATTGTCAGAAACATTTCTCCCAATTTCTCTCTCTAGCTTTTGCCTTAAACCCGGGACTAATCATATAGGTGCTGTGAGAGCGTGGTGTTATGGGAGCGTGGTGTTATGGGAGAGTTTTATGAGAGAGCTGTTAGGAGTTGTTGTTGTTTTAGATTTAGCTACTCAGAACGAAATATCCATGTAGCACGGACTATAGTGAGCCCGAGAGCTCTGTTATGAGAACGTGGTGTAGAGGTATAGGACTGCTCTGTGAGGCGGAGGCTGGAGCTAGATACATAAAATGATATTATCTGTTATTTCTTATCCCCTCCCCCACCTCCCGTACTCTTGCTAAGACCATTGACCTTATCTCACTGTGACCTTCATACACACGCGGCCTCTCTTCAGTGTAATGTTTTTATGTGCACTCTTCCCCACACACTTTCCCTCTCTCTCTCTCCTCTCGTATTCTCTCCATGCACTCTCTCCTTTGCATACTCTTCCTCCTTCACCCATGCGTTGCTTGGGTGAGAGAGGCCTCATGTCTTCATAACTGTGAGCATCTTCACTACCCAGACACCGCTGGGCACCCCATCACTACCCCAGACACCGCTGGGCACCCCATCACTACCCAGACACCACTGGGTACCCCGTCACTACCCCAGACACCGCTGGACACCCCATCACTACCCCAGACACCGCTGGGTACCCCATCACTACCCAGACACCCCTGGGTACCCCATCACTACCCCAGACACCGCTGGGCACCCCATCACTACCCAGACACCACTGGGTACCCCGTCACTACCCCAGACACCGCTGGGTACCCCATCACTACCCCAGACACCGCTGGGCACCCCATCACTACCCAGACACCCCTGGGTACCCCATCACTACCCCAGACACCGCTGGGCACCCCATCACTACCCAGACACCACTGGGTACCCCCATCTACAACCACCATCACCACTACTTTTACTCTCTCACCACCTTCCTTACCTTTCCTCAGGTCATAGGTGAATTAGGGTCGACCCTGACCCCCCTATGACAATTTCCTTACTAACAGCCATGACCCTGTAAAGTTTAGCAAGACTATCCTCAAGCGTCTGGCCGAACACACACACACACACACACATTTTCTATGGGTTTACAATCCGAAATAATATAGGACTCTAGGTGACGTGAAGCGCTTCTAGTGTTATCCCCTGATTTTACGCACAAACACGTACAGATGCACGTCAAACTTTGTGCGTTAGCGTACATAAAGCTGGCGGAGCCGCTTCCCTTCTACCTGCGCCTCTTCCCTGACACCCACAGAGCTGTCAACGAGCGTCGCAGAACCACAGTAGCTCTGTACAGCCTTCATGAGGAGCCTGCCATCAGTCTTAACAAAGATCAGCTGTTATGCATAATAATCTATATCTGAAATCTACGACAATAAGAACATAGACGTCACTATTACTGTCTCCAGTACTGGAGAGATCCGTCAGCGTCATCAACTGTGAAAGTGGATACACACACAACCGTTGTGGCAGCTCTGGGAAAAAAGCGATCAAGAGGATGAGTGCCACGGAGAGATCGCCAGTGGCCGCCCTACATGCACGGGGGTAATTGTTCGCTTACTATCCGACCGATATTTGTGGCGGGAGCAGAGCTGGGGGGTGGGGGGGTGGACGTGGCTGTTGGTGGGGGGGGGGGCGACGGTCCAGGGATCGGATGGGGGTTGTTGGAAGTGGTGGGAAGGGTTGTGATATGGGTAGGGGTTGGTTAGTAGCGTAGAAGGTCAGTTTGTATAGGGAAAGAGCCAAGAACTGTAATTTCCGATAAAACAGCTTTTGCATTACTTTCACTTATTGAGTCACCTTGCTTTTCTCTTCTCCGACAGTATCTGGAGCCCCCCTGGCCACACGACCACACCCTCTCCAGTCAATAGGTATACCCACGAGAGCCGACGCTTTCACCCGGAGAGAAGTATCATAGCCTCTCCCACCCCCCAACCTTCCCTTACATTACCTCCCTGTCTCCCCATTACAGTCCCTGCCCTTTTCCTCGCCAAGTAAAGTCTGGAGGAGATCAGTAAAGACGCAGCAGAACTTGTGGAAATATTTCGCATTGTAGAGCGTGGCTGGGCTGCCTAGGCTAACTTTCTAAGGTGGCGTTGAGGTCTCCACCCACCATACCTGCTACGCGCGACCACCTCATCTGTTGTGTCAACATGCCTGCACGCCTCACCCCCCCTCCAGGGGTGCCTCTCTCTACCACTCTACCTCAAGGATCAAACACTTGCTTGGTAGAGTTAGAATTTGTAAGTAGTGAGGAGCACAGGTAGGTACAGACATACTGGTGGCAGCGGTGGGTGGGGTCAAGGTCTCCAGCTTTCCTCAGCCATTTCACTATCTTGGTCTCTTTCATAATCCTCAAAGCAGTTCAACGACCTCCTCTCCCGAGGTGGGTCAGGTGGAAGTGTGTCTCGAACTGTTACGTGGCTGAGTATTGGGGTGCTCGTGCACCGGTTGTGGGTCAGCATGGTAAACAGGTGTGTGTGTGTGTGTGTGTGTGTGTGCTCAGTAGTGGATGTTGGGCTGCACCTCAGTTCTACGTCCCGGCTCCTAAGTTGTCGCTCATCTGTTAAAAGGATTGCCTTCTCAGGTTCTTGAAACTGAGTATGTCGTCTGCAACTGTCCGTCGTTCTAATTTGTTCTACTTACTCTCTACTCCCACATTAAAGAACACCTTCGTCCCCTTGTTCTACAGCTATTCATATTGAACATCTCGTCTATGTATACTCTATTAGGGAAACACTACCCCCCCCCTTCCAACCCCCACTTTAAAAGCGCCCCCCCCCCTCTCCATCCCTTACATCCCCTCCCTCCCCCCCTCCCACCCTTTCACTGCCTCGTGGGCCCCTACAGCACTGTTACACACAGTGACCTAGACAATCATTGCGTTTCTATCTTGGAGTTGACAGTATCAAGTTGCACCCTTACTCCTTCAAGACGGCCCAATCGTTACGCCAAAATTACCCAGTCAGTCACGACGCCAGAACAGTGCATCCAGTCACGACGCCAGAACGGTGCAGCCAATCACGACGCCAGAATGATCCAGCCAGTCACGACGCCAGAACGGTGCATCCAGTCACGACGCAAGAATGATCCAGCCAGTCACGACGCCAGAATGGTACAGTCAGTCACGACGCCAGAATGATCCAGCCAGTCACGACGCCAGAACGGTGCAGCCAATCACGACGCCAGAATGATCCAGCCAGTCACGACGCCAGAACGGTGCATCCAGTCACGACGCCAGAATGATCCAGCCAGTCACGACGCCAGAATGGTACAGTCAGTCACGACGCCAGAATGATCCAGCCAGTCACGACGCCAGAACGGTGCAGCCAATCACGACGCCAGAATGATCCAGCCAGTCACGACGCCAGAATGGTACAGTCAGTCACGACGCCAGAATGATCCAGCCAGTCACGACGCCAGAACGGTGCAGCCAATCACGACGCCAGAATGGCCCAGCCAGTCACGACGCCAGAATGGCCCAGCCAGTCACGACGCCAGAATGGCCCAGCCAGTTACGACGCCAGAATGGCCCAGCCAGTCACGACGCCAGAATGGCCCAACCAGTCACGACGCCAGAACGGTGCAGCCAATCACGACCCCAGAATGGCCCAGCCAGTCACGACCACAGAATGGCCCAGCCAGTCACGACCCCAGAATGGCCCAGCCAGTCATGACGCCAGAATGATCCAGCCAGTCACGACGCCAGAATGGTACAGTCAGTCACGACGCCAGAATGATCCAGCCAGTCACGACGCCAGAACGGTGCAGCCAATCACGACGCCAGAATGATCCAGCCAGTCACGACGCCAGAACGGTGCAGCCAATCACGACCCCAGAATGGCCCAGCCAGTCACGACCACAGAATGGCCCAACCAGTCACGACCCCAGAATGGCCCAGCCAGTCATGACGCCAGCATGATGCAGCCAGTCATGCCAAACACACAACGCAGTTGTTGCAAAGTTGAAAGTACAATAAGCGTGTTGGCAAACGAATTTATTTCTGACTTTTGCGCTAAATCATTGCGGTTTATCTGTGTGACGATGCTGGTTGCTGGCGCTAGATGTTTGTCGGCAGATCATACCTTGTTCCACTCTCAAGTCCGTGCTAAATCCCTGTTATATATTGGATGTGCGATGACATTCGTGTCTTGGAGGTGTAATTTGTATCAAGTTCCGCAATTCGCATCATTGCTTTCTCCGCTGCTCGTTTTCTTCCATTTTTTGTTAAATCTCGGGCGGTCTTCGACTTCGCAATGGATCATTATTGTGTATTGGTTCTGGGCGGTGTTCTCAAGGGGTTCTGGGCGGTGTTCTCAAGGGGTTCTGGGCGGTGTTCTCAAGGGGTTCTGGGCGGTGTTCTCAAGGGGTTCTGGGTGGTGTTCTCAAGGGGTTCTGGGCGGTGTTCTCAAGGGGCTTCTGGGCGGTGTTCTCCAAGGGCTTCTGGGCGGTGTTCTCAAGGGGTTCTGGGCGGTGTTCTCAAGGGGCTTCTGGGCGGTGTTCTCCAAGGGCTTCTGGGCGGTGTTCTCAAGGGGCTTCTGGGCGGTGTTCTCAAGGGGTTCTGGGCGGTGTTCTCAAGGGGTTCTGAGCGGTGTTCTCAATGGGTTCTGAGCAGTGTTCTCAAGGGGTTCTGAGCGGTGTTCTCAAGGGGGTTCTGGGCGGTATTATCTTCGTATCCCTCCCAAGTGTTCTATAGTCGTAATGACTCGGTGCTTTCTCCTGATAATGACTTTACCTGATGATTTAGAGAATAACAATATTTACGTGTAAGAAGTCTTAGTAATTACTGAAGATATCTGGCCTAGGATTCGCGAGCAGTTACGGAACCTGTACATCTCTCATCAGTCATGACGGGTTACTGTGCTATATTAACACAAAAATCAGACACAGGAGGCTCTCTTTAATATTAATAACATTGAGTCGAGAACGACCTCGCAGCGTTTCGAAGATCGTAAACTGTTCAATAAATACAAACTTATGGCAAGATGTAAAGGCTTCGTAAGTGGCGACGTAAGTGTTTGACGAGTCCTGGCCCCCCCTGGCCGTGGTTGCCAACCAGCTCCGGGTAACACTACCATAAACGCTGGAGAGTCGACCATATTGTTACCAGATTTTGTACCATGTTATAACCTATACCCATACATGTACTGTATCTTAACTGTATTGATACACATTGTAAAATGCTTTTATACATGCCCCATACACAGACCAATCGTACATACACGGAAATCATCGCAAGAGCAGCTGGTTTCTGCATCGATAATTAGTATAGCAATAAACAGGCTAGGCTACAGAGCTAACAGGAGCAGGCCGCATCTAATCATACAGTCGAAGTACTGTATTAAAATAATCACAGTAAATTATCACATAACACCACTGTAGTGCCACCATAGTTACTGTGTCATCCTCATACAATGATAACGTCCATTAACTTAGGAAATGGTGAGGTTGGAGAGGGAGCGCGCGCATGCATGCTGGCGTTCGTGACAGTCTACACTCAAATCCAGATTTATTGAGATACGGACGTTAGTTTTTTTGTACTGCTTTGACGAGAAGTGTAAGCACGTGTCATCCCCACTTCACCTGCATCTCAGGGATGGTGGCGGCGATACTGGACTTTGACTGTCATTGTTGTATTTGTGTTATTTTTGTCTTTGTTCTACTGCTGCGTAGCTCATCCATAGCTTTCTAAAGAGTCGTTCGCAATTTTGTTTTAGAAAGGTGCGCAATGCGCGCTGCGCACCTATGCGCCGGTTTATGATCCGTTAAGAACGAGATGAACTTGCGAGTAAACCGGATGTTCCCCGCCTTATGTAATCAAGGCTGCGTGTTTCTCTTCTGCGGACCCGGTGTGTCAAGATGCAAATGTTGCTCATTAAGGTGCTGTGGAGACTGGTAAGAACAATGTAGCAAGCTGCAGGTGAAGGGACTTTCATCTCCTGTTTTTTGTATTCTTTTAGGAAAAAAAATCCGTATTCCATGTAATGCGTTTTTTACCATACTTGCAGTAGGATTGAACTCTCGTTTCTGGACTCCCCCAGACACAACCATGACATCAATATTTTCTCGGTGCTATACTGTGTTTCATCCTCCTATATTGCGCACATTATTTTCATTCAGATAAGTAGAGCATTTGTGTTATGTTGAACTATCGACAGAACACAGAGCACTTTCTCCCAGTGACGCCGCCTCCGCCCCCAACAGTACAGTCAGGTCTCCCTCACCCCTCATCTCTTACCCCAATAAACTCCCCCTACAACACCCCCCAAAAAGAATCCCCATCAATACGAGCTTTCATCCTCTCTTTCATCGCTGAAGCCTGTAGGACTAACGACTATACAACGCTAGGCAGCAGGGCTAGTGCAAGCACCAAGATAGGCTACTACACTAACCTAGTATCAGGCTAGGCTGCAGAAATAACGACAGTGTCAAGCTTGGGGTATATTACTAACGGTAGTAACAGACTAAACTACTGTATTAGCATTATTAATGCAGGTTATTGTCTAACGATAGCATCATACTAGGCTTCAGGACTAACAACAGTATCAGGCAAGGTAACAGGACTAACGACAGTACCAGGCTAGGTCAATGGCTATCGTATTAAAAAATACTGTACAAGTCCACTACGGGCTCACCATAGCTCGTGCTACTTGGAACTATTTTTCCGAGTAGCTGAATCTAAAACAACAACAACAGTGTAAGTAGGCTTCAAATGCACTTTTTCAGGTTATATTTGCACGAGTGCATAATACATCTGCACTTCTGCAGACAACTGCCCTATTGTAGACTACATCTGTATTTATGTAGGTTAAAAATATATTACTACTACACTCAAGCCATCTCTGTGACAATTGCTCATTAATATATAGTTTCTAGATATGGTCATCACTATCTTAAAATTCGTCATTTAGATATACAAAATGATCGCCTAGATGCTAGCATTACATAACCTTGCGTTGTATGTCACATACACATAATCATATACTTCAGGAAAGGTAGAGCATAGCCTCTGATCGGAAAATTCATTACAGACGAGTTAAATCTTTAACATGACGGAAATCATTCAATGTAATCTTATCCAGTGTCGACACACGCCTAAACGGCTAAGGCGTTTTATCCTCCATTCACAGTAGGAGTCCCTGTCATGTGTCTTAGACAGCTTGTACGAATCTCTGTCTCACAGGACTCATAACTCACAACCGTATACTTGAGGTGGCGAGGGAGTGACTGAACTCTGGGACAGTGTCCGGACAGAACTATAACAATAGTTATGTCCAGCGTGGTTTTATAAGTTAATAGGTGGGGTTTCGTGGATATAACAGGAGAGGTTCCCTACTCTTGACTCAGGCAAATTAACTTGATTTTGGTATCTATTATATTACGGGAACTTTGAAAAAAAATCTAAATGGGATACAAAATTCCTAAAAAAAAGAATTTATTAAAAAATAGATATATAAATGATAATCTCCAAGTATGATTAAAAAAATAGTCAATAATGTTATATAATTTTGTTGACAAAGCAGTACGAGATCCCCCCAAAAAATCCTCACTAACCTACATAATCTAATAAACAAACTAGACGAGACTAAACAAACACGTAATAGATGAAACAAATTGATAAAATAATATGCGATACATAAACATTGGTTGTTTGTTTACATTATGTTTTCTTTGTTGTTTATTAAACATAAATAAAAGTTGAAGAAAGAGTAGGGGAGACTTACCAGGATCGCTGCCACTAGCAGGGAAATCCCCCTCATCTTGCTTCCTCGACACTGCCAACACAAATAAAACATACTTAACAAATATAGAACAAATACAGAACAAATAAAACACGAATATATAAAACACCTAATGCAAGCAATTAGAGGATGATAAGACACATTCACGACAGCCAGGAGAAAGGTGGGTGAGGATGATAAGAACAAATAATAAACTTGAGTAGAAATTACACGAGATGCCTCTCCTACTCTTGTATAGCCTGAGCTTGAAACCCTCCCGCGGCTCCTACCTCACCCGGCAAACTCGGCCATACCTCACCCTGTATATACTCAACTTGTATATACTTAAGTCTGGTCTAAATGTAAACTCATCCGAGGCGTATTACACTTTATTTAACACATTATTAATACCGCTCTTGGTATACACTTGTAGACTTCAATTACTCTACAAATTTTGAGAGACTTTAATAAACCTTTCTACTGTAGCCTCAGATTTATTTATTGTTATTGACGCCAGCGGCTGCTAGTTTATTGTGCACCCCATACTTCTCCTGTGAGTGGTAGTTTATTGTGCATCCCATACTTCTCCTGTGAGTGGTAGTTTATTGTGCACTATACTTCTCCTGTGAGTGGTAGTTTATTGTGCACCCCATACTTCTCCTGTGAGTGGTAGTTTATTGTGCACTCTATACTTCTCCTGTGAGTGGTAGTTTATTGTGCACTCTATACTTCTCCTGTGAGTGGTAGTTTATTGTGCACTCTATACTTCTCCTGTGAGTGGTAGTTTATTGTGCACTCTATACTTCTCCTGTGAGTGGTAGTTTATTGTGCACCCCATACTTCTCCTGTGAACGGTAGTTTGTTGTGCACCCCATACTCATCCTGTGAGTGGCAGTTTATTGTGCATCCCATACTTCTCCTGAGTGGTAGTTTATTGTGCACCCCATACTTCTCCTGTGAGTGGTAGTTTATTGTGCACTCTATACTTCTCCTGAGTGGTAGTTTATTGTGCACCCCATACTTCTCCTGTGAGTGGTAGTTTATTGTGCACTCTATACTTCTCCTGAGTGGTAGTTTATTGTGCACCCCATACTTCTCCTGTGAGTGGTAGTTTATTGTACACTCCATACTTCTTACAAAGGGCACATAAGGTCTTAGTTACACCTCAACGGATATTTTACAATATAATTTCCAAATAATGTGCACGTTATAATTATGATAGGAAATTGAGTACCACGGGAGGCAGAGAGGAAGAGGACGCTAGCTCCTAGGAGCTGCAGTGTGACCACGAAGGATGAGGTGAGGTGAAGGTTCTCCTTAATCGGTTATGGCTGAAGCATTGTGATGTGGACACCACCTTTCCTCATCTCAACCTCGTTCCTTACATAAGTTGTTGCTCCAACTAACCACTTTCCTTCCTTGAGACACTCCACATGAAACACACGCTAGGCTGTCTCTGTGCTAGGCTTGATGTCTCTCAGAAATAACTAAACCCTAATACAACCTTAATATTAACAACTTACCAGTAGTCTCCAATAAACAGGTGTGATTTGTGACCTGTGAACTACGAGCTAAGAATTATAATATGAAAGACTTTCAATAACTAAGCGATTGGCAAATATGATATTTCATATTGGCTTTATTTGCGACGTTCATCCTCTGCCGCACTCCGTGCCTGTTGCACGGGGACACTGGTGACACATGTGTCACATCACGCCTGTGCCACATGTGTCGTATCACGCTTGTGCCACATGTGTCACATCACGCCTGAGCCACATGTGTCACATCACGCCGATGTCACATAGTCCAGAAGTAGCGACCTTATCACGTGACACCTTACGAAGCCTAACACAGCGTCAAGGGATGCCACAAGACTGGTGCCGGGACTGAGAGGTATGAGTTACGAGGAAACGCTAATGAAATTACAAATTACTGGAAGACAGAAGACTTAGTAAGATATGATTACTAGATACAAAATTCTTGGCAATTTATAAATGTACGTTCATTAATTTAAAAAGTTTAATTGAACTAGGTTGGGAACCTGTACACCAGGCGATGCGAAGGTTAAGAGGCGGGACTGAAGAGCTGAAGCTCGGCCCCTGCACGCACAATTCAATGTGACAATGACATAGCAAGAGTGAGCAGAGTGCACAACCCACCAGCGCTCTCACTCCACCACCGCCTCATTACCTACCCATTCACAGTGATGAATGGGTAGTTCATCACTGTGAACTACCCATTACTATAACGACCGTGACGGTAAACAAGCCTCGCACTCCTGATTGGCTGAAACTTGCGCATTGGTTTGTAATTAGCACTTATCTGCGCTGCTATTGGCTGAGAGAAACTACTATCAGTAGTTTTAAACAAAAATAAAGTAGTTTTGCTGATAAACAAAAATAAATTGAATTATCTCCTATAAATTACGTGAGGATTGAATAATGGCTTAGTGCTTTCACCTGATAGTTACATTACCTGCTGACCTGTCTCAGGATGCAACCCACAACAGTCCCCCAACTCCCCGGCATTTATGTATTGCTAGGTGAACAGAGGCATCAGGTGAAAGGAAACATAGCCAACCCTTTGTCCCCCACCCGGGTCCGTTGATTGTGAGTTAAGGACTTAGACCACTGAGCTACATAACCCCCATAATATTGCTGTCCTTTCTGTAAGGTGTTGACCATAAGCCACTGACGCCTCATTACAGTGAGGTACAGCTATGAGACAGTGAGGTACAGCTGTGGGACAGTGAGGTACAGCTATGAGACAGCTAAGTTGTCTTACTACTAAGGCTTGTACACGTGAGGGCAAGAACCCTGCTGGTCTTGTCTCCACACAACCACGGCCTTCAGACCTTTTCTCTCCGGTACTTTTCACCGTGATGAAATATCATCTTTGCCGAGGTAATCTCTACTGACAGTATTCGCCTAAGGTTAAAAGTTGCCACTTGTGTACACATGAGATGGGGAAGACGAGTCAGATGTGGTCACTGACATGCTTCATCTGGCTCCCCACAATGGCTGAGGGTCGACATTTCCAAGACAGTGCCAGCAGTTTCTCAGACAGTGCCAGCAGTTTCTCAGACAGTGCCAGCAGTATCTTAGTGTTTATGCTCCAATAACAGACTTGCTGGTCATTGTTGCCAGGTGTGGACCGTCGTTCACACACCCGTTCTGGGGTCTCGCGCCACATCTGGCTCCCCTTAACCACCTGCTGCAGAATTTATGTATACTCATTGCCGGTCTTCCGTGATAATCACTTTTGTATGACTGAAGTATACTCGTCTCATACAAGTCACAGCTTCACGGAGTATCCACCTCTAATTACCTATTCATTCCTGGTTCGAATCCTAGAGTATTTTAAGTGCCAGTCTTCACCTCCTTCGTGCAGTCCTGTGAGAGCGTCCCACCTTGTCCTGCTCCTGTTACCTGGGGCTGCTCTTCCTCTAACTCTACTCATATATACACAGTCACACTACAGCATCACTCACCAACGTGTAAGGACATAAAGCTTTCCTTTAGACCAGTCTCTATGGTTTTTGTCAGTACTATCCACAAAACAATCCATATTTTGTACGTTGTAGCCATATAAGGTTAGGTTTTGTAATTTTTTCAAAGATGGGTTGTGTGATGCACACACGTGGCTCTGAGGCCGCCTGGGTCATGTGTTATTGTGCTCGCTCAGTCACAGCCCTGCTGTGTGTGTGTGTGTACCTCGTGCTCACAGCGGTCACCCTTACCCCTCACACAATGGTCACCCCTTACACAGTCACAATGGTCATCTTTACACTCACCCTTGCACTCAGAATGGTTATCCTTACGCACGAAGTAGTCACTCTTACACTGACAACTGTCACTCTTACAGGATAGTCACCTTACACTGACAACTGTCGCCCCTCCCACACAGTAGTGACCCTTACAGTCACACGGGCCACCTTACACAAGGGTCACAATAGCATGATCATGGCTGTGTACCAGTCATCTGACACACACATCCGCCTCATTCTCTAAAACGTATTCATTCCTCTCTCTCAGAATCGGTTCAGTATTCACGCATATACTAAATAAACATTAAGACCGGTAAGTAAAAGACTTTAAAAGTGTTGTGTTGATATTATGATATAGTTTTTTTATAATTTCTATAAATTATAGAAATTACAAATGTCTTAAAACGGTAATTTGCGAGAAGTGTCTATTTAATTCATATTTGTTGTGTAGAAAGCAAGTGACAGTCATATCTGCAGCTGTCGTTGTCTGCCAGGCGTTGTGTGACGTCACCTCAGCGTTCGCCACCGGGGCAATGCCATCCGGATTGGCCGAGCTGCTGGCGGGGTGAAATCTGACAAGTTGTTTATGTTTTGTCGTCCACATGACTTCAAGAACACCAACACACCTGGCTCCTCCTATACTTTCATGTTGGAGGCGCTTGCCAGAGCAAATTACAAAGACTTGGTTACAAATAATGTCAGCACACTGCGAATAATTATAAACGGGTTTCTATTTCAGGAGAATTATAACAATTATACTCTCATCGGGAGTATGATTGAGAGATTTGGAGAAAGATTAAGCTTGAAGAGTAAAGCATTTTAAGACATCATTATAGATTCTTCTGTAAAAAGTTAATTCTCAATTAAATTTTCATTATGTAGATTTAATTAATAGCAATAGAACCTGTCTCCAGGTCAGGATTGAGAACAACAATTTTCATAAGATGAAGATAACATAAGATTTGTAAACTACAGATTAATATTCTAGTGTCGGATATATTACTCTGGAAGTTGTCGGAAGTGAGGAATACTTTATTAAGACATAAGTAAGCGTCTTGAGCTGTCATCCATCCTCACAAGACGTCTTGAGGCAGGCACAAGCCACGTAGCAAGACTTTGTTGTCAGACACTCCTCCCACACGGAAACAAAAGTACGGTAATGTATCAGTCCTCAAGTTAAGTCCTGATTCGTGAGTACATCTACAAGAACACAAGGAGATGGATACAAGGGTGAGAGGTACTGCAGGAGAGGCAGGAAGGTGGATACAAGGGTGAGAGGTACTGCAGGAGAGGCAGGGAGGTGCATACAAGGGTGAGAGGTACTGCAGGAGAGGCAGGAAGGTGGATACAAGGGTGAGAGGTACTGCAGGAGAGGCAGGGAGGTGGATACAGAGGTGAGAGGTACTGCAGGAGAGGCAGGAAGGTGGATACAAGGGGGAGGAGACGGGCTAGTAAGAAACCCTAACTGTAAGTGTAGCCAATGACCAATGTACAATGTTCTTTTATACTGTACACGCCTAAGTGTACCTTCGACTTATAATAAAATGTAAAATTTAATAACCATTGTCTTTAGATCTGAGACTGCATGGTTGTCAGTCGTTGCGGTAGGCCTACGAGATTACAAGCTCACGAGTGGTCAGTGTAGGCCTACAAGGTCATGGGTGGTGGTAGCATGCCTACTAGATTACAACTCTCATCAAGTGTAGATTTGCGTACACATCACACACTCGAAGACCGAACTTGAGACAGAATTATACTTGATTGTACATTGAATAAGTATTTTAATAGGGAATGTATTATACTAATTAGGTTTCCAAGCATTTTAACCATTATTTCCATATAAAACGCAACGGCAAGCAACCTTATGGAAAAACAAAAACAGGATGAAAAAAACATATTATGCAACGAATACATTTCGTATGTGGGATTTGACAAATGCGTGTAAACTAACCAGTAGAGAGCGGACGTGCAACAACCTCCTCCCGTGCCGTCTAGAAAGCGACTGGCGACAACGGGCTGCAGGCCAACATGTGTGCCAGGCTAATCGCGCATGCGCGGCTAAAAAACAAAACAAAAAAAAAACTTTACCGGAAATCCTGTATTCACATTTCTCTATATATTTTACGTCACTGTAAATGTTAAGATAACTTCGATGAACAATCAAACGGGGAAGTGTTTACGTTCTCAGTTGGGAGGTTATTTTAAGACCAAACTGGAGAAGTATTTTCAGTTGAAGAGTGCTGCTTTCCTTGGCGGGTCATCCGTGCTGCGCTGGCTGCAACTATACCAGTTATGTAGCTTTCTCCCGGTACACTCTTACCTCTAGTGTACCGCACCTTGCTCCAGGGGTGAAGGGTGCTATGGGCGTAGGGGCGGTATGGGTGCAGGGGTGCCATGGGTGCAGGGGTGCTATGGGTGCAGGGGTGCTATGGGTACAGGGACGCTATGGATGCAGGGGTGCCATGGGTGCAGGGGTGCTATGGGTGCAGGGACGCTATGGGTGCAGGGACGCTATGGGTGCAGGGACGCTATGAGTGCAGGGGTGCTATGGGAACAGGGACGCTATGGGTGCCATGGGTGCAGGGGTGTTATGGATGCAGGGGTGCTATGGGTGCAGGGGTGCTATGGGTGCATTCGAGTGATTCGGTTATGCGTCAGTATCCATTATGAAAATAAAGCGAACGTTCCAAATGTTTTCGTGATTCAACACATTATCAAGGAAATACAGCCCTTGATATGACCGAGCTCTCACTCACAGCTCTGGGTGGAAGCAAGTGGATGAGGAGTTATGTAGAATAATGCAGATCTTGGTCAATAATGGTTTCTCCAATGGTTATGTCGAAGACATCATAAAAATGAAGGTGACGAGGTGTGCAACAAGCGAAGGAACAACCACTACCACAATACCCACACTTCCAATAAAATTGTTCTACAGAAACTTCTTCTCCATTGCCTTTAAAGATGAGGAAAGAGCCCTGAGAGAGATCATTGAGAGTAACGTTACCCCAACTGACATCAACCAAAAGATAAAACAAACCATATATTATAAGAGGAAGAACACCGCCAACCTGCTAATAAAGAATTCTCCCAACACCAAGCAAAACGCCTTGAAAGAGACCAACGTTGTTTGAGCCTTCACGTGCCCACTTGGGGACTGTCAGCCCCAACGACCTCAGTATATAGGTAAGATAACAACGTCTCTGTCTAGGCGATTAACCATGCACAAACAACAGGGCTCCGTCAAGGAACATATTATCACCACACACACGAGACGATCACCAGGGATATTTTGACGAGCAACACCGAAATAATTGATAGATACAATGACAATAGAAGATTATAGGCATTGTATCAAGAAATCTAGACCAGCAATCAATAACCAGCTAATACACAATTCCACTCTACCCACCTAGATAGAAGCAGTGGGTAGAGTGTAAAAACAGGACCGAATGACCCCGCCACAGGAACGGAAGTAGCCAGAAGAACATAAGCTGACAACTTGGCACACTCTACGTTGATACATTTAATACCTTATCAATATCCCCTATGTAATGCCATTCATCCATATGTTACCTATTCATCTATATGTTACTTAACCACCTCACCATACTCTTTCATCCGTTTGGTGAGCCGTGGAAAGATTCCTGCTAGAATCATTGATCTAACCTTCTGTTATATTCAACATGTATCTACAAGAAAGACTGCTACCAAACTATACTAATATATAACATATTATACGCAAACAGATGAGGATGTAACAAAAGCAAACATAGCAGTAAAAATTATACACTAATTTTTTTCACAGATATATATATATATTTTTCAAATTAAATGACATGTTTCGAATTCCAGAAGACACAACACACTATTTCAACATATTCTTTGCCAAACATTTCAAATAAGTTTATTGTTTTCCTCTCATAAGGTAAGATAATAGTTAACCCGGTAAACAGGTCCGGCAATCAAAACAAATGAGCCAACGTTTCACATCCCCACACAACACAAAGATTAGGGTGTATCCACCAATGAAGACTTCGTTATAAAATGACACAGGAAAGTATAGACACTTTTCGTGAAATAGTGCGCGCGCGCGTACGCTAAAATAAAAGAACTAATGACTGCCTATGACAGTCTCCTTGTCATTGACTCATTTAGTGTACGGGCAACTGTTCCGGCGATAATGTGTTCCACCATGTGGACGGTAATGTATATAGTCAGAGGAGTGAGTGAGTGACTGAGTGAGGGAGTGAGTGTGAGCGAGCGAGCGTAAACAAAAACTACAGTTATTCCCCAATGTCACTCAGATGGTGATGGTTGTGGGTCATATATGAAGACGTGAGCGCTTCCCTGGCTGAGCTGGGCGAGATTGGAAGGTTTAAGCGAGTACTGCCTCGTAAGTGGCAGGCTGTCTTGACTGCACGAAGACACGTTGGAGGATTCCTGCTCCTGGAAGTCCGGTAAGAACGAGTCCCCAGTCCCCTGAGAAATGCTGGCGAGTGTAGACTCGGGGGTAATATAGCGCTTCGTCTCTCCTTGACTACATGTTCTCCTCCAGTCTGACAGTCTTGGAATGTTACTAGGAGTGCCTGGAGTCTTTATGGTGTAGGGACCTCCAGTGGTATATAAAATCTGCGGGGTAGATGGAGAGGCCGGGTTCCCTGGAATCCTCGGAATACGGTTCACAGTCATTGGAGTAATAGGTTCAATTTTCATGATGGAAGGTTCAGTTGTGGAGTCACGCGGAACAGTGGCTGGGGTCTCTGATTCGATTTTCTTTGGCTCAACTGCAGTACTGGGAGTACTGATCTCAATTAACGGAGTGAAATGCTCTATTTTCAACGTGCAGAGCTCGGCAATAGGCGTACAAATTCCAAGCTCGGAGCCAATGCGAGATTCAGACTTCGACAGAGATGGGTTAAGATTTGAGTTGTTAGACTCGCCATCCCGAGTGTTTGGTCCAATTTTAGGGGTTTGGGAAGTGATAGCTTGAGCCTGGAGTTGTGGCGTGTACTTGTGAGAAGAGCCCTGAGGGCAGCCTGAGGATGGGGTGTTGAAGGACGATTTAGGTTCTGTGGAAGCTCTGGTGTGCCCGGGAGAGACTGAGAGAGTCCGGCTCTCTCCGATGCCAATATTCATCTCAGCTCCTTGTTGGATAACAACAGATCTGCAGAGTATATTTGGCGTTTTAGTATATTTTCATATTAAGAAAAAAAAGAGGTGCGAAAGTATTTTAGCTCAGATATAAATACATAAATCGTTAGCACAGTAAATTCACGCAACAAATGAGTTTATCAGGAACTTGATGTATGTGCGTACTGACTTGCCTAGTAACAGGAGTTGTATTAAGTCTCTAAACTTACGTCAATATAACGTAGCATCCTTTGTGAGACAAAGTAATGCGAGACAAGTAATGTTTATCACTTAAGAAAGTGATAAACAGAACATTACAGAAATAACAAATAATAATTCCGTCAAACACCACAGCTTTGTAAAAAGGTTCTAGAATGAGTTAATTTTAACGATTACCGGTGGAATGCTGAATATATTTAGATGTGTAGTGTTGATTAAATAATGGCATGTAGGCTAACAATCGCATTAGCAACTATTATAAGAAAAACTTCAACCATCTAGCAAGTAACAGGTTGGACTGATCACATGCAGAATGAGCTGTTCCCGGTGCGTCATGCTGCCAGGTGCTTGTCAAGCAACATAAGCAATATGAGCCGTATTAAGTAGCACCTTGGCTCACGTCACAATAATGGCGGCAGCGAGGCACATTACCTGCACTTGTTTATTCATCAGGGAAATGTTAATGGCAGAAACGCCAAACGACCGATCACTGCCATTCTGTGAACAAGTGTTGGTCTCTGAGCTAACGGCTGGTGATTACACTAGAGGGAAAGCTAACAGTATGCATACAACTACGGTAAGCTCATGTTGTTGTTGTTGTTATAGATTCAGCTACTCGGAACAAGTTCCAAGTAGCACGGGCTATGATGAGCCCGTAACTTACATGGCACAGGAGCGGGGCAAATAGCACGGGCTATGGTGAGCCCGTAGTGGACTTGCCTGGCACAGGAGCGGTGCTGTGTTGGTAAACTCACCTTCCTGACTCCTTATAATGCTGCGGTTCCTCCTCACTCAGGCGGGCGTGGCGCGTGACTTCGTCGACAGGTTGGGACAGCTTCGAAAGCTTGAATTGGGTTAAGAGTTGTGGTGTTGCGAAGACATATTGTTCGGTGGTTTGGGCTTTATTGCCTGAGGTGGCCTGGGTCCTGGTCTGTTGGGTGACTTGGGCTACGGAGCCTGGGCTGATCTGGTCCCTGGTGTCTGAAGTAGCTTGATGCGTGATTTCCGTAGTGGCTTTGTCACTGGTTCGTTGGATAGTTTGGACTCCGATGTCTGGGGTTGTTTGGTGTGTAATATCTGGGGTGGCTTGGGCTCTAATATCTGGGGTGGCTTGGGCTCTAATATCTGGGGTGGCTTGGGCTCTAATATCTGGGGTGGCTTGGGCTCTAATATCTGGGGTGGCTTGGGCTCTAATATCTGGGGTGGCTTGGGCTCTAATATCTGGGGTGGCTTGGGCTCTAATATCTGGGGTGGCTTGGGCTTGTTGGATGAGTTCTGATCTTGTTTCTTGCAAAGGTTGGACCCTGGTGAGTTGGGTGTCTTGGGCTCTTGTATCTATAGTGGCCTCGGCACTGGAGTAGTAGATGGTTTGGTCCCTGGTGTCTGGAGTAGTGACTCTGGCTACTCTGGATACAGTGATATGTGGGTTGACTTGGGTCCCTGTATGTGGGTTGACTTGGGCTCTGATCTGAGGAGTGGTTTGAGGCATTGACTGAGGAATGACATTGGGTGAAGCGTGGTGAGAGACTTGGGGAGAATCCTGTGTTGCGGACACGGGAGTAGAGGCTCCTGACAATAAGACAGTCTCAACACAGCTCAGCGAGGGGTTCACGTCTCTTGCCAGCATCCTTTCCGAGACTCGTGAGGACCTGGCGCCACCTACATCGCCGTCACTTTTACCTCTTCTGCTGGGGCTGCTTCGTCGTGGTGTGTTGGAGAGCGCTCGGAACCCAGCTGAGTTATTGGTATCATTGGGTGTGAGGTGGCCGGAGCGGCTAGGCGACTCAGGTGTGTGACTATACCCCCTTATCTTCTCTAGCAGGAGATGAAGGGGATCCCTTGAAAGATCATGAGAGAGGAGGAGAGATACTATGGCCTCGCATCTCATTCTCTCGTTCTCGTCCTCCAGTAAGGTCCACCTTGGAGGTAGACGCCCACCGCGGATACATTCAAACACCTGAAGAATCAACACACATATGGTAATACTACTATCAAAGTTATATATGCTTAAATTGATTTTACTATGAAAACTCTCACTGACGCACTTCATACAAGAAAGCAGGGTAGATGTAAAGGCTTATGAAGAACTTACTTTAGCTCAGATAATCAATTTACGTTAGAACTGCAAGTCATTCACAATAATGTAATATTTATTTGTAACTATATTTCTTAAGTGAAAATATATTACTTATTTGACAAGGACAGTTTCTCGCTTGTCAGCTACACATTATCACCCTACTCACTGTCTCTACACGCTAGACCACTTGTGGGGCAAACGTTCCTTATTGATTCTCGGCACATTACTTGTTGCATAAATAAATCTACCTGACGAAGGCAGAGAGCCACCATATAACCTGCAGCAGACAGTTTACTTGGCTAAGGAAGAATGGTGACTGAAGATACTCACCTGGTTGGCCCTGTGGATGAGGTGGTCCGGGACTCCTGAGAGTGCGGCGACTGCTGCAGCGTAGCTGGTGTGGGCGCGGCCCTCCGTGACCTGGTAGAGGGGCACCACCGTCCCGCCTTCCTCCACCGCCTCCAGAGCCTGCGCGGGCCACCATGTACTAGTCATTCCTCTCCAACTAGGCTCTTTGTCTACCCTCATATGTAGGGCTATACTAATTCATATCTAAATCATTTAGTACACAAGTGGGAGATGTTGGTGTGGGGGTTTGAGAGAGGGGGAGGGGTAGGTGAGACATGTGGTAGGTAGGTAAGTTGAGGCTGGTGGTGGTGTGGTATAGAGGTATGAGTTGTGGGGCGTGTGGGTGTTGTTGTTGTTTTAGATTTAGCTACTCAGAACGAAGTGTCCATGAAGCACGGGCTATGGTGAGCCCGTAATGTGGGTGTGGGTGTCTATGGGCTAGTTTTATACTCGCCCAGCTGTGCTTTTTTAGGGTTGAGTTTCAGCTCATGGATGTGGGTTGAGTAGTGTGGGAGGGTAGGTGGGGGTTTGTGGGTGGTAGTGTGGAGACAACTTACCAAACACCGTACAGCATCAGGGTTGAGCAGGTGATCATACACCTGCAACAGATGTGTTGACACAAACACGTGTGGCGGGGCACTGACTGCCGCTCCACCTCCCTCTTCCCTGGCCGCACCTGTCCAGTTGGTGCCGCTGTCATCACGGTCTTCTCCCGTACTGTCCTCCTTCCCGCGCCCTCTCTTCCCGCTCCTGGGTCTGGCGGGAGTGCGTTCTCGGGTGGCTCGTTCACTCCAGTAGTCAAGGCAGGCTGTTAGGAGGGCGGCGCCGTCGTTCTCGTAAGTGGCAGCGCCGAATTCGTCAATAATAACGAGGGAGTACTGGGTGGCCCTGGCCAGCGCTGCGCACATCTGTCAACACCAGCACCAGCAGAGAAAGGAAGATTAGCGGCCGAGCCTACTACGCTCTCCCTTCATAAATTGTTTCACTTAATCTTGTAGCATTAATATCTAGTTACAGATAATGACAATAATAATAATAATCCCGGCAGATTTCATACTCTTAAATTATTTATAATTTTCCTCTGCGATTTATGACGTTCCTTTGTATTTACAATGGTTAGGGAGCACCTTCCCGGCGGCCTCTGCTGCGCCATCTCTGGACCCTAAACACTGAGCCTCGCGCAGGAGCTCAGGAAACTGAGCAGGAGTTTCGTGCTCTAATGTAACTCTCACAAGAGCTATACGGATGGCTTGTAATCAAACTGCTGCTTGTAATACTTATGGCTATTCCTCACCAGTGTCAACAGCGGCTGCACCGCTGACCACAAAGAGTGCTGAATATATTTATCTTTATATAAAAAAATGTAAATCGTAATAATTGGTCGTTGCTTCACCGCCCAAGACGGACCGGTCCTTAGATTAATGCACTCATAATTAATTCACCAATCTTTCCTTCACTTGAATCAGAGCACACGATAACTTTATTTCTAACAATTAACTAATTCTCCAACACATACGAGAGTAAGGAAGCCTGTTGGAGGCAGCATTATGTTGTGGTACAACATGAATCTTGAAATATATCTTAACAAATCTTAAAATCATTAGCTATCGGGAAATAAACGTGCTTTGGGCAATGACGCCTGGTTTCGGAGGTTCTTCAATCTCCAGTGAATGTTATGGTGGGCCGGACTGTTCATCTTGGTTAGATTAGCAGCTGTATGGGTCTTTGTGCTCGCCTGCACTCATGTGGTTTGGGCTTGGAAACACCTCTATATGACTGAAAGGTAACGTTTGATGCCATCTACATTGTCTATGGTAGTACCTGAACGGCTAATAGTCGCATTTAAAGCAATTATTAGATTACTTTACTACTACTAAAAATTTTGCTATAGCAGGAAACAGAGCAACGGTCTTCATTCCACAAGTTTAATAACCCATTTTCTTCCCTAAAGCCGGGAAACCCAAGACCTTAGGATAGTCGCAGGCGCCATAGTTAGGCTGCGTTGTGACTTAATATCGAGATGCGTAGACGAGTATCAGACACTGAAAATTTGGTTTAAAAGTGGAGTGGAGCGGAGAGACTTACCCTGGTAAGGTCGAGCATGAAGGTGGAGAGGGCGGAGGTTACTGGGGGCGTGGTCTGGGTGACAGCGATGATGGCGTCCAGGGGCCTGAGGCGCGCCCGACCAGCAGGTACCCAGCACCCCACCTGAGCCAGCACCGCTACCACTCCTACCTGCTCATGGACACACACACACATATGTTAACACCTCTCCAACACCTGCTCCTATCTGCTCACCGTAGATGCCAAGGTTCCAGGAACCTTGCCATCTACGGTGCGAGGCTCCAGACGATATTCTGGCTACCTTACTATCTACGGTGCGAGCCTGCAGACGGTATTCCAGGATCCTCGTCACCAACGGTACTAGGCTCCAAACGTTACTCCAGGTAGCTCGTGTACACTATAGGGTTCCTGATGTTACTCCAAGAACCTCGCTATCTACATAATAGGGCTCCATATGGTATTCCAGGAACCTCATCAACATTATAGTGCTCCAAACGTTATGCTTGTAGCCTCATCTACATTATAAGGCTCTCGACGTTATTCCAAAACCCTCATCTGCATTATAGGTCTCTTAGACGTACAATGACAAAGTGACATTCTTCTGTCCTAAGCATTTCTTATTTGTTCAATATACTACAAAATATTGTCTGAACTCCAGCCAATGATAAAGCAGCAAGGGTTATTTATTATCTGGAAGATGATTGGTCTGGGAACTGATCACAAAACCCCCACACAGAGATAATCTTACTTGTGGTCTCCAGCTGTATAATATATAGCCACTATAGGAACCCTAATGCTGGCAGGAACGACGTTAATAATATTGTGCTCGGGTATTGGGGGGAATATTGATCACAATTAAGGAACCAAATTGCAGTGCATTGCTCTTCTCCTCTCTTTCTCTACCGCTGGCATTGTTCTCTAATTAATCTACTAATTAATCGTAATATTAACTGCCATGAACCAGTATTATATGAGAGATAATGCTGAGTAATAAGCCAAGTGCTGAAAAATAAATTTTGTTTTTTGTTTTTTTTGAGATATATACAAGAGTTGTTACATTCTTGTACAGCCACTAGTACGCGTAGCGTTCCGGGCAGGTCCCTGGAATACGATCCCCGCCGCGAAGAATCCTTGTTACAACCAAGTACACATTTTACTGTTGAGCTACAGTTAAGGATTTGCGCCCAGTAAATCCTCCCCGGCCAGAATACGAACCCATGACATAGCGCTCGCGGAACACCAGGCGAGTGTCTTACCACTACACCACGGAGACTATAATGATTAATATTGATCATTTTGATCGATAAGTGATGAGAATAATCCCAACTGCGTCACCCCAGCAACAGGGGGGACAGGATGCTTGGCTCACCACATCAACGAGGGCTGAAGGGCCATACAGTAGTCACCTTCCATCATATTTCCTTTCATCACCATTGAATCTAATTAATAACCATTATTGAGGAAATACATTATACCGGATACGATACAACTGCACAAATAATAACCGGAGCTATGATTAATGTATTCAGTAATTAATAATGTTTCCTCAAGAGGTGACAGCACCTGGTCACATAGTGGTATACAAATGTTAAAATAACTACGTAATTAATCTATCATAATAAATTAACGGTCTTTGAGAATAAGTCGAACACAAAATGCAATGTTCCAATAATACATGCATGATATAAATCATTAACAAATAAACGGGTCTGAGTTAAATACATGGATACTTATACTATTGAAAATATTACTTACAAAAGCCACAATGCGAAATAAACAACAGATACTTTTTCGCCCATTGGGTTATATTCGCCTGCCCGTAAAGAAACTCCAAGGGGAATCGAAGAGGGAGAAAGGTTGACATCTCAAGCCACTGGTTTTCTGAGAAGACCCCCAGGTAACTCCCGTCATGTGACAGGTGAATACAGGAGACAGGAGAATCCCAGGAGACATACAGACAAATAAGGAGTTACAGTAGCTTGTCTTGTCAAACTTAAAAATTAGGGTGAATCTAACCTGCTTGAGATAGACGGTTTTACCACTGGCGTTTGGTCCGGTGACGAGTGTGATGCACTGGTGAGGACGGCCGCTCCTGACGGGGTTTGCGACGAAGGTTGGGGTACACAGCTCGTAGAGTGGGTGGCGGGCCTCCTCGATCTCCAACACGGGTTCCTGCGTCAGCTCCGGCCGGACCCACCCGCCCTCCCGCGACACCACAGAAAACGCCAGCAAGCTTCATCGTCAGGGATAACTTTGTCATTTTTTGTTAAATCGATTTTTTGTTGTTGTTATAGATTCAGCTACTCGGAACAAGTTCCAAGTAGCACGGTTTATGGTGAGCCCGAAGTGGACTTACCTGGCACAGGAGCGGTACCAATCGATTTGTCGGGGACAAGAAGCATCTATTTGGTATTATTAATAATTATATGATGGAAACTTAAGTACATATTAAATACATTAAAAAATTACACCTAATATTAAACAAAAGTATATTTGGCGGGTCCCGAAAGTTAAGTCGAGTTCGTTCTCGACTCGCAATCGAGAATTTCGGGTTCGAGTCCCAGGCGGGACAGAAATGGTTGGGTGCATTTCCTATCACCTAATATCCCTGGTCACCTATAAGTAGGCACCCAGGAGTTAGTCAGCGTTTTGTGGGGCTGTATCCTGGGCGGGGTCAGGAATTTGACCTGGAGGGGGGGGGTGACACATCGATATAAGCCTAACGTGTATGAATACACTCTGGCTTCCTGTCCCCCGACACAAAGAATTATAATATTTAATCACACATCGTCATTAAAAAATACAACCTAATGTATTACACAAATTCCAATATATACACACTGTAGGCTTGTATCGAGGCTCCCAAAGATGGGACTACTGACCCTTCCAAGGATGGAACCCCACATGTTGTTATAGATTCAGCTGCTGGGAACACAAAGTTCCAAGCAGCACGGGCTATGGTGAGCCCGTGGTGGACTTGTCTGGCACAGGAGCGGGGCTGTAACTGCCCCCCACAACAGCTGCCTAACTCTTTGAGTACCTATTTACTGCTAGGTGAACAGAGGCGTTAGGTGAAAGGAAACGTGTCAAACCATTTCTGTCCAACCGGGAATCAAAGCCGGGATCTCCCGATTGTGAGCCGAGAATGAAGCCAACTTCTATTTTTGCTCTTGCAAGAATAGAAGTTGGTTTCGAACTTTGAGAGCTGCAAATTATTGTAAAATGAGAGGGAAGGCCTACTATAACCGACTGTTTAATCAAACTTTAAAATATCGTGAGTATTTTCTCATATTGCAGCAAAATTATTAATGACTCAACATAATGGTAAGACAAACAATCAGATATGTTACATTCCTATTTTCCGAATGTTCCAAGTACAACAAGAGTCCAGGGAACTACTTGATTAGCGGAAAATTGGGTAAAATTTGGGTTTGCTGTAAACTGTAGGAGGACGGTATAAAATATGCGATAGGCGGTGAAGTTGATGCATGTAGATATTTAGTAAGGTGTAAAGACAGGAGGACTGACCAGTCGAGCATGAGGATGTGGTGGAGGAGAGCCAGGAAGTTGTGCGCCTGCTGCAGGAGGGTCTCCACCAGCCGCATCATGATCCGCGTCTCGTGGTTGGCGATCTCCACCTGCATGTCTCCCAGCTCCCGGTCCAGCTCTGAGAGGTCACCCTGCTAGTTATCAGTGTTACGTGTATTGGAACATTATAACTATTATGTAAAGAAAGATTAGTACCAGACACAGCTTATAAGACGAGGGGTAAGATCTAGGGGAAACAGACCCGGCCCAAAAGAGGAGATAAGACCCAGGGGGGAACAGACCCGGCCCATAAGACGAGGGTAAGACCTAGGGGAAACAGACCCGGCCCAAAAGAGGAGATAAGACCCAGGGGGGAACAGACCCGGCCCATAAGACGAGGGTAAGACCTAGGGGAAACAGACCTGGCCCAAAAGAGGAGATAAGACCCAGGGGGGAAACAGACCCGGCCCATAAGACGAGGGGTAAGGCTTAGGGGTACATACCCAAGCAAGTCTGGCTCTTATAAAGGACCATGTCTGCCGTCTTGAACATAAACTCGAGGCCGGGCAGACTGTAGTCCTGTGCGCTCAGAGTCCGGTCGAGGTCTGGGGAGGGCGGGAAGGCGAGGAGGTAGCCCACGTGGGGCAGGTAGATGATGCAACAGGACTCTACCTCCTGAGGCAGGTGTGCCAGCTCCACCTCCGCCACCCGCCGCATCACCTCTCCCAGCCCGCTGAAGCGACGCTTTTCTGACCACAGAAAACAATCCTCGAATTAATGCTCCAAACACATGTTCTTAAACACAAACAAACACAAAACAGGGCAGAAGATATATGCTTATTTTAGAGCCCTTAATTGTCTCTGATTCGCCCAAATCTAATTCCTACCTGTATGTTACAGACACACACACACAGTTAACAGACACACACACACAGTTAACAGACACACACACACAGTTAACAGACACACACACACAGTTAACAGACACACACACACAGTTAACAGACACAGGTTCACAGACCCAGGCGCCACAAACTCATAGATTCAATGACAGCATTCTAAAACACCTGATTCGTGTTTTACGATGATCGAATTTCCAGCACCCTTCCCAGCACGGTGTGCGTCCTCTGCTGCCTCCAGCACCCTTCCCAGCACGGTGTGCGTCCTCTGCTGCCTCCAGCACCCTTCCCAGCACGGTGTGCGTCCTCTGCTGCCTCCAGCACCCTTCCCAGCACGGTGTGCGTCCTCTGCTGCCTCCAGCACCCTTCCCAGCACGGTGTGCGTCCTCTGCTGCCTCCAGCACCCTTCCCAGCACGGTGTGCGTCCTCTGCTGCCTCCAGCACCCTTCCCAGCACGGTGTGCGTCCTCTGCTGCCTCCAGCACCCTTCCCAGCACGGTGTGCGTCCTCTGCTGCCTCCAGCACCCTTCCCAGCACGGTGTGCGTCCTCTACTGCCTCCAGCACCCTTCCCAGCACGGTGTGCGTCCTCTGCTGCCTCCAGCACCCTTCCCAGCACGGTGTACGTCCTCTGCTGCCTCCAGCACCCTTCCCAGCACGGTGTGCGTCCTCTGCTGCCTCCAGCACCCTTCCCAGCACGGTGTGCTTCCTCTGCTGCCTCCAGCACCCTTCCCAGCACGGTGTGCTTCCTCGAGCACCGTTCCCAGCACGGGGTGAACGGAGTGTTATTGGGCCGAGCAATAACTGCAGCAGACGGAGATGTCGGGAAGGGGATGACGAGGCAGCTGCCCTACTTACCCCCCGCCTCGCCTCGGCTGTCCACACCTCACCGCACCTCACTAGCCAAGATCGTGCCCTTAATAATGGTCATAACTAGTGCCATTACTGATAGATATTGGGTCTAACTATCGCGCGCTTGTACAGGATTGTGAAGACAGTTTCATTGTGTAATTGATAAGCTAAGAACTGTTTTCGTGTCCCAGCTCGATTATGGTGCGAGTTAATTGTATAGAGCTATACTTTATTTTATGATGACCGAACCACACATATCAGAAAAATGGAGAAACGACGACGTTTCGATACACGACTTTAATAATGGTTCAAGACGGACCGAAACGTTGTCGTTTCTCCATTTTTTAATGTGTGGTTTGGTCATCATATCTTCAGCCCCGTTATTGTGACTCATCGTCTTTATTATATATCTATCCCTCCCTCTTTCTCTCTCTTTCTCTTACAAAACCACTCGGGGTATTTAGCTTCCTCATCTTCACTGCCTCTGTGTCCTTCCTGGTTTAGTAAAAGGGACATTCAGAAGCTCATTAGATAAAACAAATACACAGATCAGTATATAAATAGATAACAGCAACAAACGTATTAGGAGAAGATAGCAACATGCAAGATACGTTCCCCACATTATGAATGAAAGGCAGACGCAGCAAAACAGTGTGAGTGGACACACTTGACCAAGATCCGTGTGAAAGTTGGCGAACAGTGAGTCGAGGAGCAGCAGCAGCAGCAGCTGGAGGAGGCGGCAGCAGCAGCAGCTGGAGGAGGCGGCAGCAGCAGCAGCTGGAGGAGGCGGGAGCAGCAGCAGCTGGAGGAGGCGGCAGCGGCGGCCGCCTTGTTCGATGCTTCCACGGGTAGCAGCGTTGCAAGCAACACGTTGTAATCGACAGTTTCCCACGGTACAGATGGGGACGCGGGAGAGAGACACAATCATTGCTATTTGTTCTACCTATGAAGGTACCTCTCTCTATATATATACTTATATTCTCTGCATGCATGCATGCGTGCGTACATTCATATATTCATGCGTACAGTACAAAGATAAATTTGTTTATTTAGACGAACATACATACAGTATATGCACATATGCAGACGTTCATATATACATGCACATATGCAGACGTACAAAGATACATGCATACCATGCAGACGATTAAGACTAGCCAGTATACCATATACTTGCTAATGTATACCATATACACGATTAGGATAAGCAAGAGTAAACTGACTGTGGTCGAGGTCGGTGTCGACGCCGGGCTTGACGACGAATCTGGCTTCCCGCTCAGACTGCTCAATGTCCATGATCCTCTGGATGAGGAAGGTGGCCCGGTACAGTCCCTCCGTCACGCTCTCTCCCGTCTGGGGACAAGGACACCATCACTGTGGGGGGCTGACCTGGGGTGTGGGGCTGACCTGGGGTGTGGGGCTGACCTGGGGTGTGGGGCTGACCTGGGGTGTGGGGCTGACCTGGGGTGTGGGGCTGACCTGGGGAGCTGTGTTGGGGTGTGAGGGGTCACCTGGGGAGCTCTGTTTGGGTGTGGGGCTGACCTGGGGAGCTGTGTTGAGATGTGGGGGTGTCACCTGCGGAGCTGTGAGTGAGCTACACCCTGCCCACACCACATGACAGATGGTGTGGGCAGGCCGGAAGGGATGTATGTGAGGGTGGGGGAGGTACAGGGGTGTGTGTCCTTAATTCTCCATCAACAGTTGTGACTATCAAGCAACATAAAGCACGCTATGGTTGTGGGACAGCTGTAGATAACAAGTGGGAAATATTACTACCTCAGGTGTAGATAACAGGTGTGAAGTACTCACTACTTCACGACTCGACCTCGACGGGGGTCGAGCTTCGGCTCTTTGGTCCCGCTTCTCAACCGTCAATCAACAGGTGTATATATTCCTGAGCCTACTGGGCTCTATCATATCTACATTTGAAACTGTGTATGGAGTCAGCCTCCACCACATCACTGCCTAATGCATTCCACCCATTAACTACTCTGACACTGAACAAATTCTTTCTAACGTCCCTGTGGGTCATTTGGGTACTAAGTTTCCACCTGTGTCCCCTTGTTCGCGTACCACCAATGCTTAATAGCTTGTCTTTTACTGAGTTAAACTTTAATAACCATTTTCTAGACCATTGCTGTAGTTTGTGTGTGCTTGTGTAGCGGGGAAAGTTACAGCCACACCTGCAGGTGTGGCTGTAACAGATATGGGGGGGATTACAATTACAAGCAGGAGGGAAGACTAGTTGGTGTAGACCACTAATACACAAACCTTAATTGTGACGCTAGCCACTTAAAATACAATGTTCATTAAAGCACTACGTAGATTTATATAATGTTCAGTGTACAAATGTAAAAGAAATATTAAAATATACAGGCGATGAGTCACAATAACGTGGCTAAAGTATGTTGACCAGACCACACACTAGAAGGTGAAGGGACGACGACGTTTCGGTCCGTCCTGGACCATTCTCAAGTTGATTGTGAATGGTCCAGGACGGACCGAAACGTCATCGTCGTCCCTTCACCTTCTAGTGTGTGGACTGGTCAACATTAAAATATATACATCCTATTAAGCCTACAGATGGTTCTCTCACCTGCCTACAGATGGCTCTCTCACCAGCCTACAGATGGCTCTCTCACCTGCCTACAGATGGTTCTCTCACCAGCCTACAGATGGCTCTCTCTCCTGCCTACAGATGGCTCTCTCACCTGCCTACAGATGGTTCTCTCACCAGCCTACAGATGGCTCTCTCTCCTGCCTACAGATGGCTCTCTCACCTGCCTACAGATGGTTCTCTCACCAGCCTACAGATGGCTCTCTCTCCTGCCTACAGATGGCTCTCTCTCCTGCCTACAGATGGCTCTCTCACCAGCTTAAAAATAGGGATGTCCTGGTCCTGAGCCTGACACTGTTCGCCCACCAGGATGGAGTTGAAGAGAGACTGGAAATACAACACACTTAAATTAACAAACATTTGAGTTGTTTATATCAACATTTTGGTCGTTTAACACACAAAAAATACTTGAACAATATAGTGGGGAGTTGACAAGGGCACGAAGCAACACACCGAACACAGAGCATAGGAACCTGGGGGGGGTAACTATCGAGGATACTGAAGTGGAGCAAAAGAACATATGACTGTTTCCCCCTATTCGAGGTTGTCGGCCAGCCGCTTGGGGCTAGCCTCACACAAATTGCCAAGATGACTCTTGAGGGGTATGGGAGTGTCATAGGCTAGCCAGGGTCAGCGGCCCAGTCCCACACACTTCAGGGCATGTTGGCATCTATAGTGACTCATGAAGTGTGGAATAAAATTAGGGGGTTGTGTTATCCGTACTTGTGATATTTACTCTCACCGTTTATATATATATATATATATATATATATATATATATATATATATATATATATATATATATATATATGTTATACCTAGTAGCCAGAACGCTGTTCTTGGCCTACTATGCAAGGCCCGATTTGCCTAATAAGCCAAGTTTTCCTGAATTTTTATAATTTTTCTATTTGTTCTATTTATTCTATTTTTCTATTTTTTCTATTTCTATTTCTTATGACATGATAAAGCTATCCATTTCATTATGTATGAGTTAATTTTTTTAAAATTTGAGTCAAAACTAACGTAGATATATGACCGAACCTAACCTATCCTACCTAACCTAACTTATCTTAACCTAACCAAAAGTAACATAACTAAGTCAATAATTTATGTTCCTAATATAATATAATAATAATAATTTAAATAAACCAATTAGAATCAATTTGTTGAAAAAAAAATAAAATCACTCGAACTATTAGGCAAATCGGGCCTTGCATAGTAGACCAAGAAGTGCATTCTGGCTACTAGGTACGACATATATATTGTAATATGCATCAATAATCACAAAAACACTGATCCGAGTATAATCAAATAATCACTATAATGTTGGTGCTGAATGTAGAACATGGAAAAAAAACATATTTTTACTCTGAAATAATATAAGTTCATAGCGAAATTAGGTTCATCTAATTACCCATTGTCGCTCGGAGCGTCGACTTCCTGTGGCGTCAACTGCCACGTAGTTTCGTCTACCTGTCGCTATATAATCATATTATTTCAGAGTAAAAATATATGTTTTTCCCATGTTGTACATTCAGCCCCAACATTATAGTGAGTAAATATATCATATTTCTTCATTACTTACGTAATGCTAGGAAGCTTTGGCTTATTAGAGGGGCCGAGGCAGCGAGGAGCCTTTACTAACACACAGAGATCACACTAACGTGATGCATCAAATGAACAAATCCACAAGGGCCGTGACGAGGATTCGAACCTGCGTCCGGGAGCATCCCAGACACTGCCTTATGGATTTGTTCAGCCTTTACTAACCTTGTAGAGGACCTTCCAATCCCGGACACTGAGCTGACCTCTCTGGAGACGAGTCATGGTGTGCTGGGGCACCCACCGGTAACACCATCACCGTCCAGGGGCAAAACAAACACTTCACAGTGAGATACACCTCGGAAACTGGATACGTGTGCTTTCACATCACACAAGCCGTCAGCAGCGCAATACATGACAGTCACTTCTCAACCCTCGGAAAATATGTCACGGGTTCAATAATCACATCCGAGCTACTTTGTTTACTTTCATGGGAAGGGGGGGGGCATTAGCCGGAATGCAGCAGAGCAAATAGGACATATAAATAGACCTCCCATCTATTTGGCACATCATCCACACCACATACTGCAGAACTCCGTACACCCACCACCGTCACACCACATACTGCAGCACTCCGTACACCCACCACCGTCACACCACATACTGCAGCACTCCGTACACCCACCACCGTCACACCACATCTAAAAACCAGCTGAATACCATTCTCGTCATTAATTTAGTATAATATTTTGTCACTTCTCGTTCACTCTGAACTCATTCTCCACGTCCTCACGCACTCATTTACTCATTCTCAGTGTGCCCAGGTACTTCAACTATCCGACCACATCTAGTTCAAGTACGTTTACTGAGATAATAAATTACATCTCAAAGGGATAGAGTAGCTTAGGCTATTTCTACCCTCCTTTCACTTCTAGTACATCCCGTTTACGATATTTTACCCAATATATAATTTTACACATTCTCTCTCCACAACCCTTACTATGTTCATATTCACTATAAGAAGTGTTACTTAAGAAGTATTCGCCTTTTGCATGGTGGAAACAAGGGAAGACTCAAGCATGACCTTGAGGGAGACGAGGTACCCTCAAGGTGTACCTCGTAAATAACAGGAATACTTCAGTAAAACAGATGAGTTAAGTACACTTACTAACATGGTTGTAACCTAGCACTAAATAAAGTTTAATCCGAATGGAAACAAATAGTAAGTTCATTAAATAAACGAGTTTCTAGTGTTAGGCTTCAGGTGAGTTGATGTAGGATAACACCTCTTAACTGACAATTTCATTAGCAGCATCAATTTAATTCTTAATGAACCCTAATCTTTCTGTGAAAAATGTAATAGATATTATTACAATCGCAAAACCATGGATGGTTGTTTAATTAAACGAGGGAACTATCAGTAGAATACCAAATTAATGTGTAGATACAGTTTCGTAATGATAGACAAGGGAAAGAAGCGATACTTGCTAGAGAAGGTTTGAATTAGGCTCAAACGGAATAAAATCACAATTTGAACTGAAGTAAATGAAGTTAATGAAAGGTTAAAAATATATCGAGTCCTATATGGGGCACCAACTCTGGGCAGAATGGAAGGGTCGAAATATCTTTGGCATCTTGACATAATAGCTTTTTTAGAATTAGACATTAGAATTAGAAGTTTCACTTGTAACAACTTATTCAAATCGTTACAACCACTGTGGGTGACTCGATTTGTGTAAAATAAACTAGACAAGACAAGAAATAAGGAACAAACTCTCTGTAAAACAACATAAAACAACTTAACTATGTTAAAAAAAACATGAAAAAAATAATAGATTAGGGCTAGTACCAGCAAAGATACTGTTTAAGTATTTTACATGCATATATTACTAGATATTTCTCAACTGTGTCCCCAGCAGCTCAAATGGCTTAGCGACTACTATAGTCAAATCCATAACAACATTCAATGTTAAATAATATATGGGCGGCTATTCCAGCACTCTCACCAATAACAACTCTCACCTTTGATCCTGAGAAATATAGTAAACCTGGTTTACTATGAAGTAAATCGTGAGTGAGAAGCAAGTGTGTGTGTGTGTGTGTGTGTGTGTGTGTGTGTGTGTGTGTGTGTGTGTGTGTGTGTGTGTGTGTGTGTGTGTGTGTGTGTGTGTGTGTGTGATTAACATGTGTTAGTGTGGGGGAAGAGGCAGCGTGGGAGATGGTGGTATAGTGAGCCGGGAGAGGCAGTTACCGGGACGTTAGTGATGTGTTTAAGGCAAGCCTGCAGTTGCCTGAGGGTGTCCAGATTGGCCGGGTCGACGCCCCAACCCACGGCCGCGTAGCGCGCCTCCAGCACCTCCCGCTCCACAACAGGACGCAGCAACACCCGCCTGCAACACACCGCAAGTAACAACATCCACGTCATGCAACACCACACGATAATAAACACTGTGTATCTCGGGTTTCTGCCATACTACAGGAAGAGAAAATAAGTGCGCGTAAAGATATGTTTCTTCGCTCATCAACCCGAGGAACCGCCTACCCGCCCGTATTCGTAAATGCCAAGACATTATTACAACTCAAAATCCAGGTGGAAAAAATTATCAGACAAAAATTGGCGGCATTGGACCTTTGATCAGCCACCGGCTTCCAGTCCCCCGTCGAGACTCCTAGATACATGTTGAAACTCAGGTATATTCAGGTACCTGAGTACCTGAATTGTCGTTATCAGTACGGGTGTATCGTGTGAAGCAGATTGCCTAGTTGTATTGTGGTTAAGATCTTTGGCCAGACAACCATTAGAAATGGTGGCTGCAAATGGTGGCAAGCACTGGAAATGGTGGCAAGCGTTCCAATTGGTGGCAAGCACTGGAAATGGTGGCAAGCGTTGCAAATGGTGGCAAGCACTGGAAATGGTGGCAAGCGTTGCAAATGGTGGCAAGCACTGGAAATGGTGGCAAGCGTTGCAAATGGTGGCAAGCGTTGCAAATGGTGGCAAGCGATGCAAATGGTGGCAAGCGTTGCAATTGGTGGCAAGCGTTGCAATTGGTGGCAAGCGTTGCAAATGGTGGCAAGCGTTGCAATTGGTGGCAAGCACAGCTGACATAAACTATTATAAAATTTACAACTGGTAAAAAAAGATTGCCTTGAAATGGATTGAATTTTGATGAAACTCTGACCACGTTACTTGATTAATATTTTGTGTGAAGGAGAAGAGAGCTTGTGAGCAGCTCACAAAGCCAGGGGAGGAAGTATCCGCTCTTAGTTAGGAACGGTCACATGCGCCAAGCAGCGTAGTGACGTTGTAGCCCACTACACTCACTGGAGATACTCGTGTTGGTGAAGAGACTCGTGTCGGTGTAGAGGCTCGTGTAGGTGTAGAGGCTCGTGTTGGTGAAGAGACTCGTGTCGGTGTAGAGGCTCGTGTAGGTGTAGAGGCTCGTGTTGGTGAAGAGACTCGTGTTGGTGAAGAGACTCGTGTCGGTGTAGAGGCTCGTGTTGGTGTAGAGGCTCGTGTTGGTGAACAGACAACTAACAATGTATACTGTATACAGCTGACAATGTAGAGACAACTGTGAAAAAACAGCTGTCAGTGTAGAGACATGTCCATGTACAGACAGCTGTCAGTGTAGAGACATGTCCATGTACAGACAGCTGTCAGTGTAGAGACATGTCCATGTACAGACAACTGTCAGTGTAGAGACATGTCCATGTACAGACAGCTGTCAGTGTACAGACATGTCCATGAACAGACAACTGTCAGTGTAGAGACAAACATCAAGTTGACAGAAGATAATATTAAAGATGACGTTCACCTGCAAGGGGTGGGGGGGGGCAAGGCACACTAGGGAATACAACACTTTAATTACTAACTAGTGACAATTTAATAAGTGGTTAATGTCGTATTTCATGGCGTCAAATTATGTATGTTTACGTCTAATATTGTGTAGTCTTGTATGACGGAGAGTGCACTGCAGTCCTTAAATAACCCATCACAATTATTGTCCGAAGCAACTTGTAATATTAAATGGAATGTGATTGTTGATGATAATAATAACTTTATATACAATTTGTGTAGATTCCATCCCATGTCGAGTTAGAAGGCGTGACTTTGTGCTATCTAATGCAATGATTTAAAAAAATGCAAATTAAAATGATAACATGAGAAACAAAAATAAGTCATTGTTAGACGCAGGCGCCAAGCTTTCATATGTATTAAGAAATGCCCAAAGATCTAAACTATTTTGTAATCATAGGTATCTGTATGGTGAGCACGGCAATGGGACCAGACAGTGTGATGTGGCGCGAATTAGCCATGACTACAGGCACATCTAGCAAGTTACTGAAGCTGAGCTACTACCAGAATAGTCAGCCTATAAGCTCTATAACAAACCATTAAATCATTCGATTAAACACTATGTTATGAAATATTAAATTGTAAAAGATTTTTAACCTTGTCTACTGTACAACTAATTATGTAACTACTTTATTTCATTTATTTCATATATTGGATGACAGCCTAATAATTTATCTTAGAGTTGCTTGTCCGTATTAGCATTTATAGCTGCATCTGTTATGAATGTATCCCTATCCTGCGTGGCAGTGAACAATAGAAAGTGACATTTACAGATTTGTAAATAAAACATGTATAATATGTGCTGTAGTAGATTGTAAGCTCTTGAAATATGTGTATTCAAACCTACAACTTAGAATTCTTGTCTTATGTATGATCATTTGTGCTGTGTGGCAGTGAATATAAGCAACACCCTCACAGAATAAGACGTAATTGAATTACTCCGATTAAATAAAATTGTAATTGTGTCAATAAAGAGGTTAGTAATCATTTTGATAGCGAGATTTGTGTGATAAAAGATGATGCGGTGTTGCTCCTGGTTAGTGTTATCAACACGACACACACACACAAGCTTCATACATGGAACTCTGACAGTAGATGGGAGGAAGATTGTGATCTTGGTAATCTACAATCCCCCACCAAACAGTAGAAGACCCAGGCAGGAGTATGATGACAACAACAAAGCATGTATAGATGAACTGCAGAAGGCAGCAACTCTAGCCCACAGAATGAGAGCGAAGCTGCTGATCATGGGGGACCTAAATCATGGAGAGATAAATTGGGAATCAAGGAATCCCCATGGAGGGGACGAAACGTGGGGAGCAAAATTAGTAGATGTTATAGACAGGAATTTCCTGACACAACATGTGAAGGAAGACACAAGGGAAAGAGGAGGAGATGCACCGAGCCTATTAGACCTGATTTTCACCCAGAACGTAGAAGATATCGAGAATTTAGAACATGAAATACCTCTAGGGGCCAGTGACCATTGTGTCCTAGTCTTTGACTACATGATGGAATTCAAACTTATGACCATGGGACAAGAGATCTGGGAAAGGAGAGCTGACTACAGGAAAGGGGACTATATGAGGATAAGGGACTATCTGGGTGAAGTGCAGTGGGAGGAAGAAATTAGAGGAAAAACAGTCCAAGATATGATGGACCTAGTCATACAGAAATGCCAGGAGGCCGAAGAGAGATTTATACCAACGGCAAAGGGAAAAAATAAGAAGGAATATAATAACCCATGGTTTAATAGACAGTGTCAGGAAGCAAAAATGGCCAGCAGACGGGAGTGGAGGAAGTACAGAAGACAAAGAACAGAGGACAACAGAAGCAGATACAACAGAGCTAGGAACGATTACATTAACATAAGACAAACATCGGAAAGGGACTATGAGAACGATATTGCAATCAAAGCGAAAAAACAACCTAAGTTACTACACAGCCATATAAGAAGAAAAATGTCGGTGAACGACCAAGTGACAAGACTAAGGAAGACAGAGGGGGCATATACTGAAAGTGACAAGGAAATCTGCGAGGCACTGAATGCCAGTTTCCATGGAGTGTTCACTACCGAGCCTGAGCAGCTCCCATTGTTGGAAGGGGTTACCCTAGATGAAAGACTATCAGATATAGAGGTGACAGCAGAGGAGGTAATGAAACAGTTGACAACTCTAGATGCAACTAAAGTAGTTGGACCAGACAAAGTATCACCGTGGATACTAAAAGAAGCAGCACAGGCCCTCAGCGTGCCTCTGGCAATGATCTTTAATGAGTCACTTATGTCAGGAGAATTGCCCAGTTGCTGGAAGAAGGCAAATGTCGTGCCGATCTTCAAGAAAGGTGATAGGGAGGAGGCACTTAACTATAGACCTGTATCACTGACAAGCATCCCCTGTAAAATACTGGAAAGAATAATTAGGCTACGACTGGTTGCACACCTGGAGAACATTAGGTTTGTGAACAAACATCAACATGGGTTCTGGACAGGGAAATCGTGCCTAACAAACCTTCTGGAATTCTATGATAAAATAACGAGGATAAGACAGGACAGAGATGGTTGGGCAGACTGCATATTTCTGGACTGCCAAAAAGCCTTTGATACAGTACCGCACATGAGACTGCTGTTCAAGCTCGAGAGGCAGGCGGGGGTGGGGGGAAAGGTCCTAGCATGGATAAGGAACTACCTAACAGGAAGGAGCCAAAGAGTTACGGTAAGGGGCGAGAAGTCGGACTGGCGAACAGTAACAAGTGGAGTACCACAAGGATCGGTGCTGGGACCAATTCTATTTCTTGTATATGTTAACGACATGTTTACAGGCGTAGAGTCCTACATGTCGATGTTTGCGGATGACGCAAAGTTGATGAGAAGAGTTGTGACAGATGAGGATTGCAGGATCCTCCAAGAGGACCTGAACAGGTTGCAGAGATGGTCAGAGAAATGGCTACTGGAATTCAACACGAGCAAATGTAAAGTTATGGAAATGGGACTAGGAGATAGGAAACCAAAGGGACAGTACACAATGAAGGGGAACAGCCTACCTGTAACGATGCGTGAAAGAGACCTGGGGGTGGACGTAACACCTAATCTATCTCCTGAGGCACATATAAATAGGATAACGACAGCAGCGTACTCTACACTGGCAAAAGTTAGAACATCATTCAGAAACCTAAGCATTTAGGGCGCTTTACACTGCCTACGTAAGGCCAGTCTTAGAGTATGCTGCCTCATCATGGAGTCCCCATTTGAAGAAGCATATAATGAAACTGGAAAAGGTTCAGAGGTTTGCAACGAGACTCGTCCCAGAGCTACGAGGGATGGGGTATGAGGAGCGCCCGAGGGAACTGTGCCTTACGACACTAGAAAGAAGAAGGGAGAGGGGGGACATGATAGGAACGTATAAGATACTCAGAGGGATTGACAGAGTGGACATAGACGAAATGTTCACACGGAATAGTAACAGAACGAGAGGACATGGATGGAAGCTTGAAACTCAGATGAGTCACAGAGATGTTAGGAAGTTTTCTTTTAGCGTGAGAGTAGTGGGAAAATGGAATGCACTTCAGGAACAGGTTGTGGAAGCAAATACTATTCATAATTTTAAAACCAGGTATGATAGGGAAATGGGACAGGAGTCATTGCTGTAAACAACCGATGCTCGAAAGGCGGGATCCAAGAGTCAATGCTCGATCCTGCAGACACAACTAGGTGAGTACAACTAGGTGAGTACACACGCGCTTGGCTTCATTCAACATCCAATCTAATCTTCTGGGTGTTTCGCCTGCGTGTATATTTCGTTACCACACCTTTCTCTGAATAAGAAACAGTCTCGTATGGAATAATGGTTAACTGTAATAAACCCCTGACAGACCGCACCAACCTTTATCAGCGTCTACTCTCAACTGTGTGGGCTTGTGTATCGTTGTCAGAATTTGGTCCTACAAAAGCCTAATGTTTGCGTGTTAGGCTTCTAAAGCATCAGTGGCGCGGGTGTTGACTGGAGAAGGCAATAAAAGATGTGGCTGTCTGTAAGGTGGTGTTAGCACCCTGATAATGAGACAGGTGGGCACACGAAAGCCTATACAACCAAATGTATGTTGAGAGAGGAAGACAACTTCACCTGAGGGTGTGGGCGGCCATGGGGCAGGAGGTCCTGCTGAGGAGAGCATAGACACTGAGGCCCTCCTTGCTGGCGGAGGACTTGCCACTCTTGAAGGAGGCCGGGTGCTGGTCCTCGGAGAAGAGCTGGAGTGCGGTGGCCGTAGCGTCGTCCAGCTGGGCCAGGTCCTCCCTGGAAGACAGCAGCCACCTATCTCTCAATATCCACACACTCGTATCATTTTAGCTCTATCTATATAATTATATTTGTATATTTCTATCTCTATATATCCATATATATATTCATATATATATGGATATATATCCATATATATATTTCTATCTCCACTTGTCTGTCTATATGTCTATATTTCTCTGTCTTTATCCATATTTCACTTTACCTATATTTGTCTCTTAATTTTATATCTCCCTTTGTTTATATCTGTTCTTTAATCTATGTCTCTGAATCTGGCTCTTTGACACGCTCTGCGTGTTTCTCTTTAACTCAGTCTCATTCATGCAATGTGGTGTCTTGGACAAACACAGGTTACTGCTGCACAGGAGACTCACATGACATAGAGGTGGAGGCCGAGGATGGGGGGGACGTCCATCAACACCGCCGAGGCCAGCACCTCCACGCCGTGCTTGTCAAGGAACCTGCCCAACAACCCCACAGGAAAAGTCACACTTACTATCCAACAGTAACTGCCCTTTGTGTTAAAGTAGAGATATTAATGTTCTCTATACCATTAAACAAATAAAAAAATGTAAAACATATATATACATATAAATACTATTTAGCCTACTATGCAAGGCTCGATTTGCCTAATAAGCCACGTTTTCCTGAAGTTATATATTTTCAAAATTGGTATCTTATGAAATGATAAAAGCTGACCTCACCTGAGGAGGGCTCCTAGAGCCCGGGTCATGGAGACGAGATCGGTGTTGACCTTGCCCCTGACGAAGAGCTCCCTCTGAGCCTCGGTGAGCCCGTCAGGTTCTCCAGGCAGCACGAGGGAGAGCACCCGCCGCACACACAGCTGGTACTCTGTGGAGACCCGCCACACACGAATGCAGTACATCACACATCATCACAATTAAGTAAAAAAAATCACATTTATATTCATAAAAGTCTGGAACACTGTAATTAGCTTAACCTACGAAGTGCAGTACATGTAATGGACTGTACCTTACAAGCTACAGTGACACGAGATACAAGTCAAAATGTTGAGAAATGCCTGGTGTAGGGACGAGATGTGCCTCTGTTTCTGGTCGCTATGCCAAACATGTCTCAAGATACACTGTCTTTATGAATAACCTCAAACACGACACACTTCCATAAACGCACAAGTTATATGTAACACAAAGAACTCTCCTCCTGTGAAGGACTCGAACCCCTAGAAAGCCAGGTGCACCACACACACACACTAACATAATCAGTACGGTAACCACTTAACCTTGACAGATTGTTAAAAGGATTGAAAGTCGGGAGGTATTTCCCCAACCTTTCAACCCCCTAACAACACCAATCAATGCCAAGAGTTCGTTTTCATCAAATCAGTCACATTTAATGGAGAAAACGCAAGCCTTCAATATACGACACACTTGTTTATGCAAGTATATTAATGTAACAAAATATATTAATGTAACAAATGTAAATGTTTCCCTTGGTATATAAAAACACACAAAAAAATCACACAGTAATTTTCAACTGATTGAACCTTTATTGTTCAACCGAACCAGCTCATTGGCCAGTCTGGCTGACTCGGTACCAACGGGCTTGACCCAACGAGATATAAAACACAACCTGTCCGCAGGGAGGAGAACCGCTCAAGGGATCTCCCTTGAGCGGATCCAATCCCAATCCAATCAAGGGATTGGATTGGGAATGACCACCTAATTAGTGTTATTATGTATCTATTAGTGGTTAGGTTAAGTTGTTACGTTAGGTTGTATTACGTTTGGTTACGTTAATATGGTGTATTATTGATGATAATGTGAAATTCGAAAACTATTTCAGTCTGCCCAGGAATTCCGTTTACAGAAAACTTGCATGGCTATGTTGCCCATACACTCAACGTGTTGTCATAGTGGCATGAGGCCTATCACATACTGTGGCCACTGATTCATTATACTGTATTCATCACGTAAGTGATACAAGGTATAATGGGTATTAAACAGATACCCATAATGATTATTACTGTTATTATTATTATTATTATTAATATACCTAATATTAATGTCGTATGTGTCAAAATACATGCCACATTTTGGTTGCATTATTAATTAAAGGTGTTCCAGTGTGTATACATAGGCAGTGACATTATATACAGACTCACGACTGTGATATATATATACATAGACAGTGACCATGTATAAACACACACAAGTGGGGGTATAGATTACCTGTAATGATGTATTATCATCATACACAGCTTCTGGGACAACACGACTTATCTTGAAGGTGAATACAAGTCCTGAGTATCCAAACACGGGTTATTTTTGTGCAGAGCAACACTGTAATAGTTCTCTTGCACACTTCACTGCCTGGTGAACATAATTACTAAGTTCACTGCCTAGAGAACATAACTACTTAGCTCACTGTCTGTAGAATATAACTACTTAGCTCATTGCCTAGAGAACATAACAACACAGTCGCATGGAGAACGCAACGACACAGTTCGTTGCTTGGAGAACATAACTAGAGAGTTCACTGCCTGGAGAACATAACTACAGAGCATCATGACACGTGTACCGTGGATGCGAGCAAGACAGATACACGAGTCCGTCCTCCTACGTTTTCCCAACATCAAGAAAACGGTAAATTTAAAGTGGTCTCTCCTAACCTACCAGAGGACCCAAAACAGAAAACGGAACAGCACGTCACTTTTGCCAGCCGCTTCCATTTTCTAGTATTACAATTGTTTGACCTTATGTAACGCCTACGCGCGAAAAGCGACGTTCTTTGTATGAGGACAGGTTGCTCACACCGCCAAGGGTACAATATTCCCCCGACACTATAGGGTTAATAATGACTTTTCCTCCAATATTGATGTTAAGCTGGATATAATTCTGTGGTTTAACAAATGCCTTAAAACTCACTGAAGTCAGCCATGGGGAGGACCCTGATGGTGCAGGAGCCAGTGGTGGAGGAGGCTGTGGGCGACGCTGGGGGCGGAGCGGCTCCCCCACTCCCCACCCTGCTGCTGCTGCTGCTGCCCCCCCTGCCGGAGCCATCCCCTTCCTGTCAACATAATACTATGTGGTTTACATGCTAGACTTTGGCACATTGTGTATCTCAGGAAACCTTCACTCAACACATTATGTATCTCAGGAAATCTTCACTCAACACATTATGTATCTCAGGAAATCTTCACTCAACACATTATGTATCTCAGGAAATCTTTACTTAACACATTATGTATCTCAGGAAATCTTCACTCAACACATTATGTATCTCAGGAAATCTTCACTCAACACATTATGTATCTCAGGAAATCTTCACTCAACACACTATGTATCTCAGGAAATCTTCACTCAACACATTATGTATCTCAGGAAATCTTCACTCAACACACTATGTATCTCAGGAAATCTTCAGTCAACACACTGTGTATCTCAGGAAACCTTCACTCAACACACTGTGTATCTCAGGAAACCTTCACTCAACACACTGTGTATCTCAGGAAACCTTCACTCAACACACTGTGTATCTCAGGAAACCTTCACTCAATGTCTAGTGTTGGCGTTGATCATGTGTGTGTTCTGAGCTACACAATGTGCTGAGTACAGGTGTTCTATATCTACAAGACGTTGCAGGTTTGGTTTCAGCTTGACTATAATTATCTTTGGGGAATTTCCAACACCTGCTGATGAACATCTGACCAATTGTAAACGACATTCACACCCTACATCACTAGGCTATTGGATGTGAACAAAGTACAAGAACAACTCAAGTCACAATTATTCAATAAATGTTCAGATATTTCCTAACATTCTTATCCAGATATCCCTACAGCAGTAGGGATATCTGGTAGGGATATCCACCCAACCAGTAGGGATATCCACCCATGCACTACCTACAGCAGGTAGTGCATGGGTGGGACATTTATCTGGACGTGAAGCACCTACACAGTGGTGAGGGGGGTGGGACATTTACCTGGGCGTGGGTGGGCGTGGAGCACCTATACAGTGGTGAGGGGGGTGGGACATTTACCTGGGCGGGGGTGGGCGTGGAGCACCTACACAGTGGTGAGGGGGGTGGGCCCTTTACCTGGGCGTGGGTGGGCGTGGAGCACCTACACAGTGGTGAGGGGGGTGGGACATTTACCTGGGCGTGGGTGGGCGTGGAGCACCTACACAGTGGTGAGGGGGGTGGGACATTTACCTGGGCGTGGGTGGGCGTGGAGCACCTACACAGTGGTGAGGGGGGTGGGACATTTACCTGGGCGTGGGTGGGCGTGGACTCCGTACAGAGCGGAGTGGGTGGGATGCCACACAGCTGGCGCAAGACGGTAAACAGGCGGTCGTCTTGTCTCCCGCCCACCAGCACCCACCTGCAGAGAAAACGTTATATAGTAATCAGTCTCGACCTCAGGTATATTATGAAAGATTTTTTTGTATATTATACGTACTGGTATGCCTCCTCCAAGCCTACCACACGAGTGGGACTCCAGGCAAGTCCTCTACGGGCTCACCATAGCCCGTGCTGCTTGGAACTTTTTGTTCCAGTGAGTTGAATCTAAAACAACAACAATAATTCAAGTCTACCTCTCTATTTCCAGCCTATATGTTTCTTCCAGCTTATTTGTCCAGTCCTACCTACCTGTTCCTCTTCCAGTCTTCCTCATGTCCCCCTTCCAGCTTACCTGTTCCCTTCCAGCCTACTTACCCGCCACCAAGCCGTTGTCCTGCTTGTAGACAGATTGTCACTGACGTACCTGGGTCGCTGCTCGCGGAAGAGGGTGGTGAGTACCCAGAAGTCAGGGGCGGCCTCCGCCTTGTCCTCCACCACGTACACCTGCGGGAGGCCAGTAAGTGGTGATCTCACCCCCAACATCGGATCAACAAAAGCTCCTCTAGTACTTAAAAAAGCACGTAATCGGGGATGGGTTGACAAGGTTAAAGTTAAATATCAATTTACTTTAATGGTGAGTCAAATGAACAAATCCACTAGGGCCGTGACGAGGGTTCGAACCTACGTCCAAGAGGATCCCAGACGCTGACTTAATCAACTGAGCTACGACGTGGTAAAAGAATTGCAACCGGGAAATCATCCTGATTTACCGCGGTTCCTGCAGCTCTTCGAGACACAAACCAGGGTTTTACGCAATTCCCCCAAAACCCTGGTTTGTGTCTCAGAGACTGCAGGAACCGTGGTAAATCAAGATGATTTCCCGATTGCAATTCTTTTACCATGTCGTAGCTCAGTCGATTAAGGGAGCGTCTGGGATCCTCTCGGACGTAGGTTCGAACCCTCGTCACGGCCGAGCGGACAGCACGCTGGACTTATGATCCTGTGGTCCCGGGTTCAATCCCGGGCGCCGGCGAGAAACAATGGACAGAGTTTCTTTCACCCTATGCCCCTGTTACCTAGCAGTAAAATAGGTACCTGGGTGTTAGTCAGCTGTCACGGGCTGCTTCCTGGGGGTGGAGGCCTGGTCGAGGACCGGGCCGCGGGGACACTAAAGCCCCGAAATCATCTCAAGATAACGGCCCTTGTGGATTCGTTCATTTGTTATTTCTGTGTGTGGTGAGTCAAGTCATACTAGTAACGCAGCAACCCGCTGTCACGTTCGTATATACTATGATAGCCAGTTCGTATATACCGTGCACGTCTCGGCGCACCACGGCGCTTGTACGACAACACGGTGTAGGAAGGAACACACATATACAGTACTAGTTTTGAGGATTTGATTTCAAAGTAAAAATATAAATTCACATACAAGAAGTCAGATTATCTGGATACTTTTCGACATACTCAGGTCTAAATTGGGGTGTTTGGTTTACTAGACTTTGAAGAAAATAGGTAATTTCGTTACGTAAATTGATGTATGTGTACAGCACGTCCTGTGAGTGAATGAAGTCTATGACTATCTCCGTCTAGGAGATAAGTCATGTTTTGTACTTACACTTACGACTTGGAGGATGGAATAAGTAACTGCTTCAAGTTGCAGGCGATGAGTCACAATAACGTGGCTAAAGAATCGACTTGAGAATGGTCCAGGACGGACCGAAACGTCGTCGTCCCTTCACCTTCTTGTGTGTGGTCTGGTCAAATTGCTTCAAGTTGATGATGTTGGAAGATGCATGGAAGACGTGATACGTTTACGTCTTTAGACATTTACGTTTACACGTTAGACATTTACGTCTGTGTGTGTGTGTAAGCTAATTTGCTTTGTAAAAGCCTTACAATCACCTTGTGTGGTGTACTCATCACCTCCAGGTGAAGTACTGATGGCCTCAGAGTGGAGTACTCGTGGCCAGTCATGGACATGGTGGGGAGGTGAATACCTGCTTCCCCATTTCCAGTTGTTATGTTTACTTTCTGTACTAGTGGGGACGTTTATTATGTATCTTTTGTCAAGTTTCTGACAATTAAAATTACTTGTTTATTTGTTATAATTATGGATGAGCCGCTTGTGATCCCCCGAGCATAAATCCTGGATACAGCTTTAGCGTATAATACCCAGTTCCCAAAACCCCTTTACATCGCTGCGAGCCACGGCCTAACATCGGAGGTCTCACAGTGGAAGACTCACAGCCTGAGTGAAGGACTCACGGGCTCAGTGGAGGACTCAGCCTGAGTGGAGGTCTCACAGACTCGCAATGGAAGACTCACAGCCTGAGTGGAGGACTCACGGACTCACAGTGGAAGACTCACACGGTACTGGATAGGTGTCCCCCTCAGACCCACCTGGGCAGACGTGACGTCGTAGAAGGCTGCCCCAAGCTTGCCCTGTGACCACGACACGCTCATCACAACCTGTAGCCACACACCCGGCATTAATACGCTTCTTACCACAACAGCTAACACAACACACTGCATAATAACAACATATAATGCGATACACGACAATGTAAGGTTATCTATTACAACATAACAGAAAACGATTCAATACACTACACAAATCTAATACAGATTCGTTAACAAAATACTAACCCACAGATGAAATGAAAGTGAGGACGTTTAAACGCGGTCCTAAGACAGACTAAACCTTTGGTAAATATGTACAGTACTTGTTTTTTTTTTTTAAATGATAAATATATGAACAATATGACAGATATTAAAAAATATGACAGTGTCAGACCACGGAGGGAGAATTGAAACAGGAATTTCCGTAAGTACTTTCGTATTTTAATACATTAATGTAACATCACTTGTATGTATATACCTTACCTGAATAAACACATTTATTTATTTATTTATTTACATCTTCAGAAGGAATGAATCATTCATTCCTTCTGAAGATGTATTATTAAAATACGAAAGTACTTAAGAAAATTCCTGTTTCAATTCTTCCTCCGTGGTCTGACACTCATATTTTTTCATCACGTGTTAATTTTCGTGATTTACATACACATTAAAAAATATATATACATTCTTGGATATATTAACTATCGTATTAATTAAATTCTCATATTGATATCAGTTCCTGAAACTTGGATAAAATATTACCCCTTAATTAAAAAAGAAAAAATCATGTTGGATATAAGGAAAGCAAAAAATATGGGTGACTGAAGAAAACTGCCAAAAATGATCTCAAACTTAATATTTTCAATAAATAATTAATTTGTTATGTATAAGATTTATTATTAGATAATAATGACAGAGATGTCAAATCTTAGTAAATATAGGGGTTTATTATCAAAACCAAATTCTCATAAATTTGTATAGTAAAACACCTTATATGACGTGAGACTCATTTACCCCAGATGAACACAAAAACGCCATATAACGTCAGCCGCACTCTAAGGGTTAAATAAAGCAAAAATCTACCCATAGGTATGCGACTTATTTTTTTCGTCTTTCACATTTTTTCAATAAGAAACTAATCAAGCTACAAGCAAAATGTGACGCTGGTTTTCAACTAATGAAACTACACAAGACTACCAACAAAATGTGCATACTCAGCGGTATATACAATACTGTCAGCAGAGTACAAGCATGAATACAACACTTTAGCCATCACCATTAAGAGTGAAATAAGGTGAAGGTGCTCCTAGACTACTTTAAACCCAAGGGAGTCGGGGAACGTGGGGTTCCCTGTCATACTCTGCAGCGCCATCGAGAGGGACCACCCTTATCGCTGCAGCACACCGTGGGAGGCGCCTTGGTCACTCATAACTCACCTCCGAAGTGGGCTGGTGGTCGCCAACCTTTGTTGTTACGGACCTGAGAGATGTCGTCCTCAGAGTGTCCCCGTGAGCCAAGGTCATCCTGGGTCCCGTCGGGAGTAGAGAGTGAGGAGTCTTGGGGACGGCAGAGGGTGGTGCTGGTGGTACAAGGGTCTCCGTGGCTGGAGGTGCTGCTTGTCGTCCTCTTCCTCTTCACGCTGCTGGGGAGGTACATGTCATTCCTCACACACACACACACACACACACACACACACACACCAAATCAAATTCACACACACCAAATCAATTTCTTTCAAATCAAGAAATTCTTGCAATTTTAACACTGGCAATAAAGATATTGATGTTAATGCAATTTTGAATTAAAGAAAAAAGTTTTAATGAAGCTTAAAATATGAAATATTTATCACGAGCTCATCATAAGTTATAATACAACCTACAGGAGTATAAAAAAAAGGTTTCTAGCGTCTTTTTGCAAACAACTCAGTATTCTTCTCCGTATGAGGGAACAAGAAGGCTTATTATTATTATTATATATATATATATATATATATATATATATATATATATATATATATATATATATATATATATATATATCATTTTATTTTGGTGGGGTTGGGGGTGTATATGTTAAGCTTTATTTGGACCTTAGATGTATATTTTTCTATTCTTCGCGAATATGTATAGCTAAGCGGACATTTGCACTTGACTGTTCTAAAATAAGCAATTTCCCCACTCCCTCTCCCGGCCTGGGTGTCTCGTGGCTTATTATTGTACAGCCTCATAATTCCTGCACTGGAGTTATCACGAAAAAAAAAAATAGATCCCTACAACACTGACGGTTCCTTCCCTCGCTCCTCTTCATATCCCAGCTCCTATCCTGTCCTCATATCCCAGCTCCTATCCTGTCCTCATATCCCTCCTCCTTCTATCCTGTCCTCATGTCCTATCCTGTCCTTATCCCTTTCATGTGATATATAGTCAAACTGGCTTGGCTCTTTCCACTAATAGCAAAGTTTAACACCATGTTAAACTGAGCTGTGTTATTTTCTGGTTGATTAAGCCGCCAAAGTATAGAAAAGGGTTATTATGCCTTTCAAACTTTGCTTTGACCTGTGCCTAAGACAGCTTAGGGAAGACGTCTTGAAGGTACCTGATGATTGTCACTCCTTATCTTGAGCTGTGACACATTGTTTCATAAGTCAGAAGCCTTCAGGTACTTTCAAGATGTCTTCCCGAAGCTGTCTTAGGCACAGGTTAAAGGAAAGTTTGACGGGAATAATAACCGTTTTCTATACTTTGGAGGCATAAACAATCAGAAAATAACACTGCCCAGGAACGAAAACAAAACAATTGCATAGTGTTCTTGGGTACAGCACTGATGAATATCATTACCTTGACAAGTCGGAAGAGCGCTGCCCTCCACTCACAGCTGTGGATGGCAGCTGAGTGGTATCCGTAAGGAACCGAGCCGGGGTGCGCTGGGGACAGTGATCACCGCTCACCATAGCACCTCGTCTCGGAGCCGGAGTGTGAGGTGTGCTGGTGAGGCTTGTTCGTGCAGACGGCGCCAAGCATGAAGCTCCGAGTAGAGTGGAAGACGAAGTGGTGAGATGAGAAGGGTGACCCTCGGGAAGCTGCGGTGTGCTGGCTGAGGTGGAACTCTCGCTGAAGGTTGACCTCCAGTGGGCCCTCAAAGATCCGCTCTTATCATGGGACGAGCTGGAGAATAGGGACAGAAAGTAGGTAGGATAAACAGCACTGGAAAGAGCTTACAGGCTCATTTTGTTCCTTTCAGAACAAAATTAAAAAATAATAATAAAAATTGTATTTGCATTTGCTACTATGACTGTTTTAACTTTTTTTTTTATACAAGAGTTTTTATATTCTTGTACAGTCACTAGTACGCGTAGCGTTTCGAGCAAGTCCTTAATCCTATGTTCCCTGGAATACGACCCTCGCGAAGAATCGTTTTTACAACTAAGTACCCATTTTACTGTTGAGTTAAACAGAGGCTACAGTTAAGGATTTGCGCCCAGTAAATCCTCTCCCGGCCAGGATACGAACCCAGGAAAAAGCGGTCGCGGAACGCCAGGCGAGCAAATTACCCCTACGCCAAAGAGACCTAACTGTGGTGTGTACTTCTCCCTCCCCCCCCCCCCCCCTAAACATCCACAACCTTCTTCCTCTTCTTCCTAAACATCCACTCACATCCTCCCCTACCAGTCCTGTGGCCAAGATGAACTATAATATATTTTAAGAGAAAAGTCTAACCAAATGCACTTAAGAACACCAAATAATTTAGGCCTACACGAGTCAAGTCCTATTTACAATAAATGATTTACGTTAATGACTCAACTAAATGACTCAGCTTGGAATATTATTCCACTCATCTACAATTCTATTGGCAAACCAGCACACACAACCTTTCTAAATCTAAATTTGCCACATATATTAAGTGGAAAAATGTATATGTGATGTACAGACGAAACAATTTACTTAATGAATATGTTAAAAACAATTGTAAACACATTTATGAATACATTTGTCTATCTCACTAAATTCAAATTATGAAACCTGTCACTGCGTGATGCCCACTGCGCTCCTGACATAGCCTCTTCGGGCACTCTCTGCACCACCTGAGCCAGACGCGCCTCGCACCAGCTGCTGCTGCCCACGCCCAAACCCGAGCTGGAACTCCTGGAGGTGGAAGCGCCCACATTGACGCCTGAGCTGAGCAGTTCACTGGGCAGGCCCGAGGTCGTGTCCGAGCTGAGGCTCCTGCCACTGTGTGGGTTCCGCAGCATGTTGGTGGAGGTGGTGTTGACGTGGTCGGGTTGGTGCGGGGTCTACAATAGTACTTCTCTATTGTACTGTTAGAAGTACAATAGTACTTCTCTCGCACATCTGGGAAATAAATTGTACACTTTAATAGGCGTTTCGCTTATTTAGGACATTATCTGATATTGGTTACTTCAATACACATATTCTGTTATTTCAATGCATTTATTTCTCTTACTCCCTCCATACACATACTGTATATGTAATTACCTCCACACATATTATTGATCTCTTATGCTCACCACACATATTACTGTATTTTTATTCCCATCACACATTTTTCTCTCTCCATATATATTTCTCCTTCTTTCACACCTTACTCTGGTCACACATTTATCTTACATTAATTTGTTTAACTAAGAGGGGTACTTGGCGGTGCCCGGGTTAGTCTCCCCTCCCACCCCTCTATACCTCTGCTTGTCCTCTTTCCCACATTCCCCTCTCTTCCGTCACAATTACCCCTCTCTCTCTCTCCAGCCCCCTCCTCTTACTCCTCTACAGCTCTCTTCCCCATTTTACCTTTTTCTCCTTTCCGACCTCAAACACACAGACGTTTCCAATTATGTGTACAGAAGAAGTATCCGGTTGCACCCAGGTCTATTCCCTCCCTCTTTCAACCCTTTCCCCTCTCTTCACCTCATTCCCCCCTTGACCCCCCCCCCTTCGTTCCCATCCATTTGGTACCTCTCACTCTTCTTCTGGTCTCTTGATTTCTTTCCACCTCTTTACCACTCTTCACTCCATCCCCCTCCTTGACCTTGTACCCCCATCCATCTCTGCTTCCCCTATCTCCCCTTGACCCCCACCCCCTTCCTCCCCCCCCTCGTCTTCCCCACTCATACTTTCCCCTTTCCCCCTTCTTTCATAACATTCATTATTCAGAAGCACTGAAACAACTGTGTGTGTCTCAGATTTTTTTTTATTAATACATTAGGTACATCTGCATTTATTTCGACCACTAAAACTCTATGGGAATCATAACTATTTCACACTTGACTTCATGAAAATTGTACGGGCGTGTCTTTAATTGGTAATATTTCTTAAATGATTTAACTTACCCGACCAGCCTTTGTCCGTCCTGTACCACAGGACATTCCCTCCTACAAAATTTGGGTGAGGTTAGCCCCAAGCGTCTGGCCTCCAACTTTTGACAGACAGACAGACAGCTAGGCTGGCAGTCTATATAGATCATCACATATTTATCTTCATCACACTACACACTTCATCTTACTCTCCTCACACAATAATAATAATAATAATAATAATAATAATAATAATTTTATATTAGAACATTATTATGCTACAGTTTCACGTCTTCCCTCCACACATTAACCGTGTCTAGGCCTACTACGCCCCAGAGCAAAATAGACTAGAAAATGTCTACTTGTTTAAATAGACTAGAAAATGATTTGGTAGGACTGTGTCGAGTTCTCAGGTTTGTTGTTTTAGATTCAGCAACTCGGTACAGAGTTGCAAGTAGCACGGGCTATAGTGAGCCCGTAGTGGACTTACCTGGCACAGGAGCGAGGCAAGTAGCACAGGCTATGGTGAGCCCGTAGTGGACTTAGTTCTGTGGTAAACATGCATGTAGCTGCTTCATTTAGTTATACAGTACATCGATCACTGGCGCTCCTATTAGTAAAACAGCTGTGTTTCTCGACAGTGTTAAAATCTGGGGCTACTTGTGCAATGTCAAAGGAAAACCATACAAATTTGAATGAAATAATTTGAGAATGGGTGTGTACTTATGGAGTTATACGTACGTCGCTCCTGGGAGGCAGCCGCAGACCAACCCACGATGACAGTAATGCTGTAGTGTAGGGCTCGAGCAGCAGTTATAAGGGGATAAAGGATAGGAGAAGGCAGGAGAAAAAAAATCGGAGGGGGGAGGCAGGAAAGGAGGGAGGGTCAGCAAGAGTTAGATAAAGGGCAGAAGAGAGATGGGGGAAAAGCTCGGAGGCACGTCAGGGAACAGAGTAATGAGTCTGGAGAACAGCTGGGAGGAAAGTAAAGGGCAGCATGTGGGGCAGGAGGAGTGAAGAAGGGATAAGTTTTGGGTGAGAGATGGATGTGGGCAAACTAAAGGGAGGTGAAGGGCAGTAGTAGACGTAGTCAGGTGTAGGAGAGGTTGTAGTAGTCAGGTGTATAGGAGCAGATGATGGGCAGCAAGAAGGAGGTGAAGGGCAGGAGTGAGGGAGGGAGGGAGACACAGGAGGGGCAGGAGTGAGGGAGGGAGAGCCTGGGGGAGGGGGCAGCAGCCGGGGTCTCGCTCCAACATCACCCTTCCCGCCATCACCATTTGTTGATACTTTCTGTTGGTTCTCTTGTGGCTCTGCCATCTATCACCCACCCTGCCCTACTCCATCTCCCCAAACTCCTCCAATCACCACCTTACCTATTTCATAATCGGCAAGGCACCGGATGCGATATTAGCTGAGAAAAGTGTACAAATAACGAGTGGCCGAGGACCATCAGGACGCTCGTGGTTTCGAACGACAGACGCAGTACCCGAGGTCCTTCCGCGATTTTTTCCCGAGAATCACCGTCAAAATCTCCCCGATGCCTCTGTTACAGGGCCAGCCCTTCAGGCTCATCAAGCCGCCCGACAGTGTGGAGCCTGGGACCAAGTTATACGTCATTCAGCACACTGGAGAGAAGTTTGTCAGTAAAAGGTAAATGCCCGCGAAAGCGCCGGTCTGTGTTCACGGTAATATCCAAGAGCTGCCGTGTTTGTCGCTCCCTGGCTCTATTTTACCCCTCTCTACCTCTCTCACTCGCCCTACACGCCCTCCTCGCCTCCCTCTTGCTCCATACCTCCACGCTCACCACCTCCACGCCACTAATGAGCCCCCTGATAGGTAAATTTGACATTTGTGATTAGGGAATAAATGATCTGGGGAAGAAACAAGATGGAGATATTGTCATTTGCCGCCCATATGAGGGAGAGAGACACCTCTCCCGCCCCTCCTCCCGCATGACACCATATATATTTTCCCTGCTGTCATGACTTGACTTGTGACATGAGCAGCGTGACAGTGACAGTGTGGCATGTCACTTCTCACTATAGTATGAGTCACACTGGTATACCATGTTCATAATGCACTTTAGACAATATTATTGATAAGTGTAAATAAAATAAATTGAAATTTTGATGTTTATCATAGGCAAGTGTTAACAAGATGGGGCATAAAGAGCTAGACCTCACTTTAACCAAGTGTCACTGTGAATACTGAACTAAAAAAAGTACATCAGTGGCTGACTGCAAACAAACTTACTCTTAACATTGAAAAAACATTTTACATATTGTGTGGTAACAAGTCCATCGATCAAATTAACCTAACAATCAACAATCCCCAAATAATATACAAAATAGATGGTAAGTTGCTTGGTGTTCACATTGCCACCAAGCTGAACTTTCGTTGCCATGTACAAAATATGCCGTCCCTGTGGCGCAGTGGTAAGACACTCGCCCGGTGCTTTGCGAGCGATTTGGCCTAGCTTCGTATCCTGGCGGGGGAGGATTGACTATGTTCAAGGAGCAAAGAAATATAACAAAGTTTCTAAAACAATAGGCATTCTCCAAGATCAGATACTATGTACCCCGCCCTGCCTTGGTAACTATATATTATTCTCTCATCTATCCATATCTTACGGTATCTGTGCCTGGGGATTTACAACATAAAATTACCTCAGACCCCAATTACTCAACATAAATCTGCAGTCAGGACAGTAATAACAACAGTCTCGGGCAGCATTCATTTCCTTATTAAAATCTCTGAATTTGTTAAGTATCAAGTCACTACATGTCTTCTCATCTGTAAAACTCTGAATTGTAATACAGTACTAATCCTGACCTTAAGTGTTTTTGAGGTCTCCAACAGAACCCATGGGCGTTACACGAGAAACAAATATCTTTTTGATCTTCCAAAAGTACAACTTAACCATGTAGAAATGCCCTGCAAATCAAGGGTCCAAAACTGGAATGACCTCCCTAATGAGATTAAAAATTGTACTTCTCTCGGCCAGTTTAAAAGTGAAGTTAAGAACTATCCACTTTATGTAATTAATTTTTCACCACTTTTTCCATCCCATGTCACCCCTGTGTTTTGCTGTTATTGTGAACATAAATTATTATTTACTAAACACAGTATATACTGTTAGTAAATACTGCTGTTTCTATACATCATAAAAAATTTGTATATTCTTCTAAATCTCATCAACAATTGTAAAATTAGTTTTTAAGTATTGTTAAGATAATGATTGTCTATAATTTTCGCACGTAGTAATTTATTTTCAAATCTTTCAACAATTAAAAAGTGTTACCATATCTCATTTAATTTTAAGTATTACACCACAACACATGTTAACTTTCTCATATTTGTTTTTTACGTTACACTCTCCTTAAAGCTGTATATCATTTGCTAAATTTCTTGAACAATTTATATGTTAGCTGATTTTTTATTTAGTACAGTACTGTATTGCCTACATCAGCAGGCACCAACCAGTGGTCAGCGAGAATTTTATTGTGTATTGAATGTAACTGTGTATTTTCTTTAACTGTTATATTTAATGGCATGAAATAGTTTGAGTTTAATAACTATCATTTCTTGTTTGGTGGACCGCGGGATTCACATTAGTAGTCCGCGGGATTTAAAATTATGAATTTGGTGATCTGTGATCTCCGAAAGGTTAGCCAATGCTGGTCTACATCATAAAAGCTTTAAACGATCTAAAATAATTATTTTACACTTTGCATATTAGTGGCCTTATTAAATATATATACTCTGTCAATTAATAAACCATTGTATTATAATCTTTTGCATGTGTTGGTAATAGAAATTATTATTATTATTATTATTATTATTATTATTATTATTAAACATCTGCATGTCAAGACTGATCACATACTATACCATTAGCTTGCTGAAACCATCTCCCTAAGTACAAGTACAGTAGTTACGCCTCTTCTCACCTTTTACATTAATTTCTTCCTGCTTCATAGACAGGTTATCACTTACTAAGTGATCTGGGTAAACTTCAACTACAGTTTGTAGTTTAGGAATATTACTTTAATTATTAGAATTCTTGAGCCTTAGTTTCCTTCTGCATTTTATTGTATTGCGTAATGAATTAAGGGTTCCAGGTTGTTACTTGGTTTCCTACTTAATCCTAACCTAATTAACTATACTACACTTAATCCTAAATACATAGTGTTTAGGATTTAGAATTACATTAGGCTAGGCCTAGCCTAATGTAATTACCTAGGCCTTACCTAGGCCTAGCCTAATGTAATTACCTAGGTCTTACCTAGGCCTAGCCTAATGTAATTCATTTAAAGACAAAACAAAGTTTATCAAATGGAATGGGTGATCTATCATGATACTAAATCATACTATGAGGCCATTCATAGTCAATTTAGCTTATGAATGCCAAATGACCTAATTAGCCAAATGGCTAATTCCATTTTTTCTTCAAAATTTTTAGTCTACTTATTGAATATTTAATATTTCATAATTATGCACATTAGTCAAAATAAGCACCTACACTAACTTACCACACAGTTGTATGGGGCTTGTGTATAACTTTTTAGTGTCTTTTAGTAGTATATATTGAGTGCTTATTCTGACTATTACAGTACTTCTAGTAATGTATATATGCATAATTATTATCAAGTAAATGTGCTGCGGGTTGAACAGAACCTGTGGTGAGTTAACCAGATAAATCGACTAGGTGACTAAAAAGTGAGATTTTTTATGTGCAAATTTTTTAGCTCGCAAAACTGTCTACATATTTTTTGCATATTTTATTGCAATTTCTAGTGGGAAGAAAATTTTTTCATGTTTTGACTTGAGATCTTGCAAAGTGTACAGAACTTAAAATTTATTGAAAGTTTATGCTTAGATATATCCACTAAACAAAATTACCGTATTATTATTATAAAATATATTTATCAAGATAAGGTTTATTTATTTTTTTAGAATACAGTACAGTAATTTACATAATGAAGCTACTCCTACTTAACTTATGTATTATTTAATGTTAAGAAATAAACACTGTGGACAGGACTAACAAAATTGGGAAATTGTGGGTTTAAGTATTGTTCAGTACTGTATTATAAACTGGTATGAAGTGATGTGAGACTTTATATTATATTAAAAGGCAAAAATAGGGTTTTTAATGCAGCTTGAAAAATGTGCTCATTTACTGATCAGTGATCCTAATGTCTGACTAATGGTACTTTCACCAGTATGAGCCTATAGAGGTGAATGTACTTTATGATAAAATTGCCGGTCTTCGGATGCCTAAGTATATATGCTAGTCCTGGTGGACTAGCATGTTGTTTTTTTAATGTTATTGCAGAAGTTATGATGTAAATTGAAAGCAGACATTTTATAAAATAACACTAGAATGGAGATGTTAATGAAAATCTGCCAGTGTCCAGTGTTTCTTTGCTGCCAAGTGTATGGACACATGGTTGCTGGTCTCCAGACAAATGCATAGTTTACCCATTTCCCCACATAGTTACAATAATATAAACATGTAGAACACATCTCTATCCTATAATCCACCATTATACCATTGATAAGGAATAAACAATATACATAATTGAACCTGATTGAGTCTGATATAATTTTTCAGATGATTCCCAAAGTAACTGCATGTACATCTTTGCGTACAGGAATGTTAGTACATACATAGAAAAAGACAAACATAGTTCTAATTTACATAAATGGTTGCAGAGAAGACGTCTAAATTATAAATCCCATATTGTTGACAAGCATGGTAGTCAAAATACTAGATTTTTTTTTTTTAAACCAAATGGATAGAATACCTGGAGAGAAATAATATAAGTCAATCTTTCAGTATGGCTTTCAAACAGGAAGATCTCGTGTTATAAATCTACTTTGTTTTTATTGTAGAGCAATATAGATTCTGCAAGAAAGAGATGGGGGGTTGACTGTTTATCTAGACCTAAAAAAGTCTTTTGACAATTCCCCACAAGAGGTTGTTCTGGAAAATGGAACATGCTGGATGGGTGAGAGGCAGACTGCTAACATGGATGAAAAATTTTCTAACTGGCTGAAAGATGAGGGCATTAATTAGACACAGTGCATCAGACTTGAGAAGTGTTACTAACAGAGTACCACAGGGTTCAATTCTTGCACTGGTAATGTTCATTGTATATATAAACGATCTACCAGTATTAATAAACTATTATATGAACATGTTTGCTGATGATGCTAAGCTACTAGGAAAGATAAGAGACTTGGACTGCTGTATTGTCATGAACTTTTAGATGATCTAGACAAAATAAGTGTATGGAGCAACAGTTGGCAAATGGAATTCATTGTAAATAAATGCCATGTTATGGAATGTGGAATAGGAGAAAATAGGCCACACATACACAACCTACAAATTATGTGGAAAGGCATAAAGAACTGATAAAGAAAAATATCTAGGGGTGGTTCAGGATAGTAGACTGTCACCAGAGGACCCCTTAAAGGACATTGTGTGTGGAGCATATGCTACGCTTTCCAACTTCAGAATTTCTGTTAAATATATGGATAGTGAAGTATTAAAATAATTGTTCATGACTTTTGTGAGACCAAAATTGGAATATGTAGCAGTTGTATGGTGTCCACATCTTATAAGAAGCACATAAATGTACTGGAAAAGGTGCAAAAGGATGTTACAAAATGGCTTCCAGAACTGAAAAACAAGAGCTGTGAAAAGAGGCTGGAAGTGTTAAATATGCCAAAGCTAGAAAATAGAAGAAAAAGAGGCAATTTGATTCCCTACATATAAAATAGTAATAGGGTTGGATCAAATTGACAAAGGAATTCTTGAAACCTGCAACTTAAAGAACAAAAGATCATAGATTCAAGCTAAGGCGCTGAAAACATACTGTATTTGGAAGTTTTCTTTTTGCAGAGTGGTAGATGGTTAGAACAAGTTTAAGTGAAAAGGTGGTGGATGATAAAACTGTCAGTTGTTTCAAAGGTCATATGACAAAGAGTACTGGAAAGACTGAACACGACGTGCGTAGCTCTCATCCTGTAATTACACCTAGGTAAAAACCCATCCATCCCATCACAGCCCATCCCATTTCATGCAATATAAATGTTTTTTTGTTTTTGTTTTAATCTAGTGCTTAAGAACTGGCAAGTATCTGATAACACATGATTTTACTCCAACTTTAATTGGGCAAACACACCCCATATTTATAATTTAGCAACAGTCATTCGACTACCTTAAATGTTTGTATTATTCTGACGTTTTGTAACATGGTTAAGATCACATTTTTATTCTTTTCATCACTAATATTGCATCTTTGCTGCATAGTTTGTGGTGTTTTTGTGCACTTTCATCATTAATGCTTAATAGCACTGAAACTTAACTAACTTGAGCTAGAACATGTTACAGTATCTCTACCATTTAAAAATTTATATCACTTGCATCATCACCTTCAATACATACAGTACAAATTTTTCCAATTCTGCTGTAATAATATTGAGGTGCAGGAAACAAAATAAGTTGGGAACAAGCAACTTAAGTACTGTACCTTCATGTGAAGGTCATATGTTTTTAATAAATATAGAAGTATTGTAGCTTCATCCCATTCACCTGGACTGTATGGGTCTCGGACCGTGGACCCCGCACGTGTGCGTCCGTAGCACTATTAACTAGGTTATGAGCAGTCTTGTAAGGAAAGTTTTCAGAAGCAGCATCCTGCTGCCTACTGAAATTTGTTAGTAATGGATGCGGGGTCAGTAATTCCTCTGGGCTTTAGTAGTAGTCAGGGAGAGTTAAAAATTTCAGTATGCAGCAGGATGCTGCTTCTGAAAACTTTCCTTAGACTGCTCATAGCCTAGTTGATAGATAGTGCTATGGCCTCACACGCATGGGGTCCACGGTTCGAGACCCAGGCCAGGTGAATGGAATGTTTATTTCCATGGAAGTGTGGACGGCAATTTATTTTGTAGTTACGGCTATAGAAATGTCATTGAAAAGGGCCCAAGGCAAAAATTATAGTGACATTTCATAATATTTGTGTCATAAGATTGGTCAATTCAAAATAAAGGAATAGGCTATCTTCTGTGATTGACTTTTATCAGACCATATTTAGTTACTGTATAGATGAATTCAGAATCCTGTTGTAGGTACAGTACTGTATTGAAAATACAGTACCATTTACTGAGGATGCACATTCACTCTTATGTTCTTTTCTAATAATTTTATGTTATTTCAACAGTGACTATGAAGACCGATTAGCTCTGTACAGCCAAAGCATTTGGACCTGTCAGTGCACTGGCAAGTCTGGCCTGACTCACCAAGAGGCTTGGACAAGCGAGGCTAAGATTCGTATCCTTCTTAGCTCCTCATTTCCCACACCCCTCCTGCAACCCATTCTTCGTACTCTTCATCATAGTAAGTTAATGATGTGTTAAGTATCAATTGATCATGTATTTTGTATCTCTTCTTGGTCAAGTTGGGCACAATATTATTTTTGTCACACTCTACCATTTAAATGGGGTTAAGTCAACCCCATTTAAATGGGTATGTGCTCACACTTTTCACTCACTTCAACTGAGTTATAGTAGTTATCCATTTATAAATGGTGACATTTGTTCTTCAGTGGTTCAATCAAGCCCATAATTGTTTGAATTGGTATCTTCCCAATTCCTGCATGCACTTCAAAATCATAGATGTAACCAGTATGTGATTCAATTAGCATGTACAGCTTTTACTCCATACTTCTCAGGTTTATTTGGGTTATAAACCTTGAAAGCTAGATAACATTGTGCCTTCATCCAAACACAGATTTTTCTGGGGAATGTATAGTGTTCTGCATTTATGTGTGAGATATTCCATGAACTAACTATTATTAGTCTATCTTGATTGTCTTTGGGAATGGCATAATTGTTATGAGTATGAAAATACTTTGCAATCAATTCATATCGTCTCACAGTCATAAAAGTATTGAAAGAAGGTACATGCCACAATTTACCTGATTGCCAGTACATTTTCAATAATGGTATCTTCACAATGCCCATCAACATTGACAGTCCCAAATATCTGGCAAGGTCTTTTACACTCACTTCATCCCTCTTACTGTTTGTGTTGTTAGAAGCATTGGACATGCTTTGTGATGCACACAAGTTTGTTTCATATACTGTACTGTAAATTTTAGCAAATCTTGCATAATAAACAACTAAAAATCCCAGAGGAGTGCTTGGTACTGGTACAGTCAAGCCTGGTGTTCCAGTAAAACTGTCTATGAATGGTGCAGTGTTGTCAGTAGACCACCAGGCTTCACCAAAACTGGTGCGTGGGGTACATTGGGTATGAGCGATACATCTGATACGAGTTCTAATAGCAGGCCCTGCACGTGGGGTGGTATCATAATCATCATCATCACTCATCTCACTTTTAATTTCAGCCTTACCTGCTGTTTCACTTTCAACCACCTCACTATGTACATCTCTGTCACTTTTGGCACTTTCAAGATCAAGATGAGAAAATTTTTCAACTAAAGCCTGGAATTTTGTTGGTGTGAGTTTCTCTTTGCTGTACTTTTGGCAAACTCTACTAAGCTTCTCCCTCAGACGTGTTTTTCCCCTGCTTTTGTCTTAGAATGGTTCTGTTCTTGATCACTATCCATCCTGGAGTAATTGTAGAAGATTTATAAAGACAGTAACAAATATAGCTGAAGAAAAATAGCCGGAATGGGCACGTGCTGGATGCGAGAGGAGGCCGCAGCGGTCACGAGCATAGACATGATAACAATGGACCATGATGCCACATGGGCCATCACAGAAAATGGGAAGACTTTAGCACACATTTTAAAACATAATTATTTTCCTATAATTATCGTGGAAAAAAAGGAATTTTAACAAATATTATAATTTTTTAAGCAACATGTGTCCCTGCTGGACATCTGTAGAGGTATTTATGGACGCAGTATCTGTCCCTTGCCCGCCGAAAGTGTTAAGGGAGATTTCTAATTCCTGACATTAACTGTGTCATCTTTATCTATGCTTATTAACACTATACTGTAGTACTCTTCGAACATCACTTGCGTCCGATTTTTTTCTCTTGAGTCAGAGCATCGGACAGGTCTTGCATCCGATAAAAAAATATTTGTATAAAATTCATTTACAGTATTATCCGATCGACTTTGGGATAGTTTCAAAATGAGTTTCAAAATTTAGAGTGCGCACAATTTGATACCAAAATGAAAGATGTAACATGAAACTTGATGTCAAAACACGTGAAAGATTATAAATAATTTTGTGATGATGAGCGTCCAAAATTAAAATATTGGTTAAAATTCCAGTTATTGCTCTATTATTATGAGAATAGTTTTAAAATATGCGCCCTTATATTGCGAACAATTTGATACCAAAATGAAAGATGTAACACAAAAATTCATGTTATCAAACTGAACAAATATACACATTAGGCTGCGGTGTGCAAATTGGTGTTCGTTCACGAGTAATTTTAGGCTTTGCTGCGGGAAGTCACGCCGTGCTTTTGGATATTATATGCATATACACCTGTAGGGAATTCTATTGCGAACACAATGATACCAAAACGAACGATGTAGCACAAGAATTAAGGTGAGAAAACTGAAACAGTATACACATTTCGGTGTCGCCGCGCGCTCGCCTGTAAGATCGCCCGTACGTTGGGGGCGTGACCTCTAAGTTGGCGTCGTGCATGCCCTAGGCACGAAAGTGTTTACTTTCTTCATTTTTATGTGTGTGGGTTTTTAGTTATTTGTTTCAGCCACATTATTATGACTTAATCTCAGCAATGATAGAACTGGGCACTTCAGTCCAAGATCAGTTTTTATTTTTAAAATTCCATCTGTGGGAAGTAGGTAGTGCAATAAATTTACTATACAGTAGTCATTGTAATTGCCTTCCTCTGTCCACAGGTACATTGCCATTAGATCAGTTAGTGGAAGCTGCAGCAAATCTATGCTATTCCCGGTTTCACCCTGGTGAAGAGCTTACTTTACTGGGACTACAGCCGTAAGTTATTTTTATTCTTCATGATAAGATTAAATTTTTTGCCATTACCTGTGTGGGAGAGTAGAAGAACTCCTAGAACACTGTCCAGGTACAATCCTGGTATAAATTGAATGTTATTTTAAATAGGGAAATGCTGGAAGTTTGGGGGCTTTATTCAGTATCTCAAGAAAGCTTCATTAACTTAAAACCAAAAGCATTTAATATATATACAATAATTATAAAACAAAGGTTCCTTTCTTTATTGATGGCACTGTAGCCCAATTGCAGTTACTGTTTTATTTTTCTGGGCGACCTCTTGGCTCATGACACTGATGCTATAGGGTCACTTGGGTGGGCCATTCAAGCCCATTGTTCATGGAACAACCAATGCTAGCTCAGAAACGTTTTAAAATAATATTTATTCTATTTTTAAAAGCTCAAAATAGTTTTATACTATATTCGAATTTTATTTTCTACAAACTGTTAAGAGCATATGTTTGTCATATATTTTTTGTTTAAATGTGGCAGTGGGGAGAGCATGTAGGCTGGCTAGCTCTGCTGTGAATAGCTTAATAATCATAATACTTAGTAGCGTAAGTACAGTACTTAGCATATCAAATCTTATAAATTATATTGATGATAACCTCAAAGTTTAGCTTTCATAAATATCTCATAGTTCAGAAAAGGTAGTCAGACTTTGAATATATAGATTTTTTCCATTTCATTTCAGGATGCAAGTCCGTGTCATCAGTTCCAAGGAGAGCAACAATGGTGTAATCAATGCAGGAAGTATGGCCAATGGAAAGGAGACATCCCCTTTGCCAAAAACTCCAGCTACTCCTCTTACCAACGGTTGTTCTCACGCTTGTGAGGGTTCAATGGTCAATGGCACACGCAATGGTACAGCTGGGAGTGAAGAGTCGAGTCCCACGAGTGGAGGAAAGGGAAAGGACGACTCCCCTGGAAAGAAAAAGAATCCGTTACTTCCATTATTGTATGACGTATCAGTGATAGGAGAAGACAAAATCATGACAGACGTTCCGGCAAAATATCTCCAGTAAGTTTATCATATGCATAAAATTATATTATGCAGTATACTGCATGTGAATACGTTCCAACCCGTTCTCGCAAATTCGTAAAGTCAATATTGACTTATTAAATAAGTGCATAGGTGACATACTAAACATAATAGATACCCTTAAAAAGCTTCATAGAAAAACACCGACCTTACCTAACCTTGTTAGTATCTTAAGATAAGCATCTTATAGCTTCGTAATTACAATTGTTACTTAACCTATTATAGGTATAGGTTAAGTAATAATTGTAATTACGAAGCAATAAGATGCTTATCTTAAGATACTAACAAGGTTAGGTAAGGTCGGTGTTTTCTATGAAGCTTTTTAAGGGTATCTATTATGTTTAGTATATCACCTATGCACGTAGTTAATAAGTCAATATTGACTATACGAATTTGCGAGAACGGGTTGCTACGTTCATATAGATGAAAAATGGAAGCTAGGATGAACCAAATAAATGTAAGGAAGTGTTTCTTCATTGTTTAGGCAGTGAATAAGTAGAATGACTTGGAGAAAGGTATCAGATGCTGTCTCCAGTCAGTTTTAATAGTAGAAATGATAAAACAGGATGGTCAGGAGTTATTTCACTTGACTGAAAGCTAAAAGGCAAGGCCTAGAAGCTGGAACATAGTTCTTGTAAATACAGCTAGGTAAGCTTGCATTCACTCTTAAAGAAATTGATGAGATTATTTGTATTTAATATTTGAATATAGCTATATATGTACAATCTCTTCAAAGTATAATTTAAACAAATTTTCTCCCACAGGCGAACATATAAGGTTCCTCCAAAAGAGCATTTTCGTTTGTTTGTGCGAGCTAATGCAATTAGACAGCGTTCGAGTGCATATACCCCATGGCTTGTGTCAGAAGAACTAGTTAAGCAATATAACATTCCCAGTAAGCTGGCTTCAATATTTACACATCCAAGAACAAATTCAGTAGCCAGAAAGAGAAAGGCAGAAGGATTAAGTGAAGAAAAACCCAAGAAAGCAAAAAGTGAAAAGACAAAACCTGAAAAGACGAAAGGTGAAAAGACTAAAGAGAGTGTTAAAAGAAAGAAAGCTGATCCTGTTTCAAAATCTCCAAAAGTTAGGAAACCTAAAGAAAAACGGGATCCTAATGCCCCAAGAAAAAAACCTGGTCCAAAGCCAGGCTTCAAGAGAACTCCAAAGCCAAGCCAAAATTCAGAACCACCAAAGCCTTCTGCAAGGTTACAGAAACCTGTGAAAATAGAGACTAGTGATAGTGATGATAATATATCTCTTGCAGTTTTGGCAAATAAGTCACCAAAGCTAGAAAATGGAACCTCTGAACAGCCAAAAGTGATTACTCCTCCAGGTATTGTTCCTTTAGAACAGCCTGTGAAAAGAGAGGTTGCAAAAGATGGAAAGGAGCATGTCAGAGGAGTGAGGAAGATGAAACAAGCAACTCTCTTTGATTTGAAGACTCCAAGGAAAAATACCGATGGAACACCCAAACCCAAAGTTACTCCTAAAAAATCACCCCAGAAAAGAGTAAGTTACACTTTCACAGTATTAATTTTTTTTTAGTAATTAATATATGTTTAGTATTGTTATAACTGAAAAATAGCTATTTTACAACTTGGTGTTTCTCTATACATTCAAAATATAAAGTATCTGCTTACCTTTGTATGATTTCTCTTTGCATTAGCCTTGTTTATAAAATCTATTTCCAATAGGCCAAATGTTGCATAACTTCATATTTCTCCACATTCAGAAACTTCTGTATTAGATCTGCTCAAACCATTATTCATGCATCATTGCCTTAAAACACTTTTCAAGATCAGTAGTTATGCCTATATGTATTGAAGATGGCTGCTTATTTCTATTTGTTGAAAATCTTAGAAACAACCCAATGTTTTGGATTATTCTTCGCAGATTACATACCTCTATTTTGTTTATATTGTTATTCTCTCCTCTTACTAGTGCGAGACTGTTGAATAGAACCTACTTTCTTCGTGATATGCAAATGTTTTAGTTTACATCACACACCTTCATGTTTCACTCATGTACTGCAGTCACAATTAATTACCAAATGTGCAGTATGTTCTGTGTGTTTGGAGATGGTCATTGCTTCTCTGAGCATGACCTGAGGTCAGGTTATTGGCCCAGAAGGATGTGTTTGTGGTAGAGATGGTATCTGTGTCAGTTTATCATTTTACTGTTATTTTTTATTAACATGTAGGTACATCCATATTTATAGTTACCATAGAGTCCTAGATTATATGAAGGGTTACATAGTGTGTCATGAGGTAGCTTGGTGATACTACAAAATTCCCATTCGTGAAAGTGAATCCAGTAATTCCAAATCTCCAGGTACTGTACTACATATTAGCAGATCTGAAGGGTCTAATTATTGGACATTTAATAATGTAGTGTGTGAGATCATGATCATGTTCTTGCTCACTGAGTTTATGCATGGAGGGCTCATGATTGGGATATTCTTCACCTGATGACAATGAAGAATACACCTCTAGAGATAAGAAGAACACAGTGTTGACACACTGTCTATTCCCTCAGTACTCAGATTGCAAGAGAAGTGAGGTGCCATGATAGTCATTAGTTATAATCCATTGTCATATTACCTGCTACTGGAGACATGTTGTCTCTCAGTAACAGTCCATATAACTCACATCTTCATCTCTGCCCAATCTACATTGCCCAGGTAGGCCATACTTCTCAATCCCTCTTGATCTGATCTCAAACAAAAGTGCTTTCATCACGTTAATTAGCTTAAGAGTCAAGAACCACAAGCTGCCAGCATTAATTAAGGGCTCCAATATTTATTGTATACACCCATGCCTCTACACATTAACTACACAAACTTCTCTACACACCACATCTGAATCAAACACTGCACACATTCATTCAGTCATTCTACATACTGTACTCATTCTTTCACAAGCAAATGCAAATTGTCACCTGATTACTCCCACCACCACTGGGATCGTATTGGATGTTTTTCACAAGAGGTTTATAGGTAGTTCATTAAATTTCAGTTGCTATTCATGATCTTATAACAGATTATGAACCTTTCACACATGTTTTTGCTGGTGAAACTCCTTAAAATGTGCATGATGTAATTGTAAGCACAATCCCATGTGCAGATTTTCATTTTAATATAGGTTTTAATTATTGTATTGCAGCCTATGATGAAATACTCTGCTTAAGTATCATCCTGCAGTTAGAAATCATCTTGTTAACGATGAAACATGACATATGAAATACAGGTGACATTATGCCAGATTATTGTGTTGACAAATATTGCAACATACTTAACAAACATTTACTACATTTCTCTGAACACCTATAATCTATAATCTTTACCACTAAATATTTGTGAAATGGGTAGGGTATACAGTAGCAGCTAATTCTCAGGAGATCGGCAACAGGGGCTCGGCACTTGACTTGATCGACACTTGACTTACAATAAAACTTCAGACATCGGAGATTTTGTGTTAATACAGTATATTCATGGGTATTAATGTTGAGCATCAATTCTAGTGTTCTTTTACAGAGTACTGCCTACTTTTGAGTCTTACCTTAATTTTTGCAATTAATGCATTGTAACTTGTTTACTCCACCAAGATTGTCAGTGCAGTACTGTACCTTTACTAATTTCCTGCCACTGGCAACTTTACCCACAATCAAGTGAGGGAGCCAAAAGATTGAGCATAAGAAATGGAAATGTTAACAAAGAGTTTTAGAAATCACAAGTCGGGAAAATCGTGACATTTAACATTTAGTCCCTAGAAAATGGCAAATTTTTGTTCATCAGGGAATTTGGCTTATGTCATACAAAATTTTACATTATAGAAACTTCAGAAAATTTGGATTTGGTTATAAATCTTTTATCTCCATCTCTCCACAAAAAGGGAGAGAAAGGTTTAAACACCTTATTTGAAAAGGTATTCCATAGTCGAAGTTTAATTGCTAAAAGACTCACTGTGTGTTAGCTTTACCAGTAGCAAGCAATGCACTAGAAACTAAACTTATAATTCATTGTGCTCAGAGGAGTGGGGAGACACCAACCTGGAGAGAAAAGGGGAATAGTATAATGAATGGAGATTAAACAATTTTTTTATTCCATTTGTTGTCACATAACAACACAGAACATTTGTCATTATACCAGTACTTTTCCATAGCAGCACCTCACCTCTACATAAGAACAGGTGTAATGTGTTGACCAGACCACACACTAGAAGGTGAAGGGACGACGACGTTTCGGTCCGTCCTGGACCACAGTTGACTTGAGAATGGTCCAGGACGGACCAAAACATCGTCGTCCCTTCACCTTCTAGTGTGTGGTCTGGTCAACTTACTTTAGCCACGTTATTGTGACTCATCGCCTGCAGGTGTAATATGCTTCTCTTAAACTGTCATAGACACTTTTCTCTTATATTCTTACTGTGACATCTTTCAGAATATCTTATATTATTTGTAATGAGAGAAATATTTTGGGAAAGAGACCAGTGATACTTTCCTCAGCTGATTGCCAAAAAAAAAAGTATCTACTTTTAATTTAAATATAAACTAAAAACCAATAAAATTGTAGGAGTATATTAAGTCATTTACATTTTCTCATCATTTCAAATATTTTTCACCCTCGTGAGCTTGGCCAGATATTACTTGTTATTACTTTTAATCTAACCATTTCAGCGGCCAACTGCTGAGGCTGTAATGAGAATTCCCATCATGAAGAAAATGGTGCACCAATATAGCACTCTAAAGGGTGTAAAAGGGACTGGACGGAAGCTGGTTCACACTATGGATCAAGTAATCAAGAAACTTAGTCTAAACCAAATTGAGGTAAAGCAACTCCAAATGTCATTACAGTTGATGTGAAATATATCTAGCACAAAAGCACAATAATAGGAAATATGTTAAACATACAGTACTTGCTATTATATAATATTTGTGATCTTTTTATTTAAAGTTTTAAAATTTTAACAGATGATATGTTCTTTCAGGTTATACCTGATGCTGAGCTTCGTGAACGAATAATGAGTCGTCATGAGCGTATGTTAGAGAAAAACACATTAGCTAAATTGTCACCAGAAGAGAAAGAGAACTATCTTAAACAAAAGGTATTAGGAGTGTAAGCTTGATATTGTATAGGAAAATTATGACAAAATTGTTTTTAATGTAAAATGTTGTTTTTTCAGGAGTGCAAAGTGTAATTTTGTTAACCCTATAAGTGTGACTATAAAAAAATTATCACATCATATGAGTGCCAAAAAATAAAGACATGTAAAAAAGAGAAAACAAAACTTTCTGGTTTTGTGAGGTATATAAGGTAGGTGTTTGGATGGGCCAATGTGCCCATGGTATATAAGGTAGGCAAGTAATTACCTAAGTGTGTAATTAACTGTGCAGTTACAGGAGGAGAGCTACGCTCGTGGTGTCCCGTCTTCCCAGCACTCTTTGTCATATAACGCTTTGAAACTATTGACGGCTTTGGCCTCCACCACCTCACCTAACTTGTTCCAACCGTTTACACCGAAAGTGAATTTTCTTATACGTCTTCGGCAGCTTGGTTTAGTTAGTTTAAATCTATGACTTCTTGTTCTTGAAATTCCAGGGGCTCAGGAATTTTTCCTTATCAATTTTATCAATTCCTGTAACTATTTTGTACATAATGATCATATCTCCCTTTTTTTCTTTTATCTTCTAGTTTCGGCATATTTAATGACTAACCTCTCCTCGTAGCTTTTTTCCTTCAGTTCTGGGAGCCATTTAGTTATATGTCGTTCCACCTTTTCCAGTTTGTCGATGTGTTTCTTAAGATATGGGCACCATTCAACTGCTGCATATTCCAGCTTTGGTCTAACAAAGGTCATGAAGAATTTCTTTAGTATTTTGTCATCTATGTATTTAAAATCAATTCTGAAATTGGAAAATGTAGCATAGGCTCTTGCACGATGTTCTTTATGTGGTCGTCAGTTGATAGTTTTCTATCTAAAGCCACCCCTAGATCTTTTTTTTTTTTTTATCAGAATTTTTTAAAGATTTTCACATAATTTGTAGGTTGTGTGTGGACTATGTTTTCCAGTCCCATGATTCCATAACCAAGGACCAATGTCCCTGGTCCTCTTCAGTCTTGTGTTGCCCAGGGTCGTATTTCCCGACCATTAGTTTCTACTAAAGAGTTAGTACTTGCTGCCTCTCCTCCTCTCTGGTTGTACCTCCATTTTCCATGGTGCACCATGGTGCTTCCCAAGAAACCCAGCGTGTGAATATAATGAAAGGCCTCTCGTAGAGACCTGGTGGCTCCCTGTCTCCGTGCCTCCCTCCTTACCTTCCAGGTTTGTCGGTTCATTGTGATGTTTTTCTGCTCCTGAACCGCGTGCTTGCTAATGCTAAATCATGCACCTGGCCTCCTGGTTGCAGCGTGTGGCATGCCTACCTTTCTGGGGGTATACCCCGGTTGATGGCAGACATGACATACTCTAAATGTAGAGTGCTCATCTGGCCATTGCTCCCCGCGCCTCTCTGAGGGGGGCCAGGTTCTGGGTCGTGGTCCCTAGAAGACACTAAAACTCCCGTAACTGATGTCCCCAAAGTAATATAGCACATAGCAGTCTGGATAGCTTCAGGGAGCCTAGAACATTTAGGGATTTGTGGAACTAATTACTACATAACGTGGTGGAGGTGGGGTCCCTTGATTGTTTCAAACGTTGGTTGGACATGTATGTGAGTGAGATTGGGTGGTTATAAATAGGCGCTGTCTCATTTGGGCCTATAGGCCTTCTGCAGTTACCTTTATTTTTATGTTCTTATGAGCCTCTGGGGCTCGCCCAGAAAATGACATTTCATTACATTCAATGCTGGTTTTATTGGGAAGGGGAAAGCATTTATTTTTGCCAGTATATCAACAGTGCTATTAATTCTATTAATAACTATTAATTATAGTTACATAATTAATTATATATAATTATATTTATTATTAATTAATTATTATAACTATTAATTATAAGGTATTCTCTCTCCGTGTGGGACATGCAACCCGTAAAAGTTTTATTGAGAATTTCCTAGTGGAGTGCAAGGCATATCTTAATGGTCACTTGCTCTGAAAGAGACATGTTTGTGAGTGGACTAAGACAGCCTGATTGAACTGAGTGAGACTGGGAAGATGTAGCTACAAAAATGAAACTCCGTGAGAGTATTAAGAGAGAAATATACATTTTCTTGGTGAGGACAGTAAATGGAAGGATCTAGGAGAGAAAATATTGGAAGCAAATTCTAGACACAGATTTAAATGTATATACTGTAACTAAAGATATGGAAATCCATGAGATTATAAAGGTATTGCATCAGTAAATTAATTGTGAAGATGCAGGGCCCAGGAACTAAATTTTGTTTCACTCAAATTAGGTGAAATCAAAAGGCAGTTTGTCTTTTGGAATTGGTTATATTTGCATTGCATAAATTTTACTTCATTAGTGATTGCATATATACACACACGCAGTCAAGTTACTATCAAGAGTTATGATGCTCTCATGGTAGACTAAATGTATTTATTTTTAAATATATGATTGTTTTCTGCAGGCCAAGGATGAAGCAAGAAAGCGCCGGCAGTTTATAAAGGAACGAAACCAAAAAATAGAGGATAAACTTCTTGGTAACTTGAAGCCTCTTCCCCAACCCCAGCTTGTTCCTACACCAGAGGTGAGCATTTTTTAGTTTTGTTTTGCTTAACCTACTTAAATTTTGGCATTTTAATGCCAATCTTTGTGTTTTTGATGTGCTGTTTGTTCTGAAAAATTGATTTCATGTAAAAACTTGCCCAGAAAATACAACTGCCATACAGTTTTGAAGCCTTGAATTAGCTCTAGGAACAAAATCAAACCAGTCACTCATTACACTGTAATTGTTTCACATGCTGTTCTTGGGAGAAAGGGTAACCTTACACATTCCCTATGGTTGTGCATCCCCTATGCATCTGTGACAAATTAGTCTTTTCTCCAGGTATAAGCTTGTTTCCATTGGAAGGAAAGGCGCTGTTGTATAATAATAAAGAACTGGCATATCACGCAGCTTCATGGGGTGGGGGGGGGAGCATAATGTAGATCAGAAAGGTTGCCTGGGATACCGCCTTGCTTTTTGTTGCTCTGGATGTGTGTCCTGAGTCTCATTTATATATTCTAATAACAAATATCATTGATACTGTATAAGTGATATGTCTCAAGAGACAGTATGTGACTTACATTCTGATAGTGACAAGGGCTAAAGATTAACTTGGGGTTAGCTGTCATGGCCTGATGGAAATATTCATCAGTGCAGCTACAATTTTTTTTTTTAATTTTACAGTGAGAAGGCTCAATTTCTTTCTTTGGTATGCACTCCATACCCATCCCATGGGAAGGCTGTAGATGAAATTGCAGTACCTTATAAAATATATGATATAAAATATTTATGAGAGTCTCTATTCCTAGGTGCAATTCAATGAGATTAAGACACTGTTGAGTCTTCCTGGTGAGGAAAGGTTTTGTTATTGGGTCTGGCCTTCTGATTTGTTGTCCTACACAAGAAGTTTTCAATTACTTCTGGTTTTGGTTATTATTCATTTATACCTTTGAAGATCTTATGCTTTGATATACTGTACCTATATATATAGTTATCAGTAGTATTGCAAGATTTAATTTGTTAGGCACAAAGTATGTCTTTATTATTACAAGTTTTGATATCCATTCCCCCTTATTTTTAGACAAAATTAATTGTATAATAAATTGAAATAATTTGATTGCTATATGAACATCACATTTTTTTCCTATATAGGAGATCCCGAACTCTCTGTTTGGTGATGTGGCCATGGTGGTGGAGTTCTTAGAGTGCTACTATGGTATTGTACATACAGACAAGAAGAAATCTATATCTTGTAGTCAGTTGATGCAAGCACTAGCAGCAGGGCCTAATGGCTTCAAGTATGTTGCAGAGGTCATGTGTCTCATTCTACATCTAATTATTGATGATATCCGGTTAGGTGGCATAAAGGTGAGTTGGTGTTTAATTCAAATTTATATATAGGGTATTTATTTTATATTTATACAATATATACAGAACAACCTCGATTCAATGAACTATATGGGACCAAAAACAATTCATTGCAGTGAGGGAGTTGTTGCAACTGGAGATGCCTCTAGGATGTATTTCCCATGTCCTGTGGGCTAATTTCACTTAGCAAAATGTTAATTTCAACCTATAATATACTAAGACAACTACCAAACGAACATGTCTGTAAAAGAAATTGAACTCCACATCCTCGATAGCTTTCCCAAGGCTCCAACTATTTCTTTTAATATTGAGGCCATCTACAAAAATCATAAGAAATGTGATTGGAGCCATTAGTAGAGTAACTATTTATACCCTAATATTTTCCATGCCCTATGGGAAGATTTCAATGGGCAAAATTGTAATTTCAACTTATGTGAAACTACCAAGAGAACCTGTCTGTAAAGATATTTAACTACATCTAGCGATTTTCTGAGTCCTATCTTTTGGGGAATACATACCTAGATTCAGTGAATCGAGGTTTCTTGAATTAAGGTTCCACTGTGTTAGTGTAAGAAATATTTTTTAATTATATTGGCAATTATTGGCAAATTGCACCCACATCTATAATTAATTGGAAAGTTACTTTTATTTGTAGAATATAAAGACAGTTGTTTTTAGAACCTGAGATTGGCTTTAATTTAAACAAAACTGTCAATTCTTTAATGTGTGATGAAGTATATATTTTGTGCAGTTGTAATAGAAATTTTATCCATATCCTAAATAAAGCTGTGTTATACTTTGGCTTCTAGAATGTTTTGCTTTTTATTTTGTATAGTTATTTTAATAACAATTTTCATATTCAGCTCAATCAGTGGCCTTGAATTTCTCTTGGGAGAAGAATTTTATTAATTTGTTGTTATATATTGAAAGGGAAAACTAAAATAAATAGTGGCCTCTGTAATTACAGGAAGTGGGCGTTAAAATTAAAGATCTACCAGTGCACTACCAGACTGCCATAGAGCTTGCCCGCCTTTGCCTGAGTAAGCGGGATTTCTCTGAATCAGCCAGTCAACACTCTGATGATAATACTGAAGAAGGGGAGGAACAAAATGAATTGGTAAGATAAATTTGTTTTCTTAGTGCCTGAACATAAGTATATTCAAGTTTTTTTGTTTTTTTAATATATACAAAAGTTGCTACATTCTTGTACAGCCACTAGTACGAGTAGCGTTTCGGGCAGGTCCCTGAAATATGATCCCCGCCGTGAAGGATCGTTTTTACAACCAAGTAGCCATTTTACTGTTGAGTTGTTTAGTAAATTAATACCGTATATGAAACATGTCACCCTTACAGGTGTCTAAATTGTATTACTTTGTGCAACAAATTTGTTTATCTTCAATAATTCTAAATGTTCTTGGTGTGGGAACGTCTCCTTCCTTTCATTGAATATCTGATTTCCCCTGTAGTTAAATTTATCACATAGGAGATGTATTTCTGTTCATCAGTTATTTAAATTGATGAGCAGAAATGTTGCTCTGATAATCTTGGGAAAGTTGGGACAATTGGGCACCACTTCTGCACTGATTATCTTCATATATCCAGCAGCTATTGAGGACCTGGATATAAAATAATAATTTAATTGTAAGAACTTAAGAGCACAGTCGGGGATCTGATCCAGGCTTAGCCTGGCCTTGCATATTTTGCACCAAGTTGTAGTGAGCAGCTGCAACTTGCTGCAAAATGTTTTTACTATTATTTTATTTAGCATCTCACAGAACTTGTAGACCATTGGTATGCTCATATATTTGTTCACCATAATATAATATTTGAATAATAAAAATACTGCTTTGCTGTTATTGTACTGTATTCACACATTATGTATAACTATCTACATGTTTATACATGTATATAGTATACCCATCATACCCTAAACCATTCTGGTGGGTGTGATACTCTCATGAGCATTGATCCAAGCTCAGCCTAGCCAACATCACATGATGAAGCACAATATAATATGTACACTACTAACAATAGCCAAAACAATGGTAGTATTATCAGAATTTTAGTCACTCGGTTTTGAATATGAATAATTTTGTACGTGTTCATTTTCTAAAGAAACACGAGGACCTGTTGTGTGATGGACCAAACTATGGCTGTTTGCTGTAGCTGTCTTCTTCATGCTATGAACATTATCACCAGCATCAGGTTCACCAATATCTGAACCTTGGACATAGTCCTTATCACTATCATTGTTAAGTTATTGCAGTTAGTTATTTCATCATCATTAAGTGATGCTGTAGGAAACGAGCTGCATGAAGGTGCTGTGAGCTGCTGCATGCACTACTCATCGTTGCTATTTCAGTACTGAGGCCCTCACACCCGGGAGAGGGTGCCCACTATTTTTTTCGAAGATAGCATCTGCATACTGGAGGCCTGAGGAAATGGATGTGAGCCCATGTACCTGCTGGAGTTTTCAGTCTTTTGCTAGACCAAAAAATTATTCTGGTTGATATGCACATAACCAACGGAATGACAATTGTTGATACACACAGTGGAAGGGTTTCATAAGGAATAGGGTTTCAATTAAAAAAATTAATACTTTATCTTTATTTCGGTTCTTGCGTATTGTTTAATTTTCATTAGTAGGCCATACATCTTAGTTGTACTACTGTAGTCTACTTAGCTGTAGCATAAATTTTTCAGAGAATAAGAAATTAAAATGACATTGTTTAAGTGAAACCTTTTTAGCCTGACATTACAGTAATATGTTCATTTCAGTCTGATGGTTTGATTCATAAATTGGAGTCAAGTGACTTGTACGAATTGCAACCTGCTGAGGTTATTGCTGTACTGAAAGCTCTTTGTCATCAAGCAATTGCTTCAGACACAGTCCTGGTAAGTACTGTACACAGGTTTACTTGTATTATAGTCAACAGGTAGGTACTGACATGTTTTCTAATGGATGTGTAGACATGTAAGAATAAAATTGTTGAACTCCTGTATAGTTTTTGCAATAATATACACTTTCCTTAGGAACATGTTGAGGACATCGAGGAGAAAGCATACATGCTTTATAAAGAGCGTGCCCAACTTAAAAAAATCAGTTTGAAAGAAGAGATGGAAAAGAAGGAGCAAAGAAAACAGGAGCGCTTGCAGAAGAAAATTGATAAAACCAAATCACCCAAGAAGACTCCAGGCCGCCCCAAAGGTTACAGTCCAAAGAAAAAAGGTAAAAACCCATACTAAAACATTAATTGTCTGTTATTTCTTATCTGTGCCTCTTTTATCTTTCAAGACAAGTTTATCAAGGACCAATAATAGCCATCTGTGCAGTGTTGGCTAAAATTCCCCCCTCCCCCCCTGCATCAACTCGTATGCTGAAAATCATTCAATTATCTATGTAAAGTATGTTCAGATGAACTCAAATTTGAAGTTGAAATGGTTAATCATTTATATTTAGTTTACATACAGTACTCATTTGTTTATACTGTATTTGAAGAAACAACCAAAACTGTTAAACCATAAACTCAAGGTAAGGTATCCCCTACCCCCACAAGTTAACCTTTCTTCCCCCCCCCCATCCTCATTGGGGAGGGGAAGGGAGGTGGAGTTGATTGGAGGGAGCTGGCCTGGCTAACCCGGCAGGGGGGCTGGTTTGACGAGATTTTGGTTGTTTATTTTATTGTTGGGGGAGTTCTTTTGACATTGTGAGGGCTGTGGTCTAGTTTTCAATCATGCAGTTGTCTGTTTTGATATACCTACCTTTCTGGATGCTTCCCTGGATGATGGCAAAGATGATAACCTTTATATATAGTGTGTTCATGGGCCATCGCTCTCTCTGCGTCTCATAGGAAACCAGGTAGTGGTTCATGGTCTCTGGTAGGCAGATGACTGATGACACTAAGTAGTGTGGTACTTAATCAGTGCCATACTACTTAGTGTCATCAGTCAGAAACACCAGAAACTGGTGTTTCATTACATTCAATGCTAGTTTTTTTTTTTTAAAGAATGCATAAGAATTGTTTTATGAGGAAGTGTTTACAAGGGTGGGAATACAGTGATGATATGGTTGATGCAGATAGCTGGTATCTTTAATGGGGGAAAGTGGAACCACATTTGAAAGAAAGGGTGAAGGAGTACAGTAGGAAAGTGTAAAAGAGTGCAAGGCTTGTGTGGTGATGGAGCCACCTGGGAAAATTTATGCTGTGGCTGCCCTCTGATAAGGAGCTTCTGGGAGGGTGTAAGGTGTCTGGGATATATAGGCAATGTTCACGAATAATATGCTACATTGATAATATTAATTAGAAATATAAGAAATGGAAGCACAGTAATTTTTACATCACAAAATAATACATTTTTCAAAATAATAAAGCATATATAATTTTAATTCTATATAATTAAGATAAAACAAATCAATGCAGTAATATCAATACTGAATTCAATAAGTTAAAAAAAAACTACTGTATACTGAAGTTGGAAACAGTTATATAATGTAGGAATGCCAAACATCTCTCCACAACCAACCAGTCTGATCACAACACATTACTAATGTACAGTACTTGAATAAATATCTGGATACATATAAGATGGAATTAGTAATTTTGTGTATGTTGGCACAAGTCTATACTCTGATGAATAAAATAGCAAAACAGGCCAAGAACCTTAGAGTAGAGAAGCAGCAGATATCACAGTGCACAAAATACTGAGGGAAATAGGCTAGGTGGATAAGGACAGCCTTTTTAGGCTTAGAGAAAGTAGGACAAGAGGGCATCAGTGAATGTTGCATACACAAGTGAGCCAAAGTGATGTCAGAAAAAAATTATACTTAGTACTGCTGGTCAACTAGTGGAATGCACTGAAAGAGGTGCGTGTAGATGCCACCTCCATTCACAACTTCAAAAGTAAATACAGTATAACACAATTCGAATGTGAAAGGGTTTAAAAATGTACCTGGTCAAAAGCTTTGAGGTGAGGCATAAAAAGAGCTAAACCTCATTCTCTCTAGTCAGTGATAGGTGGACACCAGCTCTTCACTTGTAGCTACCACTGACACCATTACAAACACCACCACCAGCCAGTGCATGTTCACTCTGCTCATTACATTAGTCTATACATGTTAATAACTTAATTCTATATATTTTCTGTCCTTGGTGTAATGCAATGAAATCATTGCATGTGCTGTACCCATTAAACAACCTGTTTATATCCTGAGACATGCTCACCTGGGGATGCTTTTCTGGTTACCCGCATGTGAATCAATCATGTCCAGTTTTATAATGAATTGACCATAAAATTTCTTTCTAGCAATGACCCTTGACAACTTCTATGGTAAGAAAGAGGACGAGAACAACACAGATTTAGCCTCAAGAGTGAAAAGAAGACGGTTGACTGCTGAAGAATTAAACAGAGAGAAAGAATTAAACAAGAACCTGCAAAGAGAGCAGTAAGTAAGACTAGGTTAAGAAGGGAAGTGGAGAGAAAAGTTGTTTTCTGGAGTGAAATTTACCTTTGTATAAAATGTTAAGGAAATTCCATATATTGTGTCCTGAACTGTTGTGGTAAAAAGTTTACTAGATGGTACTTGTGTGTACAGTGTTCTTACTGATGCGATGACCACAAGACATTGAAGTTGTGTGGTCAGATTTATGTAATGAGACACTTGTGAAAGACTGTGAGGAAGATAGTGTTTATGGCATTTATGGACTTAGGGAAAACATGTAACAAAGTGAGTACAGGTCTCTGGAGAATTTTGATCTTGAATGGAGTTGATATATTATTATTTGCTATGAAAAGCTTTTATGCAAGAAGTAGAACATCCTTAAGAATTAATGTTGTAATGTGTGATGGATTTTATTTTTATAATAATAATAATAAAAATATTAAGTAATGGTGATGTCTTATCACAGACATTATAATATAGGATAAAAACCCCATACTTGTGTATTTGTGTATATTGTGTAAAGATTTGAACTACACCAAGTTTTTCGTTCTCTCCTGAGTGTATTTACAGTTGTTGAGTCTTGTCTAAACCATTCACATAGGCCTTGATAATGTGCTCAGGAAAGTGAAAGACTTGATGTAGTTGCATGTGATGAGTCATAAAAACGTGGCTGAAGTATGTTGACCAGACCCCACACTAGAAAGTGAAGGGACGACGACATTTCGGTTCGTCCTGGACCATTCTCAAGTCGATTGAGAATGGTCCAGGATGGACCGAAATGTCGTTGTCCCTTCACTTTCTAGTGTGTGGTCTGGTCAACACACTTGATGTAGTTCAAATCTTTACATAAAATACACAAATACATAGGTGTGGGTTTTTATCCAATAATATTTATTTAGGCAAGAGTACATATATAAAGACAATACACGAAAAAGGCAAGACTACTACGTAACATAAGTACAGTGCCTAAAACCACTAATACACAGATCATATTACTGCACTGTATTTAGGTATGTAAGGATTGTGTTATGTCACCACAAGGCTTCAGTTTATACATGGATAGGGTCATGAGGAAAGTCAGGATAACAATATTAGAAATGGTGTAAAGTTTGTGTAGGCTGGGAGTGAACGGTGTCAAGCAGCCCCTCAATTTGATAGGGGCGAGGGGTTACATTCATGAACCGGTTATAACCACATGAATAAAATAGTGTACAAAGTTTTGGGATTTGAAACGTTTTATAAGAGTGCTTACCCATTCACCACTGAATCCTCATTCTCCAATATTGTATTGTGCCAATCGAGAGCTGCTAGTGTGTCAAATTTTATGCCTGTATGGAATATAGCATATTTGATAAATTCATGCAGTATGGCATATTTAGTGAATGCATGCACTGAGTATTGGATATTGTATATAAATGGCATATATGACATAATGTATGTGCATGTAGATTAGTTGAAAGTTTCGTGGAAGTGTGAGAAAAGACTACTGAAAGTGATTGTGAACAAAAGTAAGCTAATGGCAATGGAAAAAGTTAAATGTTAAATAAGGATAAGGAAAAATTCTTGAAAAATTAAATTCTTTTAAAATGGCTGTTGTGTGTAAATGACAAAAGAAGAGTTGATGCAGAAAGGTTAGAGTAAGTCAGGGAAGGAGAGTAGCTGGTGCAATGAAAGCCTTGGTGATTTATATATACGGATGTGAGAGTCTCATGTGACATGCATATGAAAAATATTTACTGAAGCAGTAGAAACAGACACTGAAATGTATTTGTGGTGTCTGAAGAATAGATCAAGTAAGGAATGGAAGTATATTTTAAGTATCTTAAGTGTAAGTTGGTAAAATATAAGTTTGGGGAGTGTTTTGAAATGGTTGGTCATTTTGAATAACAAGTAAATTTTAAGCATAAGAGGGGGAGGACAGCCAAGAAGACAGTTTAACATTGGGGAAGTGTGTAATTTTAAGCTTGAATTTAATGTGCTATAATGTCTGAGAAGTGGTAGGGAATATGACTGGATGGAAACAGTTTGTTAGGAGTGAGTGAAAGTTTGAAAGCTTAAATGACAGCTCACAGGACATGGATGGTAGGAAGCTGCTCTAGATATTTTACTGGAGCGTAGTGATGTGGATTCTGCATGATGCTGTTCCATGTATGGAGATATGACAAATCAGTATTCTTTAATTATCATTTCTTACATTGTTTTTCTGTTACAAACCTTGTGCCTTCCCACTGAATGAGAGTGGGGGAAAGGGTAATGAGAGATTGCTTAATGATAAGAATTGAAGAGACGGGATAGCTGGTATTTATTACTGTATATAATTTTAGGATGGAGAGAGAAGAAGAAGAAAAAAGACGGTTATTAATAGTCCAGGAGTGTGAGAGAGTGTTGATGCAGAAGGACATGCTAATTCGTCTCCAGCCCCTGGGAGTAGACCGCAACCATGACCGCTACTGGCTCTTCAACAACACAACTCCTGGTCTTTATGTCGAGAAGGGCTGGGTAGATACAAACACTACTTACTGTTTACAGGTATGGTGTAAATACATCATTAATAAGATCTTGAATGAAGCAGCTTTATTCTCTTTTTGGTTCAATCTAACTTTCAATTATGGCACATGCACTTGATAGGCAAGTGATGACCCGGAGAGTAGTAAGCTGCGGCGAGGCAGAGGGGGCTTGTGAAGAGTGCTAGGAGAGCACAGGTTAAGAATTTTCTTAGAGCTCTGGATTGTTACAAGTTGCATTATGTTTTTTATTTTGTTAAAGTCACAGTTTACACTCGTACAAATGCATTATTTAATTTAAATCTCAAGGCCATGCTGAGGGACTCCATTTTAATGGTGTTATTCTTTGGTAGAATGTGATTTGCCAACCCCCTATACAATTTTCTACTTTGTCTTGGCTCATTATTGTACATTCTCAGCTGAAGAGGATGCCAGTGTGCACTGAAGTTGTATTGAATTAAAGGTTTCATCCAACAGTGTCTTTAAAAATCTTGTGATTTTTCACAAGAGTTTGAAATTTATCCAATTTACTTAGAAAGCTTCATCTTGAGCTTTAATTATTAATCAGTAATATAAGTGTTACTTTTGATAAGTCATGGAGATGTAGCCTTTCTTTGCTGGCCAAGAGTGCACCAAGTGTTGGGAATTCCTATTGGGTTTAAAAGATACCCCCCATATATATAACTTTTCAGTTGTTTCAACTCTTTAAAACTCAAGTCGTAACCTTTAGCAAATACAGTATAATGTTATTAAATATATTTCATGGTTATCTCTCAACTCATAACAGAGTTGATACTTGAACAATTTTGGTGAACTGTGTTAATCAAGATTTATATAATTAATCAGGGTGTAATGCATATCATTAATTAGAATGTAATATATGTATTATTAATCAGGGGTGTAATGCCTGTGTCATTAATCAGGGTGTAATGCATGTGTCATTGAGTGGGGCGTCAATCCTGTATCATTAAACAGGGTGTAATATTCATGTCATTAATTAGGGTGTAATGTATGTGTCATTAATCAGGGTGTAATGCATATGATGACCAAACCACACATCAGAAAATGAGAATCGATGACGTTTGGGTCCATCCTGGACCATTATCAAGTGGTGTGATGAAAGAGAGGAGTGTTGTTGTTATTGTTTTAGATTCAGCTACTAGGACCCAAAAGTTGCAAGTAGCACGGGCTATGGTGAGCCCATAGTGGACTTATCTGGCACAGGACCGAGGCTGTAGAGAGAGGAAGGTCCGGGCAAATAAATTAGGAAAGAGAGTGAGGTGAGAGGTAAAGAGCAGGTAAGAGAGAAAGTTATAATAAGAGGAACGGTAAGAATTGGATGAAAGGTAAGAATAGGAGGACGGTAAGAACAAGAGGAAAGGCATTAAACATGAACCTTGGTCCTGGTCATGTTTCTGTTGAATCTACTCTTTCATAATACATACTTAAATGCTCTAATCTTCTTAACAAACATGATCTGACTTGAGCTTACCCCATTTTCCTACCCTCTTTTTCTTTCCTTTCATCTTTTTCTTGCCCTCCTCCTTTTCTTGCCTTTCATCCAATTCTTACCGTTCATCTTATTCTTACCTTTTTCTATTACTTACTCCTCACATCTCGCCTCACTCTCTTTCCATTTTTATTTGTCCGTACCTCCCTCTCTTCTATCATACGACTTGATAATGGTCCAGGACGGACTAAAAATTGTCGTTTCTCCATTTTCTGAAGTGTGGTTTGGTCGTCATATCTTCTCCCCACATTATTTTGACTCAGAGTCTGCATGTAACGCTTGTGTCATTCAGGGTGTAATGTTAATCCCATTAATCTGGGTGTCATGTTAATCCCATTAATCTGGGTGTAATGTAAATCCCATTAATCTGGGTGTAATGTAAATCCCATTAATCAGGGTGTAATGTTAATCCCATTAATCTGGATGTAATGTTAATCCCATTAATCATGGTGTACAGCTCATGTCATTAATCAGGGTGCAATGCTTATCATCATTCATGAGTAATGCTTGTCATTATTCAGGGAGTAATGTTAATCTCATTAATGTGGGTGCAAAGTTTTATGTCATTAATTAGGGTGTAATGCTTGTCATTAACCAGGGTGTAATGCTTGTCATTAACCAGGGTGTAAAACATGTGTCATTAATCAGAATGCAATGTTAGTGTTACTAATTTAGTCGATATGACAATTTTCAGTCTGGAAGTCCGAAAAAAAAGCCACCAACTTCAGTCTCGCGCAATTCAATAACTAATGGCAATGAAGATTCTGGGTCAGACTCGGATGACAAGCCTTTAGCTGCTATTAAGGAAGAATTGTCTACTGGTAGCCCCAAAGAGGTAAGCTGTGTACTGTGTCTACTAATGAACTGCATTCTCCTTCAACTTTGTTTGAATTTCTGGCACATTCCCTAAGGGGAATAAAGAGATGTTACCATTGTTCTTTCCTGGAATCCTGGAAGGGGCCATTCAGTGGCTCCCTATAGCTGTGCCGCACTGGATAGTTCTATGCCTATAGAATTACGTAAGGCCCTTGCAAGTAATAAGCCTACCAGAAAACATAGGCTGACAGCTAGCTCCCTCAAAGATATGCAGAAAGCAGGGAATCAACTGATCACTTTCACCAAGAAACTAACTTCCAGAAAGATGGAATATATATCAAAACAAATAACAAGACAAATGTAAAAGCAGGAAATAATCCCAGGATTTTATCCCTTCTCGGGTTAATCCTTGCCAGTTTTGTGCTGCATTCGGCCTCTGTTGGGGTCAGATTTTAGGACTGTAACACAATCTCTGGCATTCACATCTTCTGATCGATGTTGTTCTCATGTATTCCAAAAGGTTGTATTTGCTCAAGAGTTTTTGTACCGACCCTTTTTTTGGTTCACCACTTTAATATTGCTGTTCGGAGACAATTAGCCCATTTGCCAGCTCTTGGACCCACAATAAATGGCCTCTGGGCAGTATCTCGAGACCTGCAGTGAAGGTGGTCCTCAACCCCATCTTTGGTGTTGGGAATCCTGAGCCAGAAGTTTGCCTTACAAGTTTGTTCAGTCATTCAAACTTAGTTGGACTCTGGGGCTGTCAAGTTAACCCTGCTTTTCACGGCTGCTACTGGCAGTCAGTTTGCCTACTACAGACAGGGTTCTACTGGCTTTGCTGGCCCTAGTGCCTGGGCTTCCCATAGAGCTGATTCATCCTATGGGCCCTGGAAAAGCCCTGTGGGCTCAGTTGTATCATGGATACTTCTTCTGACCCCGCTCTTGCTCTCGCCTTGTGTGAAATTAAAGGTTGTTTGTTGCCCTTGCCTTAGGGAGACGATCATCCATACTGCCTCCGTCATGCTGCCTGTTGGGTCGGGGACACCTACGACCTAGAGTCTTGTGAGACTTGTTCCCCACTTGTACTTTAATTTACACATCCCTTGGGGATGCCAAATCCTGCCTCACAAACTTAATAGAGTTTTATGACTGGGCAACAGAGATCAGATAAAATGGGAGTCAGTAGATTGTATGTTTTTGAACTGTCAGAAAGCATTTACAGAGTATGTACTTACTCTACAAGAAACTAGTGTGCAAAATTTAAAAAAAAAAAAAGAGCAGTCAAGAGTGACAAGCAAGGTGCTCTTATGGATAATGAGTATCTCTGTAATGCACTAACTCGGATAAGAGAAGTTGTTCTGTATAAGGGCAAAGAAACTCCTGGAATCGGACAGGAAAAAGGCCAGTTGGTTGATATATCATACCTGTCATCAACAACTCTTTGCCAAACGAATTTCAGCTGCATTTGCAAGGTTTGCCGATGTAGGAACTGTCTTCAAATCTGAACGGTCATTCAAGATCTTGTATGCCGCATATGTCGGACCAATTCAGTAATATGCGATATAAGTGGAGAGTCCTTTTCTCTATAAACGCCAAAGGTGCTGGAAAAATTTCAGAAATATGCCAATTCAGAAGATTGATATGAGGAAAGACTAAAGAAGTTAAAACTTATGGCACTGAAAATGAGAAGAATATAGAGATTTGATCATTTAAAATACATTTGCATTTTCAGAAAATTCCTTTATATACTGTTCAGTACATGTATTGTAATTTGGTTCCATTGCATGTTTTCTTTCCTGATTAGTTTAGCATCCTATTATACCTGTGTTGTTTGTAACATTCATTCTAATTATTTTGTATTAGTTGCATCAGAGACATTTTAAAGAAAATGCATTGCCACAAGCACACACAGACTCAGTTTTTATGATAAGAACCATGGAGATCTTAATGGAAAGAGATGTATGGTTGACTTCATTTATCTGGACCTAAAAAAGGCTTTTGATAGGGGTCCCATAAAAGAGGTTGTTCTGGAATCTGGAACATGCTGGAGAAGTGACAGGCAGACTTATGACAAATGAAATATTTATTAATCTACAGAAAAATGAGGGTTAGTAATCAGAAGCACTGTATCAGTCTGGATAATTGTTACTAGTGGAGTTCCACAGGGTTCAGTTCTAGTGCCAGAGATATATGAACATGTTTGCTGATGATGCTAAACTACTAGGGGAAAATACCAAGAGCATAGCTCTTATCTTATAACTCCACCTAGCTAATTACATTTAGGTACTTTCACACACACACCTAGCTAACTCCACCTAGCTAATTACACACAGAAGGTACTTTCATAAGTATATGAGCCCTTAACAGTATTTGGAACTGTGCATCCCATAAGAGAATTGTTAAATAATATTGCTCATAGAATGGTATTGGTCTCTTCACTTCAGGAACATGTGCTAAGCAAGCCCAAACTACAAATGATGGATGAGGATAACCAAACATTCCCTCCAGTTGGACAAAACATGTGGTTTTATTATAAGTAAGTGCCAGATTGTTTGACATTATCATTCATCATTACCATTACACTTACACATACAAATCACAAGAGCATGATGTATCAAATTAACAAATCCACAAGGGCCGTGACGAGGGTTTGAACCTACGTCTGAGAGGATCCCAGACGCTGCCTTAATCAACTGAGCCACGACATGGTCAAAAGAATTGTTACCGGGAAATCATCCTGATTTACCAACGGATCCTGCAGTCTCTCCGAGACACAAACCAGGGTTTTACGCAATTCCCCCATGCACTCAAGCTATGTCAATAGACTGTTCTACCTCTTTGCCCTTACTTCATTACAGACACACAAATCACAATAGCATGATTCATCAAATGAACAAATCCACGGCCCTTGTTTAATTTATTAATAACTTCATAATATTGTGCCTAGAGCCAATCTGTATCCTTTCATAGACTGCTATGAAAACAACTTTTCCTGCATTTTCTAAAATAAATACAATAATCATCATTGTTGTTTCTTATCTCCTAATTCAATCTGTACTATACTTAGTTTTACATCAAGCAAGCCTTTTTTCTTTTTATTAAGGTGATGGTATGCATTTACTAGCACTTTGTATTCAGCTTTATCATTAAGTTATATTTTGTCTCTTAATTTTCAGCTCGTTAGAAAGAGTGGATGAGCTGTTGGAGTCTTTAGCAGACAAGGGTATACGTGAGTCTAAACTGAAAATCAGCATCAGTCAAGTTAAAGCACAGCTAGAGGTCAACTTAACCAAAGAGTGAGTGTACTGTAGTTATTTGTAGAACATACTGACTATACTACTATTCTGGAGGAGCCCCTTGTAGCTCCTTGAAGCTATCTGGCTGAGATGGAATACTCCCAAATAGAAGGCCATTGTATTTCCCTTAAGGCATTGCTCCCTGCGCCTCTCTGAGGGGGCCAGGTTTTGGCTCGTGGTTCCCAGTAGGCAGAACTCCATTGACTAAAGCCCCAGACTAATATAACATATATCAGTCCAATAGCTCCAGGGAGCCTCCGGGGCTCACCCAGAAAATGGCATTTCATTACATTCAGCGCTGGTTTTTTATTGCTCTCGTACAATCAAACCATACTGTATCTAGGTAAATTTATTAACTTTGAAACCTTATATGAATATCAACTACTTACTCTTATTTTCTCTGCTTTGCTCTAGATGGAGCCCATTAGAAGATCTTGAAGATGGTGGTAAGCAACTGGTAGAGTCGTTACGTGAGGACATCATTCAAATTGAGCGTGAGCTCTCTGAGGGTTGGCTTGGAGCAGTCTCAGATCCAGACGCATGGGAGAAAAAAGCCAAGGAGGTAAGAAGTTCAATTAAAGTAAATCACTGTATGCTTAACCCTTCGGCTGCACATCACATCATACGATGGGGGGTACCTAATTATGCTCCGACGGCACATCCCATCATATGAAATAGTAAGGAACTGCCTAAGATTTAAGTCTTGCATATACATGGATCTCACAGTTGCTTCTTCAGGCCTCCAGTAACAATCCCCCAATGTGTGCTATGTGCTTACAGTATTCATGTATATATATTTACATTTATACATAGATATACACACTTGCACATATACACTGTACAGTTTGTCGTAACTAATAGCCAGAATACACAATTTGGCTTAAAGAATTACACCAGGTGACTAAATACGTACCAGTATATGATGCTTAAACTAGGAAAGTATTATAGCCTGAAATCCAGCTTTTCCTTATCACTTTAACTTTGTGCCTGTGCAAGATGTTAGTAACGGTGGTTAGCGTCAGATTGATATGATACGTAAAACAAGGTGGGTTTTGCCATCCATTAATCTCTGCTTATTATTATTATTAAGTATAAACATTGTGAGTGAAAAAGGTTTAACATTGGGTTGTGTGCTAACCAGCAACGCCAGGCCTACCTTGCAGTGCGATGCAGGTGGCTCGCCGAGCCAGGGAAAGTGTTAATAACCTTAGGTAACAAAGTTTTCATTTTTTGCAGGCAACAACCTTACAGGAGCTAGGAGAATGTCTGATGGAGGCACAAAAGCACATGCATTTTAAATACCTGAAGGGCATGATGCAACCCTCCAAAAAGCTTATACCGTCTGATAACCCAGAGGCTGCACCAGGTGAGTTGCTAGTTTCCCATGTTTCACATTTTAATAATATGTGCAGTTCACATTTGTCAGGTATCAAATTTTCTTGCAAATGACTACTCATTTTCTTGTAATCTTCAGCACCATGGTTGCAGAAAGACATCTTGTTAATAAAAAGAGGCAATTTATTGTGCAGATAATGTGAATATTAACAATAACATCTGACCAAGCAAACCAACACTTATTCAAACACATAATGATCAATAGCTTTTTAGTTCTTTTCTGTTCATTTTGTGTATAGGTTTTGAGTTATTGTCTAACAGTAATACTGTACTGTACTTGTATAATAATTTCTAGTATTTTACATTGATGAACCATGGGTTTGCTGTTCTATCATCCACTTCCATCTTGAGAGGTATGCTTCTTTGCATTTGTATATTATGAGTTCCATTATCTCATTTGTTGATTTTCGTCATTGAACCTCCTGCAGATAAACTCTAAACCTCATGTAGTGTTCTCTTCTATATTTTCTCTTGCTCCTTGCCAATTTTCCAACTCTCTCTTAATTCTACAATGTAATCAAACACAATAATGCAGTGGTCACTGGCTACTAGTGGTTCCTCATATTTTAAGTTCCTTTATATCTTCATTTAGTGTAAACACCAGGTCTAGGGTAGCTGGTAAATCACCTCCATAGTCAGCTCCTTGATACGCTTCCACAGGAAGTACTGTCCACAGATGTTTCTCTCTATGTTTCACCTACCCTGTCACAATTCTGTCTTGACCAGTCTTATTTCCTCTGTGGTTATTTCCCCAAGTATTAGGATCTTAGCTCTGGCTCTCTTTGCCATTATGACTGCATTTTCTATTATATTTAAGCATGTTTCTTTTCATTTATCATGTTCCTCTCTTGATCTTCCTGTAGTTATTGTAGGGTTGTAAATAACATCTACTACTATTTTTGTGCGCCTCACTGTTATCGTACTGAGCTTAACATCCTTCTAGTTGATTACCTCTGGGATCTCTATCTCCTCAAAACTCCAATGTTCTTGTTTCAGTAGGGTTACTCCTCCACCCTCCCTGTTAATCCTTTCATTTTGTACTATCTGGTATTGTCTTGGGAATATTGCATCCTTTATTACATTCGTCAGTTTTGTCTCCATAGCTGCCATGATAAGAGAACGCAGTTCTGTCACCCATCCTTGTAACTCTACTCCTCTATTTGTAATGCTGTCTGTATTTGTTTTCCAAATTTTTATATTTCTCATTTCTAATGGACTGCTTTGTTTCCTTCTGGGGGAGTCGATTCTCCCTTTGTACTAGTCCCATTTAATTTTTTCACCCAGTTCAGTTCTTGCTCCAGGTGCTGTTCATTCTGGTGTTTGAACCAAGCATTTATCCATGACTTCACCTCTTGCAGCAGATCGACCCTGTGGTGTACTTCCCTGGTTTAAGTTTCTCTGCTCTTCACGTCTGGTGTTTTGATGCATGTCTATCAACATTTGTATGGCGAGCTTTTGGCTGATGTGTTGGGGTCCCACCTGTGTCTTTCCTCATGGCAACTGTATGAGGCTGCTGGTGCTCTTTTTTTTTCCACTGCTTGTCTCTTTGTCATCGTTCTTTAGCCTCAGTCAGGTTTGTCCGGTCCTTGTTGCGTCTATTCCTCAATTGTCATCTCATTCCGGATACTGTTGTTGGGCGATCGTAGAGCTTCTGTTGCTTGCGTTTGGTGTCAACATCCCCAATGTGCCATTTTGTAAGTTGTCTTGTGCATTTGTTCACCTCTGACCAGCTCGTGTTTCTCCTGAGCCATCCTAGTATCTTGACTGGGTTTTGGTTTACTCTCCTTGCCACAGTTTATAGGTTTCCCTTTGACTTGTGATATCTTTCTTAAGGCTGTATTCTTGTTGGCTCTCGTCTTCAACTGTAGGGTTGGGTAGCTTCGGACTTTTTTACCAAGGGTTCTGTTTCTTCGGTCCTAATGGACAGTTTGTCCATTTGCAGCCTTCTTCTATTTTTGGTGAAGAATGAGATGGAAGGCTTCCAGGGGGGAGGGGGGGGTTAAGGGGGGTCCTGTGTTGATTGATGCTTGGATGGTTCAGCCAGGGGTGTTCCACGGCTCGCATTTCTTAGGTTGTCAGCAGTGTTATTAAATTTAGCCAACCTGTGGTCTACCCTCAGGCCCATGGTGTTTGTAAATACACGTCTTTGGCTGCCGTCTTCTCTTGATGTCCTGGGCTGATATTCAGGGGGTTCTGGCATTTTAATAGGGTTCTGGCAGCCCGGTTTTTGGTCAGTGTGGACAAGCTTCCTGGTGACAGTAATCAGTACAAGTGAGTTTTTAGTTAGTTTGGGTGAATCCTTTGTAGAGTTGTTTTGTGGTTTGAGGCTTCATTTTCTGTGAACCCTCCAGTTGTAGTAAAGCTGTACAAACTTTATGGAGGCTTTTTCCGATGGATTGGTGGAGTGTCATCTGCCTCCTGTGCAGGGATACATAATGGGGGGTGCAGGTTCTGGCTCTGGTCCCCAGTCTGCCAAACAGAGCTTTCAAACCTGTCTGCCAAACAGAGCTAAGCAAATATTGCGACAGCCAGAAAAATGATAGGATGGATTACGAGAACTTTCAAATCCAGGGATCCCATCACAATGGTTGTACTCTTCAAGTCACTTGTGTTGTCCCGTCTTGAGTACTGCTCAGTACTCACTTCCCCCTTCAGAGCAGGAGAGATTGCTGAAATAGAGGGAATACAGAGAACATATACGGCACGCATAGACGCAATAAAGCACCTATTGGGATCGTCTCAAAGCCCTCCAAATGTACTCACTAGAAAGAAGACGAGAGAGATATCAAATAATATACACCTGGAAGATACTGGAGGGCCAAGTACCAAATCTACACAGTAAAATAATAACGTACTGGAGTGAACGACATGGAAGAAAATGTAGAATAGAACCAATGAAGAGCAGAGGTGCCATAGGCACAATCAGAGAACACTGTATAAACATCAGAGGTCCGCGGTTGTTCAACGTCCTCCCAGCAAGCATAAGAAATATTGCCGGAACAACCGTGGACATCTTCAAGAGGAAACTAGATTTATTCCTCCAAGGAGTGCCGGACCAACCGGGCTGTGGTGGGTATGTGGGCCTGCGGGCCGCTCCAAGCAACAGCCTGGTGGACCAAACTCTCACAAGTCGAGCCTGGCCTCGGGCCGGGCTTGGGGAGTAGAAGAACTCCCAGAACCCCATCAACCAGGTATCAACCAGGTTTCAAAACTAATGTGATCTTTCAAGTATGGAACAATCTCCGCAAGACAGCTTCTGTGTACCACCATTGGGTCTTCTAGAAAGAGACATTTCATTACATTCAATGGTGGTTTTTTTTGTAGGGTGCCTCACTCAAAATTTATTATTCAATATATTTTATGCCTATGCATAAAAGTGATTTCTGAACATTTTGGTACCAAAATCAACCTGTCGTATACTAATCGAGGATTCCAAGGATCAACGTCCCAGCAGTTCGGTCTCTGACCAAGCCTCTTGGTTAATAGGTTTGTGAAGCAGGCCGTTCAACGCTACTGCTCGCAGTCTGACATGAGTCACAGACTGGTTGATCAGGTATCCTTTGAAGGTATTATCAAGTTTTCTTTTGAAAACTGCAAAAGGTCAGCTAATACCTATTTCCCCTACACATACTGGGCAATCTTTGAGTGCCCAGTATGTGTAGAGGGAAAATGTTGAAAAGTTTTGAGTCATTGATGTGTGTGTTTTTATATATATTTATATTAACAAGCTTTTTATATTAAGTGGTCCCAATAATTTACATGATTTATTGAGTGGATTCTTGCCGTAAAAGATCTTTGCACAGTCTCCAGGTTAGTATTTTCTCCAGCATTGAATGGGGGCTGTTTGTGTGGTATTGTCTTGAAAAGTATCATCATTGGTGTGGCAGTTCTGGTTTTAAAGCTTCTTGTTATCCAACCTGTAATTTTTCTTTGCAATTGTGACAGCAAGTGCTATAGTTTGCATTATGTCTTAAATGAGAATTAGAAAAAGTACCGGGCAATCCCAGTATCTTGGGGGGACAACTTTTCACAGTGGACGATCCAGATTTTACTAATACTGTATTCTAACTTTATAGTTTTTTGAAACTGAAGAAGAAATATAATTTTTGTTTATATAGAGTAAGTTTCTTAAAAGTTTTAAAATACCATTACACCTAACAGTCTGATAAGTTTTAAACATCAATTCCATTCCTTTTACTCCATTTTATTGAATTGTTTCTGCACATATCTAAATCATCTAGTGTAATATGTTGCACTTTTCTCTCACCACAAAATCTAATCATATCTGCATTTTTATATCCTTCAACACTTCTTCCCATTAGACTGTTCAACTACTATACAAAGCAAAATTCAGTTTTGAAATGTAGCTCCTTTCTGTTTTATAATGTATTTGTTTGTACTTGTGCAGAATATGATGAGTGGGAGAACCCAGCGGTACACAAGTGGCGAGAGGCTGTGATGACCTGTCAAACATTTTCACGTATGCATATGCTAGTGGGCATGTTTGATTCCTGCATCAAGTGGGAAAAGTCTATTGCTACTAAGGTCAGTTTCTTAAAAAGTAGGAGATGGCTCAAATTGTTCACTTGCTTTATAGCTTCAGTTTGAAAATATTGTGGAAAGTAGTTTGATAGTCATGGAAATAATTTGTAGTATTATTGCTACTACTGTACAAATGTTGCCACTACTTTATGGTTAGTTGTATCTTCATGTTTAATATGAGAAAAGTATTATAAAATTAACTTAATGTAAGTAATTAACTTAATGTAAATATGGGCCACATTCTAAAATATCATTGAACTTGTGTGTGTTCTTTTCAAAGTTTGCTTAGTCATTTAATATTAAAAAATGTTACACTTTTTTTTTTTTTAATTTTTTACATTTAAAAAAAGTTTTACACTTTTAGAGGTAGTGTAATAGGCCACGAATGAAGAACCTTATCACATTATATTTGTTCTTTGGACAAGTTGTAACTATATTTTCTTCCCTAAATCCTTGAAATAATAACATTGAAAATGTCAGTGTTATTCTCTGGTGCAAACAATTCAAAAATTATATAGCTATGCTTTATATTGATTACTTTTTAAATTACATGAATTTTTTTTGTTTTATAAAAAGTTAATGCTTTATATTTTGAAGATGATAATTATCAGTATAACAAGTAAGATTTGATAAAAAAAAAGTAGGTTCTGCCAATTTATACTTTACTTTAAATTGCTATCAAAGTTGCCCCCTCCCTTTTTATTCATGTTACCTTCTTGATGAATGTAGATGTTTGTATTGTAGGAATTATTGTTATTTTATTGTAATTTTCCTCTACTTCAAAAGTTCATCTGGAGGTTTACACTTCGGTGTTTAAAGTTGAGTATTTGTTCGCTACCCCTCAATGTTTACTTGTTTCAGTACGACTTTTGGAAATGTTAGACTGAATTCATAATATTGGAAATGCTAGACTACATTCATAATGTTGGAAATGCTAGACTGCATTCATAATGCCGGAAATGCTAGACTGCATTCATAATGTTGGAAATGCTAGACTACATTCATAATGTTGGAAATGCTAGACTGCATTCATAATGTCGGAAATGTTCGACTGCATTTATAAATGTCGGAAATGTTAGACTGCATTCATAATGTCGGAAATGCTAGACTGCATTCATAATGTTGGAAATGCTAGACTGCATTCATAATGTTGGAAATGCTAGACTGCATTCATAATGTTGGAAATGCTAGACTGCATTCATAATGTTGGAAATGCTAGACTGCATTCTTAACATTGGAAATGCTAGATTACATTCATAATTTAAATAACTAGATGCAAATTTTTGTCATTTGCTAATTATGCTTTTTTATTTTTATTTTACAGAAATGTAAAGTATGTCGGCACCAACACACAACCACCCCCTTAGCTATTTGTGAAAAGTGTGAAGTTAGTTACCACTGGAGTTGCTTACGGCCCCAGTTAAGGGAGGAACCCCCCGAGCCTTGGCTCTGCCCGGGTTGTCAACCCCAAAAAAATAGTCGACTAGAAAGGCATAAGGTAATGAAACACCTGTGTTTGTCCTCTTAAATGCTTAAATCATTTAAGTTCTATGATATTATTTTGTTAGTGCTCATTTGGGTTTTGACTTATCAGGTATCCATTAAAAATGCCCTAATTCAGGATTTTCAACCTTATTTATCATGCATTATTTGTGTATCCTTTGATCATTCTTATGTTCTTAATTACTATATCTTTTCATTTTTTATGTTTGTTTGTTTCCCCCTTTCCTGTTATCTGCATTTATGATACTCAGACATTATTAATATATTGTTCATTCCTACCATATACTAATTTCTAAGTTGCCTTCAGAATGCTAAGGGCTTTTTACTGGAGTTGGCAGAACATTATATATGTGCCAAGCATCTTTCTGAGCTGTACCACTAGGTTATTACCCGAGGTAAAATAACCTCATGGCTCAAGTCTTGAGTTTCGTCAGGCTGGACAACAATCTGAAATGATGTAGTTGGGATCATTTCAGACTTTCCCCGATACAGTACTATCAGACAGATAGTAATGTTAAGGAGGCAATTCAGAATATTTTACTCAATTCAATCCAGAATGACTTCCAAAAAACATGTTCCTAAAAACTTGCAACACTTTCAAACAATAATGGGTAATGCCCAAATTACATTTGAGCATTAAGTAGATTGTTTAGTACAGTGGTACCTCGGAATGCGATTGTCCCTGTATGCGAGATTTTCGGAAGGCGAGGTGTATTTACTCCAAAAATTTGTCTCAGAAGGCGAGGGTTACTTCGGGAGGCAAGTTTGGACGCGAGTTTGTTGATACGCGTACAGCCGACCTAGCGCGTTCGTCACCCCTCCGCCCCTCAGTTTATTATTGTCTGGCGCTCAGTGACTACCCCCACATCAATTCTTCTCGCGGATTTTCAGTGTTTTGTTGGATTTTTGGTGATTTGTCTATACAATTTGTTATTATATATCTCACCATGGGTCCCAAGAAAGCCAGTGGTAAGGATAAAGGCCAGAAAGCTCCTGTGAGGATGACAATAGAGGAGAAACAAGAGATCATTCGGAAGCATGAGAACGGTACACGTGTTGTTGAACTTTGTAGGCAGTACAACAAAGCCACATCAACAATATGCACTATACTTAAGAAGAAAAATAAGATTATGGGTGCTAAAGTGGCAAAAGGAGTAAGAACATTAACGGCACAAATACTTGAAGAAGTGGAAAAGTTGTTATTAATTTGGATACACGACAAGGAGTTGAGGGGTGATAGTGTTTCGGAGGCCATTATTTGTGAGAAAGCCAGGGTGTTGCACGAAGACCTTCTAAAGAATACCCCTGCAACGAGTGATGCAGATAAGAAAGAGTTTAAGGCAAGCAGGGGCTGGTTTGAAAAATTTAGAAAGAGAAGTGGTATCCATAGTGTTACAAGGCATGGGGTTATGTGATGTGATTATGGAAGGGGACTCCCCTTCCAAACAGTAACTCCTCTCCTCCTCCCCCCTCCTCACCATCTTCCATACGCCTACAGCACTCGACAGTAAGGTAAGTAATAACTGGAACACAGTTTTGTAGGTTTATTTAGATGAATTAGGTAAATTAGGTATAAAAATTTAGTTTGATGTGGGGTTTTTGGGGTAGTCAGGAACGGATTAATTCATTTCCCTTTATTTCTTATGGGGAAATTAACTTCGGAATGCGAGTTTTCGGAAGGCGAGGCGTCTCCAGGAACGGATTAAACTCTTATTCTGAGGTATGCCTGTACTAATGTTCATGCAAACTGCTGATTGCCCTGCACAGCCACTGCACCTGACTGCCAGTGAACAGCAGATAAGAACAGGGTTCACTGCCTGTATTTAAGAAACAAGACATACATATGACCTTAAATTACAAACCTGCATCACTGGCTTTGGGTACCTTGAAAGTTAATCATCAGAAAGAGGAAAGTGAAATATCGAGTGAGGACTAATTTTACTGTGATCCTTCACATATAACCTCATCAAAAACCAAGAATTCAGTTATATGGACTAATCCTCTATACTCACAAAGTTCTAATAGAGTGAGGCAAGTTCACAAATGAGTGATGGCATTAGTGTCAGGGGCAGACAAGGGGCCAGATTCACGAAAGCACTTACGAACATGTACATCTTTCCTCAATCTGACGGCTTTGATTACATTTATTAAACAGTTTACAGCCATGAAAACTTCCCATTCAACTGTTGTTATTATTATAAACAGCCTCCTGGTGCTTCGGAGCTCATTAACTGTTTAATAATTGGAAACAAAGCCGCCAAACATTGAGAAAAGATGTACAGGTTCGTAAGTGCTTTCGAGAATCTGGCCCCAGGTCTCTTGATTTACTTGAGAGTGCTTGTCATCTCTGGCCGTTGGCATGTCTCCACACAATTCTTATATTTCCCCTTCCTTGTATTCCCCTGTTTACGTTGTTGTTGTGCAGCAGGCAGGCAGACTGCTGAAGTCAAGCGGTCTCTGTATATGAACTTACAGTTTTTATTTCTTCTTTTATTGTGTACTGGTATCTACAAGTAATTAGCTGGACCTTGACAAACGTGCATCCTTCAGTTTGCAAAGGATCTACAGTGCTGTACCATATTCATTAAAACAAAACAATGCCTTTTACAATTAACTGTTGGCTAAAAATCACCCTACTTCACTTCCTGAAAGCATAAGTGGGTGGCAAACACATACAGTATTTATATTTCAGCCCTAAATAGCCATTTGTAATTAATGGTGTCACAAAGCCCACTTTCTCCCCCACCACCTGGGGAACACACTTCCCTGTCAGGGTGATCATGGTCACATTCCAACTCTTTTTTTTTTTTTTTATATAGTTCAAAAGTAAGACTGTATTTCTCAAATTAATAAACAGGTAGTAGTATGTTAATTAGTAATAATACTTAACATTGAAAATAACATCTTAGTATACTTCCTTCCCTTAGAGAAAATGTTAAAAGGGGCAGGAGGGTTTGCCAGCCTTGTATTGTTAGTGGTTATTAGCCACAGTGTGAGTGCCACACCGCTGTGCACTCACACACAAGAAAAATTACTCGTGGGGATAGGAAGAAATAAAGTGGTTGGACCTGTTGGAGTTTCACCTTGGGTGCTGCGAGAATGTGCAACTGAGCTGAACATTCCACTCCAATTAATATTCCAGACATCTTTGTGCACAGGAATCTTAGCAGATATATGGAAAAATGGCAAACATAGTACCAATTTATAAAAATGGTAGTTGAGAGGAACCTTTAAATTATAGACCTGTATCATTAACCCCTTAACTGCGTTGCCTCCAAATGTGACACCCCCGCAGTGCGCAGGAAATAAATTCTCTGGAAAAAATTCTTTTTTCTTTTTAAAGTGTCAAAAACCCTTCCCTCAGTATGGGTATGTAAAAAAAAAAGGCGAAATTGTACTTACTTTGGCTGCTATGGGGTCCGGAAGTTGGGGCGTGACGTCATCATTCCCCGTGCGCCCGTGCCGTAAGCTCTCAGGGGCGGTGGGGCGCTCGGGGCGGGGCGCGCGAGTTGCCGCGAATATATTTTCGTTCATTTTTTGCGCACTTTTCCAAATACATTTTCATTGTTTTTATGTGCCAATCCAATGTATAATGAACACATACACTATAATATCGCAGTACAACATCCGTACTGTCCGTAGACACTGTGTTACGTGCATGAAACTTGTGTACACATATGCAGCACATATTTACTATGTATCATGCTAATTTGTGTATATATACAATCTACTTACACACTATATACATTCACCATCAACACATTCAGAACACCGCGTAGCAGCTGCTTCGTATGGGCCAACAGCAGCTGCCTCGTATGGGCCAACAGCAGCTGCCTCGTATGGGCCAACAGCAGCTGCCTCGTATGGGCCAACAGCAGCTGCCTCGTATGGGCCAACAGCAGCTGCCTCGTATGGGCCAACAGCAGCTGCCTCGTATGGGCCAACAGCAGCTGCCTCGTATGGGCCAACAGCAGCTGCCTCGTATGGGCCAACAGCAGCTGCCCCGTATGGGCCAATAGCAGCTGCCCCGTATGGGCCAAGAGCAGCTGCCCCGTATGGGCCAATAGCAGCTGCCCCGTATGGGCCAATAGCAGCTGCCGCATATGCGCCAATAGCAGCTGCCGCGTATGGGCCAATAGCAGCTGCCGCGTATGGGCCAATAGCAGCTGCCGCGTATGGGCCAATAGCAGCTGCCGCGTATGGGCCAACAGCAGCTGCCTCGTATCGGCCAACAGCAGCTGCCTCGTATGGGCCAACAGCAGCTGCCTCGTATGGGCCAACAGCAGCTGCCTCGTATGGGCCAACAGCAGCTGCCCCGTATGGGCCAATAGCAGCTGCCCCGTATGGGCCAAGAGCAGCTGCCCCGTATGGGCCAATAGCAGCTGCCCCGTATGGGCCAATAGCAGCTGCCGCATATGGGCCAATAGCAGCTGCCGCGTATGGGCCAACAAGAGCATTTGGCCATCAACACATTCAGAACACCTCGAGTGAGAGCAGCCACACCCAGCCTGTCTCCCTCACTCCAACATCTTACTCGCCAACATTGCTCCTCCCACCACATTGTTATAGTTCTTATTACACATGTTCTATATACCTATCTACATGTTTTATTTACCAGAACTATGTAAGTAAGCCGGTATTGTGTCCAAACAGTACAGTGGCCACCATACACTGCATGAAAAATCACACAGCAGACGACGCTACGATTACGTCACCTCCCTCACCAAAATAGCTCCTCTCAACATTCTCCTGTTGCTGTTCTTACACTATATATACCCATGTACATATGTGTTGCCCATAGCGAACCACTAAGCTAGTATGGTGAGCAAAACAAGAGTGGCAGCCACACACACAATGAGGCTTCCTCAATTCTCGCCCTCCCTCCCTCATCAAAATTCCTCCTTCCACAATACTACGCACAACGCTAATTATAACCACATTCCTGCTATTATCACAATCCTGGTCACTAATTCCTGTAAATGAATAATTGACCACACGTTTATTTTGAAAAGGAACCTAAGAAATCATTTGAAGATTCCTAGATGAACGAAATAATGCTGTGGTGCTGTGGCTAGCGCTGTGAACATCGTGAACAGCATTGAATCACTGATATTTGAACATTGTACCCAGTCATTATCACACTCAGGCTCTAATATAACACTATCATAGCTAAATAATACAAGTTATATATATATTTTGACATTATTAGGCGATGCTGTGGTCACATGCTGAACAGCAGTGCTGTGCGCTCATGCTGCGAGCGCCAGCCTTGGTTGCTCACACACTACTGAGGCTCCCACACCCGGGAATGTGGACCACGATTTTTTTTTAAGATGGCGTCTGTTTACAAGAGCCCTGAGGAAGCTGATGTGAACCCCATGTAGCCGCGGGAGTTTTGAATGGAACGTGAAAAATACAAATACCCGGAGGCGCGTTGCGCAAACCAGACGTGAGCCTGCAGGCGCGTTGCGCAGTTTAAGGGTTAACAAGCGTGGTAGTCAAAACACTAAAAACAAAAGTTAAAGCCAAATGGGTCAAATACCTAGAGAGTAATGACATAATAATGGCCAGACAGTATGGTTTTCGAACAGAAAGATCCTGAATAATAAATCTACTTAGCTTTTATGATAGAGCCATAGAGATACTACAAGAAAGAAGTGGTTGAGTTGACTATGTCTATCTGGACCTAAAAAAGGCTTTTGATAGAGTCCCACACGAGAGGCTGTTCTGGAAAATGGAACATGCTGGAAGGGGGTGACAAGGAGACGTCTTACAAGGATAAAAAAAATACTGACCAACTAAATTAAAATAAATTTTAACTGACCAACAAATGAGGGCAGTAATCAGAGACAGTGAATCTGACTGGAGGAGTGTTACTTGCGAAGTACCACAGGGTTCAGTTCTTTCATCAGTATTGTTCATCATCTACATCAATGATCTATCAGAAGGAATACAAAATTACTGTACTGGGAAGATGGGACACCAGAAGCGTAGCTCTCATCCTGTAACTACACTTAATTATAGCCTAGGTAACCCAGGCACAAAAGAAGCACCATTAGTAATTAGAAATGATTTAATAGGATTGAAGCAAAATATACAACAAGCTTTTTTAAAATAAATAAAAAGTATATACCGTATAACAATTTGCTGAATAGAACCAGTGAAGAGCAGGGGTGCCATAGGCACAATCAGAGAACACTTTACAAACATCAGAGGTCCACGGTTGTTCAACATCCCCCCAGCAAGTATAAGAAATATTGGCAGAACAACCATGGACATCTGCAAGAGAAAACTAGATCATTTTCTCCAAGAAGTGCCGGACCAACTAGGCTGTGGTGGATATGTGGGCCTGCGGGCCGCTCCAGGCAACAGCCTGGTGGACCAAACTCACAAATCAAGCCTGGCCTCAGGCCGGGCTTGGGGAGTAGAAGAACTCCGAGAACCACATCAAGCAGGTATATCAATAAGAGAGATTGACTGTTCAAGATTGGAGGCCAGATGCTTAAAGCTATCTTTATTAAAATTTGCAGGATTAATGGGGATTTTATCAGGAGTGATGTAGGGTCGTCAGGGTTGGTCCAGTTTTTCCCTGAAGGAGGGTATGGTCCTAATGCCCTCCTTTACAAAGTTTGTTCATGTAAAATGTTCAGCTCCACGTCCCTAGATTTGAGTAGACGACAGATTAACCGATAGTAGATTTGCATTCTAAGGGCAACCATTTGCCTACAGTAATGGAGACAGTGTATAGACAAGAAGGTTGCATTGATGGGGAGGAGATATGGAGGGGGATGAAGATGAGAGACAGTAGGTCGACTGTTTGGAGACCAGGGCTGGTGTTGGTACAGTGTGTGGAGACTGGGGAGGTGTGTGAACACTGCAGGAGGAGTGGGAAGCAGGGCGGTATGTGTGGACAATGAAGATCCCAGCTGCACAATTACATATTGTCAGTCTACAGGACCAAACTTGGACCTGTCCTGGGGTCATGATGTTCTTATGTTATTGGGAGCTGCTGAAAGTTTCCAAGGTTCAATTCCTGAGACTAGAGCATTTGGGCAATATTTTATTTCCCGTGATACCTCTGGTTACTTTAAGGATTGAGCCATTATAGGTTGTTGGAAATTTTTACATATTGGTACAGCAATGTAGTATAGAAAATTTATGTAATCTACAATTTCATTTTTCAGAGAAATCAAGAATACGATCCCAGTGAAAAGGAAAAAGTATGTAGAGTGTGTGTTCGTGGTTTAGGCCTTATCTTTTGTTGCAAGTGTCCTGCTGCATACCATTCTGAGTGCCACGATCCACCACTTCAAACACGTGCCAGGTCAGTTTAAACATTGAGATTTTTACAAAATTGGACTTGTTTGGTCTTTAGTATTAAGAGTCATGATTGTTAAGGTACTGTGAAACCTGTTTTAACTATACATCATATTGCTTGCTTCCTCCAAGCAACTTCCTTCAAAGAAAGGTTGCCATGACACTAAATCTTATATTTGTGTGGGATGAGCATTAATTGTAGTGGCTCTAATAAGGTAAATATGGTTCATGGAAGTCTCAGTCTGTAGGGTAAAGTTGGCTATATCCAGATAATTGGCACAATATGCTTTCTTGTGCTTTGTTTCACCTCCGGCCTGCTAATGCTCCGCTTGAGTCGTCCTGGTCCTTGGACACGGTGCTCTCTTTTCTCTCTCCTTCTCAATTTGTGGTGGCCCCTTCGGTTCAAGATTGTTTTTCCAAAACTCTCTGTTGGCAGTGGCCTCTGGGAGTCGGGTTGGCGAGCTTCATGCTCTCTTCCGGGCAGGGGTTTCTGCTTCATTGGTCCTGGTGGTTGGTTGGTTTGGTTGCATCCGTCTCCTTTTCTGGTGAAGAACAAGACGGAGGCTTTCCAGAGGGGCCATTGGGTCATTGATGCTTGGTTGGTTAGGCCGGGGACGCGCTTTGTGTTTATCCGGTTTCCCTCGTTCCCTATTCCAGGGCTCGGGTCTTCCCAGATGTCTGCAGAGTGATCAATATTAAGTCTAACCAGTCTGCAGTCTATCCTCGGGCCCATGACTTTCGTAAGAGTGTTGCTTTGGCTGGCGTCTTCGGCAACATGTCATGGGCTGACATTCGGGCTCGGGCATTTTGGAGGTTGAACAGGGTCATGGCCCCCCCGTTATTTGGTAAACATTCCTGGTCCTGGTTGTTCGTGTGTGGCTTTGGGTCGCAAGAAGCAGCCAGTTGTCTCGACTTTGAGTTGAGGAGCACGTGGCGGTTGGCCTCCCGAATTAGTCATTCTATTACTTATCTTTCATTGCGTAACTCCAGTGAGCCGACAGGGCTCCTCTCAGAAACCAGGAGCTGAATGTAATGAAACGTCATTTTCTGGGTGAGCTCCGGAGGCTCCCTGGCACCCTCCCTCCCACCAGTCGGCAGTTCCGTTTTCTGTTTAATGCTCAGCCTCTGAACTGAATGGGCCAGGTTCTGGCTCATTGTCCCCGGTAGGCTGAACTCCAGTTGACTGATGCCCCAGACTAATATATCGCATATCAGTCCCATAGCTCCAGGGAGCCTCTGGGCTCCCTGGAGCTGGACAAAAGCCTCTGAGCTCCCTGAACACAAAATGGCATTTTATTACATTCAATGCTGGTTCTTTGCCAGCTCCTTTGATCTTTAGTAATTCAAGAACGGTCTCTGGGGCTTTATTTTGTATCATTTATTTTTGCTAATGAATGCCTATTTAATGCTGAGGAGGGTAAAGTTGCATTGACAATCTGTTATAATAAAATTAGGTTAATTTAAATTATATTATTCTCATGCTGTTGCTGAACACTATTACATATTAGTGGCAATGTATTAAAATCACCAATGAGGAAGAGCATTGAGAATGACAGTAATAAAAGTATACCTGTATCTTGTACTGAAGTGTCATCATGTATGTTTACTGTATGATCCTTTATCCAACAGGAAAGACTGGGCATGTGTAAATTGTACTAGAGCAAAGAAGAGAAAGGGTTTTAAATATCTTGTAACTACTAAAGACCAGTACCAGTCAGAAAGTGAGGAGGAAATGGTAAGTACACCATGTGTAGCAACTTTGTGTACATCATGGATTTATTTACTGTTAATTATTTGGGTGTTTTGAATGTTACAAAACTTACACTTTCATGATGGAGTGTCTCGTCGTAGTAAGGCATATTTTTGTACAGTATAATGGCACCTCTAAAATACTGATCGTATCCTTCCATATCCAATCTGGATTTAAAAAAAAAATTAGGTAATGTATTTACGTATCAATGCATTTTCCAGATTTATCATACAGCAAATGATATAGTATATGTTTTAGCATAGTCAGACTTTAAAAAAAAAATTGCATTGTGTACATGTAAATAATAATTATGCAAAAAAAATTGCATAATTACTTGGTGAGTAATCTTCTTTTCTAATTTTTCTTTTTCACTTTCATCGTAATTAATTTCTTTTTCACTGTCATCGTATGTTCTTTATTTCCTAATTTGAGCTTTTAATATTTTAACACGCACACCAGGTAAACTTGGGCCAATAGGCATATGCAAGGCAACTGAGGTAGCACTTCCAGCATTTTTATCCTTGTGCATTGCTGCCAGTGAATTAGTTGGAAAGATCCTACCAGAGCATATGAGAGACTCGGAAATTCATCAAAGGAGCCAGGCAGTGAGAAACCACTGCACACTCCTTACCCTAGCCACAAGCCCCGAAAGACCACAGATAGACCCATTAGGATAGTCTATAATGGAAAAGATTGCTGCAACAATGCTTCAAAAATGTATATACTGAGAATAAAGCCTGCCCCCCTAGTGATAACAGCACCCCATCCTGGGAATTTTCTATTTGCTGTACCCAATGCAGCCCTGGGAACTCACCTTAATCATGACACCCATCATATTGGAGTAGCCCTTTGCTTTGCCGCCAATCTCACCAAATACAGGTGCATTTACAGAAGTGTGATGGCAGACCATAACAGCCAACATGGCCTGATATGTCATATATCACAGAGTATGATTGCTAGACATGAAGAAATTAATTACATCAAGAGGAGCCTCATCACAACCCACTGCCCAGCATCCCTTTACAGACCCAATGACACTCAGAAACTTCCAGATGGGGTAGCCATGCTTCTTGGAAGGATGGCAAGTTAGTGGTGTGGGGACTATATATGCATATCTACACTGACCAGTAAAAATAGGGGGGGTGGGGTGGTAAGAACACTCATTAGTTCAGTTCCTTCCTCATGTCGTTCAGTTCCTTCAGAAATTTCAAAGCACATTTACCCAATGAACCAAGGGTTTCTAAGCCAATTGGAACAAAGTTGTAGCAATGTGCCAGACCTCTGTGCATGATAACTGATAACTTTCTGCCTTTCCCTAAATAAGTGGCATCACCCCCCAGTACCTTACAGGCTCACCATAGCCCGTGCTACTTGGAACTTTTTGTTCCAGGTAGCGAATCTTTAACAACAACTTTGACCAGTACCTACCTTCAATAAAGTGCAAATGAAGGAGGGTAGTGCCACTTATTTCAGGGAAAGGCAGAAAGTTATCAGTTACCATGTACAGAGGTCTGGCACATTGCTACAGGTTTGTTGCGATTGGCTCGGAAACCCTTGGTTCATTGGGTAAATGTGCTTTGAAATTTCTGAAGGAACTGGACATGAGGAAGGAACTGAACTAATGAGTGTTACAAATGACCAGAGAGCAACAAATTTCTTGTTCCAGCCCCTCAGTGTCATGGTTCAGAGGGTAATGCTTGTTGCATCTTGGGCATGCGTCTAATCTCGGAGGAGTTCAAAGAGGTGTTTGAATTGCAATAGCAATCAAGTTAGTTTGTGATGTCTGTTAGTGAATTCTGTTTTCATTTCATTTGTAATTTGTCATGTATATGTTAATGTCAAACAATTTGTAATTGTGTAAAAAAAAAAGTTTAAAATAAAATAGGGGTGGTAAGAGAAGCAAATACTTAAGAAATCAGAAACAAACATCAAATTTTCTCTGGGTGCTCCCTGCATGCTTCTCCAAGGCTGTGTTCCCACTACTGCACTAGCGGTGGTACCCTTATACTGTATATACACACATACACATATTTTTATTTAACACCAGTAACTTAATTATGTTGCCATATAATATTTTCTAATTATTAATCTATATACCCATACCGTAAACTTACTTGCCTATTTGTCTTATTTAGATTAAAAAAAGAGTTTAGCTTTTTTGTGATACATAAAACCTTTTCTCCCCTAGGTTACTGAGAGAAAAAGCACATCTAAAAGTTCCACCAAAGCAACTCAGAAGAGAAAGACTGTTCAGAAACGTGGTGGGGGTCGGGGTAGAAGTCTCAGATGTTCTTCTCGTAAAAAGTATGTGGAATCTGATGACGAAGGAAATGAAGATGATACTGATTTTGTGGCTACAACTAGACAAAGGTTTGTAACTTGTACACAGTCTGGGTAACCATTGCATAGGGATGTGACAACTCCATCCATCACTTAATAAAAACAAATGTAAAAGGCTGGCATAAAATTGAGGGTATTGCAAAAGGATACATGTATCTTATTTCAGTTTAACTTATTTTCATTAAACATCATATTATTAATTTAACACTTTCGCCCAGCGGTGGCGCACGAGAGCGTTACTAAGTTTTGTCCTGTTTCCGCATGGGTGACACTGGCGGGCGTCACGAGAAAGAATATTTGTATAAATTCCAATTTCTATCCGATCTATTTGGGGATAGTTTACAAATGTTCGCCATGAAATTTATGTTTTCTCTAATAGTCGAAGAGCTTATTTGGGAGAACGGCATGGCAGTGAATCATCGTGGTAAAACAATTGTATTATTGACACGACGAGTATAATCGACGTAGTTTTTATATTTGTTGACGGTCGAACGCATCCTTATGTGACATTTTATACTTATGTTCTTCTAGAACATTCTATTGCGAACACATTGGTACAAAAATGAAATACGTTCATCGAAAAATCATGTCAGGACAGTGAATTGAATATACACTTTTCAATGTGGGTTTCGCCGATATGCCGCCGCGGGTAACACTTCAGCCACTTCCCACACTCTTGTGGGAGAGCTGCGACATTGATTCTATATTTATATGCATATGTCCACGTAGAGAATTTTATTGCGATTTCAGAGATACCAAAATTAACCCTGTAGGACACGTGTGGAGTTGACAGCCCTGAAGATAGTAGAAACATTTCGTTGCTGTCTGGCGCTCACGGCTAGTGATCGACGTAGTTTTTTATTTGGTGCTGATCTAACTTATGTTTTGGTGACATTTTATACTTTTGTTCTTCTAGAACATTCTATTGCGAACACATTGGTACGAAAATGAAATACGTACATCGAAAATTAATGTCAGGACAGTGACAAGAGTATACACTTTTAAATGTTGCCGCTCGATCGCCCGAAACGCTAATTTCACTTGGGGAAATTTTTTTTTTTTTTTTCATTCGCCGTTTCGCGAAAGTGTTAACTGCGGCCCATTGAAAGAACTGATTTATGTCAGATTAGAGGTTTGTCATGTCCTCTATATTGTCTATTTGTATGAAAATCCTAGTGTCATCTGTAAATGATGATACAGTATTATAGTTTGTATCCTTGTCTATGATATGAGGGGGAGAAAAAGTACAGGAGCAAGTACGGTACCTTGGGACACTTGAGATTTTCATGGTGGATGATCCGGATTTTACTGTGTTGACTATTACACTGCATTCTGTTCGTAAGGAAGTTAAAGATCCGTCTCCTTAAATAATGCCAGTAAATCCTTTTGTTATACTGTAATAGTTAGTATATTCCTAGTATACATAGTAATTAATGTCTTTCGTTATAGGATAGTAGAATACAGAATGATAGATAGGAGGATTTGGGCTGTGGTTTTGGAACCCCCTAAGATTGAAGTGGGTTTATTGCTATGGTTGGGATGAATAAATGGTTAATGGTATTGTGTGAGAGGAAAATGAATTTAAACTGGAGAAAGGCTCAGAAGATAAGTGGATAGTGAGTGTGCATACAGGGTAAGGACTGGAACAATGCATAAGAAGTAGCAGTGAACAGGATTGCAGGAAACCAGTAAATGAGATGCTACCAAATGTGAAGTGTTATATGAAAAATTTGGTACCACAGATTACAGGTAAAGTAATTTGAAGCCTCACTGCACAACCTGTCCTCTGAAATAATACACCTCAGCTTGTATGATATGATCTCAATGGACAAAATACAGGGCACAATGAAAGTAGCAGCTCACACGCAAATACATTTCCTATGCATAAGCTGGTTAAATTAGGTGGGTGTTTTGGGTTCCCACAGCGCCAGTTCTGCTTACCAAAAATGTCCCACTAGATACTCAGATTAGTCGCCGAAGCTTCACGTTCAAGCAAACTTGGCATCTCACCCATTTAAAGTTTGAGAATAGGTTGAGGACGTTTCGTCCCCAAGGCCTCTAATCATTCGCTCTACCGGATGAAATTCATCCCACGAGTTCCAGCTATTCAGTACCCTGTATATTGTTCGTTGGCACAACTCGAGAGGACGGGCCACACTACCCAGTGATGCTAGGATATTGGTTAATGATAGATATTGTATTTCTTTCCCTTGGCATAATTGCAAATTGTTCACCGTGTCATGTGCTCCACAGTGTATAAGTATTGCAGTCACACTACTTCATTATTATTTTCACATGAATGCATTTCTTTATACATGTACTTGCTTAGCTGCATATTAAGACTTTACATTGGCCTAAATCTTTATTGCAGAAGGAGTGCTCGAACAACTACCTCTCAGAAGAAGAATTATAAAATAATAAGCGATGAAGAGGACGACAATTCTGAACAAGAGGAAGAAGGGGAAGAAAATAATATGGATGAAGAGGAAGAGAATGCAGAACAAGATGAGGAAAATATGGATGAAGATGAGGAGGAGGATGGAGAGCAAGATGAAGAGGAAGAAGAGGACAATGGGGAGCAAGAAGTAGAAGAGGAGGAGGAAGAGGAAGATGATAATGGAGAGCAAGATGTAGAAGAGGAGGAGGAGGAGGAAAATGGGGAGCAAGAAGTAGAAGAGGAGGAGGAGGAGGAGGACAATGGGGAGCAAGAAGTAGAAGAGGAGGAGGAGGAGGAGGAGGACAATGAGGAGCAAGAGGAAGAGGAGGATGAAGAGGTAAGCCTTAACTGCACATAGTAAACAGATAGAGCCTGCTCATTCTCCTTCTGAGCTGTCTTGGTCTCTGGATCGAGTGTTGCCTTATCTTTCATCTCCTCGGGTCTCGGTGGCTCCTGCAATCCGTGACTTCCTTTTTTCTGGTCCTTGTTGGTCCTCGCTGTCAATTGTGGAGTTGGGGAACTTCTTGCTCTCTAACAGAAGTGTTGGTTTTGTTCTTGCTGCCCTGGTGGGAGGTTTCTTTATCTGGTGCCTTCTTTTTTTCTTGCTCAGATTGAGATAGTTGGCTTATGGAAGGGTCCTTTGGTTACTAATTCTTGATTTGTTTGGCTGGAGGGTGCATAATTTGTTGTCTGGTTTCAGCAGTTCGCAGTATCATAGCCAGCCTGTGGTCTGCACTTGGGTCCATGTTGTTTGTCCTCTGCTGATATCCAGGCTCTAGGGGTTTTGGAGACTCCTGGATCTTGGCGGCTCATTACCCAGTTGGTGTTCCTGGTCCCCTTCGAGATTATGTTGCCTTAGGTAGCATTTCCCTCCTGGTGTCTTACCCTCAGGGATTTGATTTTTGCTCTCCTTCCCCCTCCCTTATCCTCTAAATCTTGTTTTTCTCTTTATGATTAGTTGGCTACAGGGAGACACTATTCGGCCCCTTCAGAAAACCATTATTGAATGTAGTGAAACACTTCTTTCTGGGAGAACCTTGGTGGCTTCTCCCTCTATGTGGTGTGTCGGTTGGCTTTTCTTAGGCTCCGAACTGAGGATTATTATCACTGGAAACTGGCAGCTCCCATAGTGCTACAGTCTGGTGGTGGTTAGCTTTTACTAGGTGGGTCGTTTGTTGCATGAGTTGTTTACTATGTGAAGCTTGCAGTTGTCTGTGCTGCTGTGTTTCCTTTCTTGGGGGGCTCATTTCTTTGGTGATGGTGATTTTGAATCTCCTGCTTCCTATGCCTCTGTGAGAAAGCTGCTGGTTTCCAGTAGACTTTTAAGGACTCTCAAGGGCTGATATGACCTACAGGTACAGGGAGCCACTGTGCTTGCCCCTTCCCTAGTAAGAGGCATTTCATTACATTCAATGCAGTTTTTTTTATTTTTTGCTGATAGTATGTGTTCTTCACCTGTGTATTCCAGGTTGTATGGTGGCCCCAGTGTGTGCTGTTGGGCTCTTATTCTGGGTCTCAGGTTGCAGACTTTGCTTTTTCTTGATTCCCGAGCCATATGCTCGGGAACAATAAGGTTTTCTTGAACCTTATTGTTCCCAAGCCATATGCTCAGTTATTCCGAGTTGTGTTTCTGGCTTCTGGACTGTGTGCCCAACTTTTGTTTTTTTACCCGATCAATGTTTCTGGCTATTCCTAAGTGGTGGGCTTAACTTTTATCAGGCAGTGTTTCCTGATACTTGATGCTAGGATATAGAAACACTTCAGACATTTCAGGCCAGGGTGACCAGATCCTGCTGACACTTTAGGCCAGGCCATGTGCCTAATTGTGCGGGAAAGGAGTGGCGGGGCTTCCGAGACATGGTATCCACTAGTTCCAGGGCATGTCCCACATTTCCTGGTCTGTGCCTTGGCACATGGTTTTTTGTCCTGGCCTTGAGGTTTTTCTTGCTCTGTGTTCTCATGATATTAGAAGCCTGGTGCATTCACTAATCCTTGGCTGGACCACAGCTTACCTCGGGAAGCTACCGAGAGCCACGCATGAAAGAGTACTTCATTACATTCAACACTTTAATTTTTGGTTGATATTGTTGTGTTTCAAGTTACAAATTTATTGGACATTATCTACATCAGTAACAAAACTAATACTATGTGATATATAATTTTGTTTTGTGTGTGTGTGCGCGCGCGCGCCATCCTCCTGTATGCAGAATTCCTTATTTGTATTAGTATGCGGGTTGACTCAAGTCAGTGAGTTGTGGGGTGGGATTAGAGTTCACACTCTGTGGATATCGGTGTGATGACCAGGTAGGTTAGCCAGTGAGGGCTGCTGTTTGGTAATCACTAGTGCTGAAAATTGAAAGCTTGGAAAGTCTTCCATTTTTATAAATTGATCTCAAATGATCATTTCCAAACTAAATCTATTATTTTATCAGTAATTCTATCAGCACAATATGACCCTACAAAAATGCTGGAATATTCCCCATAGTTCCTTGCTGCATATTACTCCGATCCAAACAGACTGCATGATCTTATATCAAAGAACAGTATGGAATCTTATTTGGGTGAGCAGCCAGATGATATGGCTCAAAATGGAGTTTTCATATTAACTTTAAGGGCATGCATTGTCTTTATTACTTTTTGGGTCTGGTAAATAATTTGTTTGTAAATGACAATGACAAGTCCAAATTCTTTATTATTAATGAGGTTTTTAACTGCTAACTAAAGCTAACTGCCTCCACCACCTTGTCTGACATCCTACCCCTCGCACCATCTATTAAGTCACTCCTTATCCCACCAGCCTATCTATCACCCTTCTTTTTTTCCCATCCTCCCTTCAAGATTTTCCTATAGACCTACACAGATACCCTCAAACATCTGTTATAGCAGTGACCCAACACCAACTATACATAGGAGATAGATAACAAATGGAGTCCTTCAAATACCTGGGTCAATTGTTAGTCCTAAACTATTTTAACAACATGCTGTGAAGGATGAATTTGTATGTGTCAGCATTTGCAGATTACAAAAGTAACGTGGATTGTAGAAACAGAAAAACAAAATAGTGCTGAAGGAAGATGATTAAATATTGGGCAGACAAATCCTTGCTAGTTTTCAACCAACAACTTTAAGGCACTGTATTACAAATGTGGAAGTGGAATAATATTGGAAAGAAGTTACACCAAAAGAGGCAGGCAAGTGTGAAAGAACGAACTGGAAGTAGACATAATACTAGCACTAACACTAATTGAGCACATGAATAAGATATTAGCAGCACATGCAAAATTGATAAGCATAAGAATGTTCTCAGACCTTAGTAAAGACTCGTAAAAAACTATTTACACAGCCTATATCATACCCATTCTTGAATGTATAGCACCGGCATGGTTTCAACTTCCAGTTACACTCAAAGGAAAGATTGAAAACTATAAAGGTGGGTTAATGTAACTAAGAATAACAATAGTTGTAGGGAGAAGGCCGAGAGGGTGATATGAACACTACAGAGTGAAATAGATTTGAAGGACATCTTTTAAAATTAAGGGAAAATAGGACAAGGTGACAGGAGTGAAAGGTGGAAATGTAAATGAGCCAGAGAGGAGTAAACGAACGCTTGTAAGCAGAACAGCTGGTTTGTAAGGGAGTGCACTGAAAGAACTACTACCTGCCTCCATCCATATTTTTATGGGCAAAGAATTTGAACTAACAATTTTTTAACTCTGTGAGTACAAATACAGTAGCTAGTAGGCAGGTCCCAAAGAACGAGATTTCACTCATATAAATTGCACCCTCTTCCCAATCCAACCTTTCCATCATTCTCATTTTCTCTGTATTTTCTTATGTTAATACAGTATGTTTGTATAGTAGGGAAAGGGCATATTTGTTCTGAAGAATATTCATAATATTGTTTGTATTGAGAAGAGAGAGATGTCTAGCATAGGGACCATGGATACCTTTCTTGATTGAATGCAGTTAAAGCATAACTACAGTTATGCAAGGAATTTGTGTAGTGGAAGTAGGAAACAGTTTAAAATACTTTGAAGTTCTAGAGCCATACTAACTTTTTGTTTTGTTTTGTAAATGATATATACATATCATAGTTTGTTTTGACCATGAGAATGTTCATGACTTGCAGTATATGACAAGAGATTCATGCACATACTGTGGATTAGGAATGGACAAGAATGGAGGACAGGCAAAACTCCGACCTTGTATGACCTGTGATGTTGCATTCCATCCTAACTGTGCACAAGAAGCTGTTGGCAGCAAGATTGTGATCACATATCAGTGTTCTAAGTGTTTATGAAACTATAGAAGTGCATCCAGGTCTTCTATGGAAATGGCTAAGGTAGTGTGTTTTAGTTGTGCTATTGTTAAAGTATTCGGTGGTGTGTGTAGCATTTGTTAACATGTACAACACAGTATTGTAAATTAACCATTTAGTAAGCAGTAGAGGTGTTAAACTTAGGTCTCCATATGGCTCTCAGAGAGGAAACTCTTAAATATATTTGTCTTGCATTTAGTTAATGCACTCTGGTTCTTACCAGTGACTTTGTTGTTCACTGTTGTGTGACAGGTCTCAGGTGTAGGTTATGACTGTTATGAAAGGGGTGTGGAGGTACATGAATTGGTATGTGTTTCTCTCATCACTGCCGCGGTGTCTTCTGTAGTTTTGGTAAGTTTGTACTCGCCTCGTTGTACTCTTCTAGTTGTACTTGTGGGGTTTGTGCTTCAGCTCTTTGGGCCTGCCTTTCATCTATCATTCTACAGGTGTGCACAGGCACACCATTAGAAACTCAGGCACATTCATGAGCTTCTTGAGGTCCTGCGTTTCTACCTTCGAAACCTCCACCTCATCACTGCCTCCTGTATTCCCTTTCCTTACTAATCTGCCTCTGGACAAGTTCTTTTTCATGTCTCTGTGGCTCCTTTGGGTACTTGGTGTGACAGCAGGTTTTGGACTTCCCCCCAACCATTCAGCCCAAAATAGACTGATGCCCCTTCCCCCTGTAAACGAGCACCAATTTGTACACTGCAACCTAATGTGTATACTCGTTCAGTTTGATAACATCAATTTTTGTGTTATGTCTTTCATTTTGGTATCAAATTGTTCGCAATAAAACAATAAAAAGGCGCGTATTTTAAAACTAGTCTCATAAAAATAGAGCAATAACTGGAATTTTAACAAATATTTTAATTCTTGAAGCTCATCATCATAATTATTTATATCTTTCCAGTGTTCTGACATAAATTTTTATGTTACATTTTTCATTTTGGTATCAAATTGTTCGCGACGTAAAGGCGCGCATTTTAAAACTAGTCCCAACATAATAGCACAATAAATAGAATTTTAACAAATATTGTAAAATTTTCACCAAAAACCTATTTATAATCATATAAGTGTTCGGACATCAAGTTTCATGTTACATCTTTCATTTTGGTATCAAATTGTGCGCATTCTAAAGGCGCTTATTTTGATACTATCCCGAGGTCGATTGGATAAAAAATTAATTTTATACAAATATTTTTGTAGTGGACGCAAGTCCGGTCCAAAGCTAGGATTCAGGAGAAAAATAATGGACGCGAGTCCGGTCCAAAGAGACCGATAGTGTTAATACTAAGTGAAAATAAGTACAATTCCTGACTTTTATACATATTACATAATTGCACTTATGGGGCTGTTACATTTACCTCCCCATTTTTTGGAGGATTATAGCGCCTCTTCAGTAGTTTGTAGTCTTTAAACCACTGCCTAATCCACTCATAGATATAATCACTGGTACCTCATAATCAACATAATACTGCTGCATTTAAAACTTTTTACACAGCCTGTCACACCAGTGCAGTACTGGAACATGCAGCACCAGCATGGACTCTGCACAAGGAAGTTGTTATAGATTGTATCTCAATTCACATCATCAAAATTCAAACACTCGACTAAATGAGCTTACTTTTGTTATATAGATCCCGACAGTCACATGCCTGTCCGAGGCCAGTCCCAGTGGCTGATGTGGTTGGAAAGTATATTTTTATACCTGGTATATTGCATTGAACTGTGTTGAAATACATGTATCATTTTCATGTTTAGACTGAAATTTATTAATTAATAAACTTTGGTTAAAATTGAGTATGATTGTAAAAAAAAAAAATGTATTCAGGCTATTAGTAATAAATTCCTTTGTTTATACTAAATACTAAACCATGTGCTTTCATTCTAGGGCAGTGAAGACAAGGAAAATGAAGATGAACAAGATGAAAACGGACCTGAAGATGTAGAGGGGGAGGAGGATGATGAGCAGGTAGATGACGAGGAAGAGGAGGAAAAAGACGTTGACGAAGAGGAGGAGGATGAGGATAATGAGAGAGAGCATGAGGAGGAAGAGGATGAGCAGAATGATAGTGCAGATGAGTAGTTTTCTGATATAGATCAAGGGAATAAGGCAACATCCATTAAATACTCCTCTTGAGAGCAGTTCGCTATTAGCATCTCTTTCATCTCGGCATCACGAAAGTTTCTTATTTTGTATTTAGGCGATTCTTATGGTTCTTTGTTCACAAAACGTTAAAGTTCTTTATATCCATCGATGAAGGATGTATAGTGTAACGATGAACATCTCTTACGTAGGAGCTTAATAGATGTTAGGTGTAGCACATATCTACTACAATCATTTGCAATAGTTTCAAACCCTTACTAACACCTATAAACATTAAAGTATCAATAGTTTCTTTCTGTTAAAAGTTAGGAGAAAATAATCAGTGTGTATAAATATGAGTGGGGAAAATTGTTAGGCTATAAATGAATTCACGGTCCACCAGCTTGGAATATTTAACACAACTTTTGTAGTAATAGATCTTAGTGTTTCACTGGAATGATTCATTACTGACGAATTATAATTTTTAAAGTATTTTATTGTTAAACTATTTACGATATTGCAGTTAGCGTTTAGTGTATCCCAGTTCAACATTCCAGTAAATTATAATAGAACAAAATTCAACCAATTCTCAATTAATAGGGTACTGAAATTTTATTTGGTCATTGATATTGAATTGCTCATCTATCAGTAAATCTCGTGAGAAAATCTTGATGTCTTAATGTCAGCCGTAAATATTGCTTCCATTATAGAGGTAGCCAATCTGCACAGCATGGGTACTAGCCCTCCTCACAATTTGTATAAGGAACCTCTCGGAAATAAAGTGATGGGTTCAGGAATGGTTCCTGTCTTGGTATACAGATGAGCTTGGGTCTGATATTTTTCCTGTGAAAAGTATGTTTATAGAATACATCTATTTTGTGATACTTCTGTATATATATTTAGTATTTATTAATATAAATCAATGTCTTATCGTACTGTCGGCTTCACTTTGTCTAGTTTCTATAAAAAGTTCCATTTTATGTGATGATGATTATTGGGGACGAGGTCACTAATGCTGATAAAAGCTGTAAACAGCCAACACATATTCCAAGCAGCTTATGCATGCAGGTCAGTCAGAGTAGTGAAAGAGAGAGATACCTCACATAGTTTTCTTCTTTGACAGGGTCTTGCTTTTTAATTAAATTTGAAACAGATTGAGGGGGAGGGAGTATTGTAGGAGGATTTTTTTAGTTGGAAGTGGAAGTTTTGTTGGTATAGCATAGTGAAGGAAACCCCTGGAAGAGATAGTTTTGCTTTTGTTCATCCCACACCTCCAGTCTCTTTGTGTCTATTCCTCCTCTTTCTCACTCTTTCCTCTCTTAACCCACCCCCTCCCCAGGCACAGTGTGTACATACTCCCCCCTTCCCCCTTCTTTTCTCACTTCCCTCTCTTAATCCCTCATTCCCCTCCCCCTTCCCCCAGGCACAGTGTGTGTACATGTATTGCTATCCAATTACTAAATTTGGAAGAAGTACAGTATTAATAGACTATCAGCTGTTATTAAGGAGGTATCAAGTTTGCTTTTTTTTGTATTTATTCTTGTTTCTCTTAAGATTGTGTACAAAATGTGTATACTAACTTCATAAGAAGAATTAACATAACAATTGCATTGTTTTTATTAATAAGTGGGCTTTATCAGTATGCCAAGAATATAGTGTGCATGTTTTCAGCAGCTTGGTATCACAGTACACTAATAGTGTTCAGGAGCCGTTGTTATTGTGTCTGTCGTATGCTATGGGGTCTGCAAGGGTTGTAGTCTGTTTTTTTCTTGATCATTCTATATTTCAAGATATAATATAATTAGAATGACCAATTGTTATTCAAAGCTTGAAGCAACTATGTACTCGCAGGTTGGAAATCAACCATTAGTTTCTTCTCCATCATCAGATGGAGAAAAAGTTGCCACTGGCTACTATGTTGTTAATGGATTATAGGGACTGGCAAGTGTATGGATAATGTAAATGTAAAATTGTAATTCTAATGTATATTGTTTGATAGTAAAAAAAAATAATTGTTCTGCTCATTTGCTGTAAACAACATTTGTTAATGTGAACCTCATCATATAGGCTATGAATAGCTGTTTGTCAGTTTGTAAATGCTATTAATAGTCACTTTCAGTTTATGAATAAAAGAGTTTTTATTATTGATCTGATGATTATTATTAATTTCTTTAAGTAGTGTTAAGTTTTTGTTAAATATATAAATCTATACATATATGTCTTTTTTTTTTATGTGGCTGTATGTGTGTGTGTGTGTGTACAGAATTTAAATACCTTTATGTCAGGGATAAATAAGGTTTAATCAGGCCAAGGGTAATTGTGAGTTTAAGTGTGTGTATTATCGTACTTAAAAGTTAAGGATTTCATGCTAAAAATTTGTAATACAGTAGTAGTAGTTGTGGAATACTGTATACTTTATGAATTTTTCTGGCAATATTATCTGAAGTTAGTAAGTGTGATGTTTTGGGACATTTTTTATTGGCCCATTATATTGGTTTTAATTTTAAAGATATGGATATACAGTACAGTACATTATATCTTCACAGGGTTCCTACAGTCATGGTAAATCATAAACAAATTTTCTTGGGAAAATTTATGGGAAATCATAACCAAAAAATAAGTAATAGAATTAACAAAAAATAATGTCATGAAAAACGCTTCTCTTACGGGTTCACAGTGCTCTTTTCCCCCCTCCCCCTTATCTCACCTGAGATTTGCCTGTCACCTACTGAGAACTAGGAATGAATCTGGCTCACTGCAAACCCAAGAATCAGGCATCAACCACAAAATGGGGATATCTACCAGGAAGCATAGGTGCAACAAACAAGCAACATCTTGAAGGAAATTAGGCACCCCTAGGTAAACATGGTAAATGATCATTGCTATGAGATAAATACCATGAATGTAATGTGCCTGACCCCCACCTGATGGCTACCCAGGTTGCCATCTGGTGGGGGTTTCAGTCTGACGTCTCACTCTTGAGCCACCCACGCAAAACTCTACAATCTCTCAGGGAAAAAAGGGAACACGGTAAGGATGGGAGCTGACAAGAAAGGAGCCTTTCATTACTTTCAACACTTGATTCCTGAGAGGGATCCCTCACTTTGCAAACTTAATCACAACACCACCTCAATTGAGGAGGCCGGCATTTCTGGAGAATGGCAATAGCCAACTAGGCTGAAGCTTGGAAAAAGGATGGCCCAGGGTCAAGAATGGCTGCCCTGCATCAAATGCACAAACTTGTACATGTACAGAGACACCAAAGGACAATCAACAAGGAATAACAGGCCATCAGAAACCCTAATCTCAAACATACAATATGGCCAAAGAAAATTGTCAAACCAGCAGCACATCTCCAGATTCAGAACAAGCAGCTGACTAGCTGAACTGAACCAACAGAGAGAAGACCTGGGAAAACTGAGCCTTGAAACAAAGGACATGAGAAACAGTTAACAAATAACCTTGATCAAATTAACATGAAGAAATTTTGAATCGTGGCCACTTGGCAGTGTATGCGGCCAAGCCAAAACCAAAGTTTGGTACTGGCCAATGAGAGAGATATGCAGGTTAAATGTACCCTTGGGCCTGTTGCTTTCATATGGCAAAGGTAGCAGGAATTGACATTGGAGTCTAAGAATGCTGTTGCACATCCTGGAAAACAATAAACGGCAGCATCAAGTATGAAATCAGATGGGCAAGCCATAATGACCCAGCTGAGAATACACACTGCACCCGACAAGAAACCCCATAGGGACGAGGAACTCAAGTTACCTGAACCAGCATAGACAGCGGCAGGGGAAGTTACTTGACAAATCAAACACCAAGTCTCAACTTTGAACTTCAAACAGGGAATGGCATAAGCAGCCACTGATCACAAAATTCATGTACATTACCAAATTTTGCCCTTGGCTAGAGTACAAGATCTCCAATGCTCATAGAAGCAAAACCAGCATGAAAGGCTGATTTTACATGTGGAAGCACACAGCAATATTGTTGAGAAGAGTGTCTCCACCTCCATCAACAGTCACTGCTGGAGAAAAATCATTCACCGTCTGTAAGCTAGATGGCTTGAGAGGATAGAGGCTACAACCCCTAAGAACAGATATCTCTAGTGGAGTATAAGGAAGTGCAAATCATTCCTAGAGAGGGAAACCTGACCAAAGTCACAATGAAATAGAATGCTAGATATAATGCAGTATTTATGGCATTTACACAATCTTGAAACATAAACATGTACAAATGTTTTGTTCCAGGGAAAGTCAACACCACTTGTATTGTGAAGCAGCATGTGTTAAACCTACAACACCAGTCAGAGTTATGGGGACAGATTAGTTGAGACTTAAGATGACTTGGCCTGCCATCTGGTGGTGGTCAGGACCTCTATGACAGTGACCACAGAAAGCGTATTTACCTTGCATCAACAATTGTTTTGATAGCCTATGGGTAACTCACTAGAAAGGAGACAGGAGAGATATCAAATGATATACATGAGGAAGATACTTGAGGGCCAGATCCCAAATCTACACAGTAAAATAACATACTGGAGTGAACGATATGGAAGAAAATGCAGAATAGAACCAGTGAAGAGCAGGGGTGCCATAGGTGCAATTGGAGAACACTGTATAAACATCAGAGGTTCACTGTTGTTCAACATCCTCCCAGCGAGTATAAGAAATATTGCCGGAACAACCGTGGACATCTTCAAGAGAAATCTAGATCATTTTCTCCAAGGAGTGCCGGACCAACCAGGCTGTGGTGGATATGTGGGTCTGCGGGCCGCTCCAACCAACAGCCTGGTAGACCAAACTCACAAGTGAAGCTTGGCCTCAGGCCGAGCTTGGGGAGTAGAAGAACTCTTAAGAACCCCATCAAGCAGGTAATTTCCTTCATACTGTTTCTTGTGCCTTTGTGTTCTGGTGGGTTTTCCAGTTTGGGATCTCTGATCCCCTGCTCCTATTGCTATGTAGTGAACCAGATTCTGGTGATGGGACTCCAGATGGGTGTTCGAAGCCTGGTGTGTTGGGTTCAGGCTTGGCGGCATCAGAGAAGCTTGGGGAGCCACTAAGGGGCCCCTTCCCAGAAATATATACAGTACAGTCACAGCCATTTACAAAAAACCTGCAATATAATGTACACAGGTATAAAGTACCAGTGTCATGTTCCTGAATAAAATTATATTTAATCCTTTTTACATTTTCCTTTTAATTTGTATTCAGATAATACTCACCTCCAGCTATTATGAAAGCCATGGCACACAGTGGCTTTATCCTAGCTTCTTTTCTAGCAAGATTTCTAAATCTTTAGTCTTTGTGAAGCGCATGTCCAATAAACATAATAACACAAAGAAGCTTGGTGCATTCAGTCTGTACAGAATCTTAAATTTAATGGAATATCATTGGTTACATTCCTGTACCCCAGATTTGTATCAATCTATGTAGAGTTTGACTAACCAATGAGTTCAAAGTATTTGTGCAGATTCTGTGTTGCATGACATAAGTTCAAGTACTGTAAGTGATGCAAATGGGACCAACAGGAAAATTGATCAGGCAGATGCAGCCAGCTTAACAAAATCTGGTTGTGTAGTTCTTTCTTTTTTCTTTTTTTTAATATCCTTGTTATTTTTAATGTATATTTCCAGGTTTCCAGCATTTTTGTTGTATGAACATTCAAGAATCTGGTAATGGAAAAATTCTGATGTTCATGGGAGCCCTGTACTTAATGAATTGAATTTGTTTTATATACATCAAAAACCACATATAATATTAGAACCATGCTTGGCATCATTTCTTAATTTGGTGACAGCACGTATCCTTGTGTTAAATGTGCACTAAGATATATATTTGTCAAATCAAATTGCTGAAAACGGTATGTGTGGTTTGTCTCTTAGCTGACTGACAATCTAAAGGAGTATTTGTAGAATATAACAAGAATTATATTTGTTACAATTGTGATATTTATGCAAGATTACCCAGGGATGGTGATATGTTCAGTTTGAGCAGACTGAATTTGTTTGTGATCTTCTATGTAGTTTGAATCGTTAGTGCTCTTCACCCACGAATCTTCATTAACCTTCATTTTATGATACCATGACCAATGTTGATTACTTGAAACAGCATTTTGCAATATGACACGTGATTCCCAAACATGACAAAGCTGAGGTTATAAGGGAGCTTTATATTACTATTATGTTTCATTACTGCATTAATAGGAGTGAATATTGCTTGGTAGTAGGGCTGCCCAGACCCTAGATCTGTTCAGGTGGCTCTACTTAATGTGATGAAACTTTGTTATACATAATGTGTATTTAATGCCAGTGCCGTTGTGTAGGTAGAATAGAATTTATATATATATATATATATATATATATATATATATATATATATATATATATATATATATATATATATATATATATATATATATATATAATGTCGTACCTAGTAGCCAGAACGCACTTCTTGGCCTAATATGCAAGGCCCAATTTGCCTAATAGGCTGAGTGATTTTCTCTATTTCCAATAAATTGTTTCCAATTAGTTTATTTGAATTATTATTATATTATATTAAGAACATAAATTATTGACATAGTTGTGTTAGTTTAGGTTAGGTTAGGTTAGGTAGGGTTGGTTAGGTTTGGTCATACAGTATATCTACATTAGTTATAACTTAAATTTTAAACAAATTAACTCATACATAATGAAATGGATAGCTTTATCATTTCATAAGAAAAAAAAACTGAAAAATATATAAATTCAGGAAAACTTGGCTTATTAGGCAAATCGAGCCTTGCATAGTAGGCCGAGTACTGTATTCTGGCTACTAGGTACAACATATATATATATATATACAGTATATATATACACACTGTACTGTAAGTACTATTAATTTTTTCATTTTCTATCACAGAAGATATATATACATATATTATGTAGATTCAGGACCTCCTAGATTGTTTACAAGCCAATGGGGGCACCCAGGAGGGTGCAGTCAGGTAGCTCGACAACGAGAATGTCTGGTAAAACAGTTTTTATTTGGCCTGTGATGTCTGGGTTGATAGAGACTATTTCACATTTGGTTGCATTGAGAATGAGGCACAAGGCTGCTCCGTGCTCCTGGATATTCATTGTATCCTCCAAAATGAAAATGGTA